TAAATAGTAAAGCTAGAGCTCTCTATATTATTATTTATATAGAAGGGAGAGTAAATATTAATATTAATAAAGTATATAAATATCTACTTAGTCGCTAAGTTAAAGGAGCTTATAAAATCGACCTAGATAAAAAATTACTTTAATAAGCTATTTAAAGAGTTTAATAAAATTAAGTCCTATATAGTAAAGAACTAGCTTAGAGGCTATAAGCTAGGAACTATAGCTATAGCTTAAGTCTTAATATAAAGGGCGTTATTAGAATAGTAAGCTCGTTTTATCGCTAAATAGTAAGGATCTTAATAAAGAAATTAGAAGAAAAGAGCGTTTACTAAAGTAGAGACTTTAATAACTCTTAATTAAGAATAAAGAGTATTATTTATATATAAGCGAGAAGAGTACGCTTCCTTACTAAAGCGAATTATTACTTAGGTAAGAAAGGTATTAGCTTTATACTCCCTTATCCGCTTACCCTATTAATACCTATAGCGTTAGCGAGCTCGTCGGTTATATATATAGGTAGGTCGATAATATCGTTAACTATAGACTATTCTTCTTATATATTAGTTATTATTAAAGGCGGAGAAATTAAGGCGCTAGGTATAATAGGTAGTAATAGGACTTAAAACGTCCTATATTAAGTAAAGGAAAGAAAGTAAGGATAGAACGGGTTATATTTAGCGTCCTAGACTTTAATATAAGGTAAAGTCCTCGTAGTAAGAAAGGGAATAATAGCCGCTATAACTATAATAAGTAGATATTATAAATAGGTTACTTTAACTTAATATTAAAAGGTAAACCCTATTTATAAGTTATATCTTAGTTTTTTAAAAGCTAGTAATATCTATTAGTATAAGACGAGAAACTTTATAAGTATATATATACTAGTATTACTATTATATTACTATTAGGATCTAGATTAGCTATAGCTCCTCCCCTTTTATAAGGTAGTATAACTATTCGATCTTTATCTCTTATAACTTTTATATTAAATACTTTTAGTTTTTAAGTTATTACTCTTTTAAGGCCGATTATATATATATCTAGCGCTTAATATCTCGCCTTCCTACCGCCGTTATAATATTTAATCGAGTTATATACTAGCTTAAAGGCTAATATATAAATATCGTTTACTAAGGAGGGCATAGAATATATAGGGTTATTCTTCTAAGTAAATGCCTTTTTTATCGCCCTATATAGATAGATAGTATATTCTACTATTAACGAGGTAGTCTTAAATAGAGTATTTAATCTAAAAGTTAATATTCGATAGGTATAAAGCTCCCTTTTTAGCTCTAGACTTAGATATTTAAGGCTACGATTAACTTCTTACTATATATTCTAACGACTATATAGATTAACTAGGCTATTTAAGAGTATTACCTGCTAAAGTTCCTTATTATAGGCTTTAGTATTAGTAAGCTACTTTAAATAGAGTATCTTAAATACGTAATTTAATTATCTAGTTCCCTTAAAGTAAAAGTAATAGACCTTAATAACTTAATTAATAAGTCTTATATCTCTATTCTTAATACTATACTTTAAGGTCTTATAGATAATTATCTATTAAAGATATTAAGTATAGCTAAGGAATTCTTTATTAACTATTATATTAGTATACTTCTCCTTATATAGTCGCTAGGCTTATAACTTAAATATAGATCTATAAATATCCTCGACTAGCTCTATAAAATCTCTAACCTTTATCTCTTAAATTACTTTACTAACCTTATCTTACTTTAATATATTAACGCTACGCTACTTAAGGCGGGTATAAAGTAGCTTAATAACCTAAGCGTTAAAACTATAAAGTACTAGCTCTTTTAGAACCTAAAAGGCCTTACGGTCTACTAGAATATTCTTATACCCCTAGAAGTTAATATTATAGTAAAGTATTAAAGCGTCTTATTACTTTATATTTCTATAATATATCCTCTATATAAGCTAGAGGAAGTTTATATATAAGTAAAATAAAGTAGTAACTCCTATTAACTAGTCCTTTCTATTATACGCCGTAAACGCATCTACTTATTTAGCCTATATAGACCGGATAAGTAAAGAAGTTTTTTAATCGCTAAACGCTAAGAATAGATAGGTATTAAATTCTATATCGGCTAGTTAAAACTATTGCTTATAGATACTCTCTATAACCTTATAGGAGCTATCTAAAGTACTATCGTTAAAGAGAATCGGGCTAAGTATCTTACTATCTATCTTTTAAAGCTCGAGCGACTTAATTATTAGGATACTAAGGTATAGGATATCGGAATTAAAGAAGATAGATTTAACTAACTTTAAAGTAAGTATTAATCTTAGCGGTAGTCTAGTTATATACTACTATACCTAGAGAGTATAGTAGATCTTCTATTATAAAGGAACCTCGCGATATAGTATAGACCTTTTTAATCTACTTAGAGGGATATCGGCGCTTTTAAAAACCTTTCCTATTATTATAGAGCGTATTTCTACGTAGTTTAAAATAAGTTAATACTTAATACCTTCCTAGTAGTCGAAATTATTATATATAATATAAGCGTCTAGCTATCGGCTATATTAACTGACTATCCCCTATATATAAATTAGTCGATAACGTTTATACTTAGAGATAGTAATAATGCCTTTACTTATTTTAATATAGATTCGAGATACCTATAGACCCCCTTATAGCCTTTATAAAGCTTAAACTAGTAAAGTAAATTAAGAATATATCGTTTTACGCCGTTTAAGTATAAAAAAGTACTAAATATATAGGGGAACTTATTACTTTCTTTAAAGGCTCGAGAATAATAAAAGATTAATATAATTATTATAATCCTATAGTTAAACTTTTAAAGGATCTTATAGTAGTCGATCCTTTCTTTTTACTTTAGGCGCTATAAGACTATTAAGTAGCCTAAAAAGGAGAGGAGCCTATATATTAACTTACTTATATATATCCTTAAGGTATATATCGCTAAGTATATACTTATAGGCCTCGGATTCTTTTTTATCTTTAAGCTACTCCTTCTATTTAAAATTAGACTATAAGGCATTCCCTAGCTTAGAGTCGACTTAATAGGTACTAAATATCTTACTTACTTTTTCTAGCGCTATTATTTCCTTTCTTAGCGCCTTTATAGAGATAATTCTAGCTATACTAAATATAGGATATTATCGTATAGCCTTTAGTACCTTTAGCTAAGTATATATCGTATCTATAAAGCGTTTAGCACGTATAGTAGGTCGATCTCTATAGCCGTTATCGCCTTAGGTTATTATATATACTTAGATAAACTCGCCTAGCGTTAAGTAGTACGTTTTAAATATATATCTATATATATTACTTACTCGCTTTCCTACCGTCTATACCCGAGATCTAACGGGTTTACTACGGCGGCCGGGGTAATTTAAAGCAGTAATCCGCCGCTATTTATCCCCTCTGCCTAGAGTCGTCTAGTTTAGGCGTATACTACGCCGGCGCGACGTTTAATCTAATATCGTCTGGATTTTACTAGGCTATTAAGAAAGAATAGAGATTTCGATTAAGCCTATTAATTCTAATATACGATAGCTAGTTATAGAGGAAAACGAAGTTAAAGCGGTTGGTATACTTCTATATAAACGATCTTAACTTAGGCTAAAAATCCAGGACACGGCACTTAGGCCATTTGGTCGAGGAGCGCATGTGACTTACCGATTAGGTATAGTCCGCTCCGGTGGCGTAGTCACGACCAATGGCCTGAGCTCTGCTGAGGTAACAGAGGTATGCGTGGGGGTCACATGCAATGTCACGTGTAGCTCCCAGCCCCTGCGCTACCCTTCGTCCGGTGTAGGAAAGGGGGCTGCCAGTGCCTCCTTCCCCGCCCCCTGAACCCGAATATAGGTACTCCGTATACTTCTTCGGCAATCTCACCCATCCAACACGCTGCTTTGACCCCAATTATCAGGCTCGAGTCTACGGAGTATAACTAATGCTTTTGTCTCATTGGGCACACCGTTCGACAACCGCCCCCCGGGTGCTTGCCTTTTCGCCCTTACTGTCTTTGCTGCCTCAGGCGGCACGCCTCCTCTGCCTACTCTGGCGCCTGCTATAATTAGTACTGAGGTTAAGTTAGTACCTAGCATTCATTATATGCTCTGGCCACCACACTCAGCCACAGGGGGCGCGACGGGTAACGGGTGGGTGGCTATGCAACCTGTGCCAAGGTTCAGGCAGAGTTGGCATTGTCCAAGGTCCGCATCGTACGGTTGAAAACCGCGTGCAGTGGAGAGACGCGGTAGAGGCCCAGCTACGTATGTACAATGAGAAAACCGGATGATGTGCAGGGATCCTCCAGAGTAGTGACAGACTAATGTGGGCATCAGCCTTTCTTCACCTCGCACCGGTCAATAACGCGGCGGATATAGCTGGGGACGAGTCATTCGCCGTTCGGCTTAGATGAAAGTATCATGCGCCCTACCGTGCGATCCACTGCTGGGTTCCTTGTCTCTACACTGTAGGCCCTCTGCTCAGCGAGTAAGTGTTCGATATGACGATTCAACGCGGGCCTCTGTTGTGTATTACGTACGCGCGGGAGTAAACACTTCATCTTGAGCATTATGCCTGTTTAAATGGGTCCTTTCTCCATTGGCAATGCCAAGATGTTAATGCTGGGTTTTCCGCCGCCCACGCGCCCTTTTCCTTCCTCCCCCAGCTTGGCTCCTCCCTCCCCATTCCTGTCGTTTCTGTTCATCTGTCGAATAACTCTAATCGGCATCACTTGCTTCCTGATGCTTCTGCTTGGCGACACGGCACTTCCTCTGCCGGTCCCATCTGGACATTCGCACCCAACCCAGCACCGAGCGGCTTCAAAAGCCCCCGTCACCTGATGATGATTGCCGCTGGCGTGCTTCTCTTCACCCTCCTTGTCGGAGCTCGCAACGCCCTTGCAGCGGGCTTTCAGGTTGACTGGGAACGCGATGGTTAGTGCAACCTGCCCAGGCCCCGTGTCAGCATTTGTTCTCATGTCCAGCTAGCCTCCATCATGGAAGCCGCGAGCACCCTCGCGGCCGATTCTATGAGCTTTTACGATGGCGACGTGCCTGGTAAAACGCCGGGCCTTCTGTACAAGAAGCCCGACCCCGAGCTCTGGTGGTGGGCAGGAGGCGTTCTCTTTGGCACCATCATTGAATACTCTCACTACACAAAGGACACGAAATATAACGCCGCCACCAAGGCGGCCATGGTCCACCAAGCTGGCGCGAACCAAGACTTTCTCACGCCCAACTGGACTGCCCACATGGGAAACGACGACCAAGGGTTTTGGGGATTGTCTGCAATGTCAGCTGCCGAGACCAACTTCGATAACCCCGAACCCAACGAACCCCAGTGGCTAGCAACTGCCCAGGGTGTCTTCAACACAATGGCGGCTCCTGAACGTCACGACCAAGTATGCGGAGGAGGCCTCCGATGGCAGCTCAACTTGTATAGCAAGGGTTACAACTATAAAAACAGCATTTCCAACGGCCTCTTCTTCAACCTGGGCGCGAGACTGGCCCGGTATACCGGGAACAAAACGTACGAAGAACGGGCCAACCAGGTGTGGGACTGGGAGCGCAAAGTGGGCTTGATCACCGACACCTACGCCGTATACGACGGGGCTTCTGATGCGGACAACTGCGCCAATATCGATACATCCGAGTACACATATAACTCTGGCGTCTTCCTTCATGGTGCAGCGTTCTTGTATAACTTTGTGAGTCCTATTCATGACCGTCCGCCCGCCGCCCATGTTGCGTCATGGCTGATGATTTCCACAAACAGACCGACGGGTCTCCGATATGGCGCGAACGAGTCGAGGGGTTGCTGGATCATATGCTCGCCAAATTCTTTCCCAATAAGATCGCCGTCGAGGTTGTCTGCCAGAACGACGAGACAAACCTGTGCGAACGCGACTCGTTGATCTTCAAGGGTGTAGTCCATCGTTGGCTCGCCAATGTCGCCCAAATCGCCCCCTTTACCGCCGAAAAGATACTTCCAGTGCTGAAGGAGTCAGCCAAGGCTGCCGTGAGCCAATGCACGGGCGGCGACAACGGCCGTATGTGCGGCTTCCAATGGTCGTCGGGGAAATACGACGGCAAGACCAATGTTGGCACCGAGATGAGTGTCCTGAGTGCCGTCGTTTCTGTCTTGGGTTTGAGGACACACGCTCCCGGGCCAATTACTGAGCAAACGGGTGGGACCAGCCAAGGAGACTCTACCGCCGGTGCCGGCGCTGGAGGGGGAAATACTCCGGTACTGTCGCCCATTACCGTGGGAAGCAAGGTGGCCGCCAGTTTTCTTACCCTGGTTGTTCTCCTGGGTATTGTCGGTATTCAGGTGTGGATGATCTTAGAGTAGTATTAATGTTTTATCAAAGGAGTGACAATCTGCTCCAGCCCACATTGACAGGACAAAGACTCCGTTAAAGGTGAAATGCTTGCGGCACTCGTTTGATATTGATTATTGCAATAGCCAAGCTGTTGCCGTCTTGGTGGCTTACCCAAAGGACGGTTCTTGTGGGAAGTCGCTCAGCTAGGAAGTAACAGACGTTATTCCCCCGAGGCCCCCAGCCAATCCAAGAAAACAAGACATAGGCCCGTTCCTTTCTTCCCGCTGATAGAGTAGTCGGATAGGTATAGGTGTTTTCGCGATGGTAAGATTCACGCGGGATTCTCAATCTTCTTTCTGGTCGACCTCCCTTCCTCGCTATAGTGCTTCCATCAAATTTACGTCCTGCCTTGGCCTTCGCCAGATGCTTGGCCGATACGTCTGGCATTGTGCACTCCGGGAGTATTTACTCTTTACTCGACTTACAGATATTGAGCACCAATCTCCTTGTTTGCTCATGAATTCGACGGGCTGTCACAAGAATAGCAACAACAGTTCGTTCGGGCCGAATTTAGTGCAAGCCTGATAACATGCATTCCCCCCGACGGAAGTATGCCTTGCATTGGGAGAAAGCCCGACACGCTGATATGCAAACGCCCCTCCCTGTTCTGCGTTGCGGGATAGGTTGTGGCCTTGTCAATCATGTGGTTCATTGCCGAATGGTTTCCATTGTATGGACCTATAATCCGCGAGTTAATTTCCCTTTACTTATACAAGTATGCAGATGCTGGTTCAACAGTCGTCGCAAACTTTACCGGGTAAAGGACAAAACAGCCACTGGCGTTGAGAGGATGTCAAAGTATAATCACCACACTTCAATAAAAAAGCCCCTTCTTGCAGGTTACTGCCGCATGCACTTGTTGGAACCGGTTGCTTCACGCACCCCTACCGTGTAAGCCGGCTTTCTTACATACATACGATGCACGCTGGAAGGACCTATGGATGCTCGGCTATAACATGCAGATGAATATTAAAGTACGAGTATTACACGCAAGTTGGGAAAGAGACTGCATTTCTCGCCTACACTAGACAAGCATGGTCTCTACTTAATGGAGTCTTTCCCCTGGTCCGTGGCCCAAGGTCGACATACAATCATCAGACTCCACGACCAGCACAGGTTCATACTAGGGCACGCAGCCAGACCGGCCAGTCAATCATGGAGACACTGAGCAGGCTTATCGCCGGGCGCAAGGCCAAGAGGGTCACCCAAGCCCGAGTGCCTACGGATGAGATCCTGCCCGTCTTCTTCTTCGACGACACCCCCATGCTACGAAATGCCGTCATGTGCTGGACCATGCGCTTCAACGATGTTCTCGATCCGGAGAAGCTGCATCAAAGCCTCGCGCGATTGCTGGAAAGAGGAGATGGATGGAGGAAGCTCCGAGGCCGCATTCGGCTCAATGCAAGTTGCACAAACGCTCACTCATGAACTATCCGCGCTGACTCGGCGTGCCAGCAACGCGATAAACTAGAGATTCACGTCCCTCAACCCTCTACGCCGGAGCGTCCGGCATTGACCTTCTCTCACGTTTCGTTCGAGACAAGCATCGACGAGCACCCGTTGGCATCCAAACTCCCAAGACCAACTCAGTCTCCATCGCTCCAAGCCAACCATGGCGATTTCAAGAGTCTCGGCATTTCCCCCAACGCGCCGCGCACCATAGACGACTATCTAACCACCGATGCTCCTCAGCTTTCGCTTCACATTGTCTCTTTTACAGACGCAACCTTGGTCTCGTTGACGTGGCCGCATATATCCTCTGACGGTGTGGGCCTGCGAGATCTGGTCGAAGCTTGGAGCTTGATTCTCGCCGGCCACGACGATAAAGTGCTGCCAATGATGACCGCTTGCACAGAGGATCCCATGGCAACTGCAGGCTTGGATCCGAATTTCCAGGAGAAGCACATCCTCGAAAAGCACCACATGAAGGGGTGGAGAATACTCGTCTGGGGCCTCCGCTATCTCCTGGACATTGTCTGGTGGCCAAGGATGGAGACGAGGACCGTGTATCTTCCACGGGAGGCTTGCGAGAAGATGAGAACAGACGCAATGGCCTCGCTGCAGGCCGCTGCACGTCATGGCCCAGGAATGCCAACCCCATTTATCAGCGACGGCGACGCCATAGCGGCGTGGATATCGTGCATGGCGGCCAAGGAGCTCTCTGCATCTTCAACAAGGAGTGTGGTCATCCTGACCCCCGTTGATGTCCGAAGCCGCATGCCCTCCCTCTTTCCCGTGAAGCAGACCGAGGGCGTCTATATCCTCAACGCCGCTCCTATCGTGTCCACCATTATCAATGCACAGGACATGCTTTCTGGAGATGACGCCATAGCCAAGACGGCACAATGTCTTCGACGCAGTCTGAGGGTTCAGACCTCTGAAGGCCAGCTCCACGCGCTGAACCGCCACGAAAGAATATCAATCGCCGAAAATGGTCTCCCAGCCTTTTTCGGAGACATGAGCAGCTTTGTTGTCATCTTGTCAAACATGACCAAGGCCCAATTCGTCGAGAAACTGGACTTTGGGCCGGCCGTGATTCACAAAGGCACCGGCAGTAGTCGACTCAAGGAGCGCTGGGCCGGCTCATCGGACCAGATCTCCCTTCCTGGGAGAATGGTTTACTATCACATGCAGGGGCTGGGCGATGAAAATATCTTCATGCGGAACAACTTCTTTCTGTTTGGGATGCCTGGCGGAGATTACTGGATCAATGGAAGTCTTCCCCCTGCGATATGGCGCAAGGTTAGGGACTCATTTTCATCTATATATGTGGAGCCAGATGATATTCATGCCTCCGCCAACAGAATCTAGATGATGCTTGATTCTCAGACGAAAACAGAGGTGCAGGTGTAGCGAAAGCGTCTGTTCGTCAGTAAGAACGGTCCGGTATCAAGGTCTATGATTGCATGCCCCCAGGTGCCTCGATACAACCCAGCGCATGTATAGTAGACCTACCTCCCTGGGCTCTTTCACAGAACAAGGTACCGTGGAGAAGGAAGGGCGAGTGGGATCGGGTCTACTTGGGCAGATATGGCGGCACATATAAGCAGCCGGAGCAGATTCAGGCCATGTTCCCAGCAAAAGCTGTAAGTTGGATTGAGAAGACAAGGTAGAAGCCCCCCTTTATACGCTTGTACGCTTTACTCAGTCACCGGGAATACAAGTGAGACACTGGGAGCATGGAGGTGAACGACTACGGGTGACTAATGCCGGCAAGTCCTTTCGTCTAGGTAGCTCAGACGCTTGAGTTTCTCCCTTGACTTCAGTCAGTCAGTGCGTCATATCAAGCAAGGGCATGCTCGGCAGTTGGGACTCAGAGCTTAACAGCCCTGAGACAATTCTGCAAGAAACGTATCCTAATCCTCTCGCCACCAAGCGAAAGTCCCGCGGAAAACAGGTGCCTGGAAGATTGACCTTGACGGTCACTCAGAGGGGGCCGGCGTTATTACAAAATTCAACGACGGCAAGCCGATAGTCCAGCCGGGCCACAAGGTCGACTTGACGTGGAGCTGGACAGTGCTGTGTCGCGGAGAGCAGTGGCAAACGCCAAGTCTCTGCTGCGCCCCCTTGGCTTGGTAGAGGTCCAGTGTGTGGCATTATGCAATGCAAGACACGCTGGCAGGATGACGAAACGGCCCGGCTTCGCAATGTCGGGTTGGGGGCAGAGAACAAGGGAAACAATCAGCAGAAAAAGAAAGCCTGCAGAAATTGCCGCAGACAAAGGAATCGAGCATGCCGGCACGTCTGCTGGGCATGTGGAATGCCAGCCGGGCACAAACGCGCGCCAAGTGACGTGCCGTTGTCAGTATGGCCAACAACAGCAGCAGGCGGCCTTTGTGGGGGGCGCTTTTGCTGCGTCGCTAAGAAACAAAAGTGCGTGCGTGCGTTGGGCCATGGGAAACAGGGAGAAGCATCAATCGAGAGAGTCGACGATGGGCTTCACGTGATGCGGCAGTGGGTGTGCCGCAATTTGCACTCTTGCACCCTCCCCAAAACTACCTACCTACTGTACGGATACCTACCACCAACCTAGGTAATAATCTCTCCCTTTTTTTCCAACGCCTCGCTGTCAACATCCAGTACCCGTCTTCAGCACAGCTAGCCGTTGCTGATTCCCTGCCACGGCCGACGGAAAAAGGAAAAAAAGGTGCGATGCTGTCCCTGCGCGATGCCTCCTCCTCCTCCTCCTCCTCCCTCCTCTACTGCTTCAAAGCTGACTCGCCCCCCTTTCCAGTCCAGCCGACCGGATCGCCGCCCACCATCTTGGCCTACGCCAGAGCCCTTTGTCGACACACACCTTCGAACCCCGCCGCATTTGTGACACTTCATCCTGCATTGCCACACGTCGTCAAGCTCGTTCAAAAGGGCTCCCGACTGCTCGCCCCTTGCCTCCACCGCCGCGACCTCCATAGCCGGACGAGACCGGACACACGATTGCGCCAATTGGCCATTCTGGCGCCTTGTCGACTCCGAATCCCTCGCCGCCCAAGAAACCGACGAATCCCCTTCCGCTCAACGAACCGACCGACGCTCTGCATCTCCGGCCTTGTCCTCCGAGCGCCCGACTCCCGAGACCACCAACATACCGCGCCGTCGTCGCCGACCGCAGGCGCATGGATCGCTCATAGCGCCGCGCTATTTCATACACGGACATCCGGGAAACAAGACAGCCACCTGCTGCCTCCAGCCACCGGCTCGGGGAGAGCATGAGTGGCGAGGAGGACGGCGGCTCCCAGAACGGGGCCGAGACGAAGTCGGTCCTGTCGCCGATGATTCCGTCGTCGCCTGACACGCCTTCTGGCTCTTCTTTCGCGCCCCTCGTCACCGTCGTCGGCTTCCATCATGCCCGCGGTCCCGAGGTGGAGTCTTGGTTCGGCGTCGACCAAGACGTCGACCCCGCCGTCGACTTTGGCTGGTCGCTGCTCCCCTTCATGGCCCTGAGCGATGGGGCGCACGCGTCAGTTACCTTGGCCGTAGCCTCCGTGCGAGCTACTCTGCTGACCACCCCCAAGTTCCGAGGAGGATTTTTCCTACTTTACTCTCCTGAGACCAAGGACGGACACCGAACCGGCCACTTCGCTCTTTGGCATCTCCTGCACCCGCCAGCTCGACTCGTCGCAGCTCATCAACCGCCCTGCCGATGTGACCCGCTCGACGGTGCAGAAAGCCGTCGTCGTCATTGCCGACAGCCCGCAGTTCTTTGGCATGCTGCGCGAACGCCTCAGTGTCGTGACCCAAGCATGGTTTGCCCAGCGCGAGTTCGCAGACATTGAGATTCTGCGCAGGTTTCAGGAGAGCCTTGCAGACGAAAAAGCACGCGGCGCCATGAAGGCTGACAACGACCGTAATGAATATCTCGGCATGAGCTTGCGCGAGCTCATTCACAAGTTCAAGTGGCAGACGCTCGTCCTACTCAAGTGCTGCCTCCTCCAGCCAAAGGTACACTTCCCTGCTCGACGGCTAAAGAAGAAAGCTGACCCCTGTCAGATGCTATTCTTTGGCTCCCGCTGCGACCGGTTGTGCATGGTCCAATTCTCCCTCATCTCCCTGATACCCGGGCTTTTACGCAGTCTGCAGGACTGTGCAGACCCCGAGCTGGATAATTACGAAAAGAAGTTATCGCGGCCAACAAGTCTACAGAGCAGCAACCGCACCTCTCTCTTGTCCTTCATGGGGCTTCCCTTGCAGATCTTTGGCAAGGTCAGGACGGCAGCTGTGCCACCTCCCGAAGCTATGGCTAACGCGACCGCAGGGCAGCTTCTTTGGTCCTTACACTCCCCTGCAGCAACTCGATATTCTGGCCGACTTTGGCACAAAGTCATATCTGGTCGGAAGCACAAACTCTCTCCTCCTCCAGCAAAAAGACCGTTACAGCGACATTCTCATCAACCTAGATGAGGACACCGTCACCATCACATCGCCCTCTCTGAGATCGGCGCTCGCCCTCACTGCGGCTGATCGGAGATGGATAGATTTTCTCACGCAAGAGATCAACGAGACTTGGGACGAGACGAACCCGAGCAGGCCCAAGACGATGCAATATGTCGGGAGCGAGGAGTTTATCCGCTCGCAGTTTGAAGCTTACATCCTCGGTCTCATATCGTCCGTCAAGTTTCACAACTTTCTCGTCGCCAACGCCGACGTTTCCAAGGGCAATGCCGCGGCCGAGGACCCCGCCGTGGACTACGGCATGGAATGGATCGAGGCCTGGATGCGTACGGAGAATTACCGCATGTGGAACGATCACACCGATTCAAACTTGTTTGCCGTCTCGGAGCCCAAGCATCCCTGCGCCGGCGGCCTGAACATCGACGATGTCCAGAGGCGCATCGCCGAGCAGGTCAAGGAACTCCACTTGGACGAGCGCTTCGCCCAGGGCCGCGAGATACTTGGTCGCAACTTTGCATTTGGTCGCGAAAAGGCCTCGACCATGCTCAACAGGCTCTACTCGGACGTGGAATACCTGCGAGAGTCGCAGCGCCGCCGGGGAGAAGAGGCCAAGGCCGAGGTTGCTGCGGAAAAGGCTCCTGCTCCGGCTCAGTCGCCGGTGGACTTGGGCAAGGCGCAGCAGACGATGCAGTCGGTCGGTGTCAAGGCCAGCGCCTACATGTCCAGTTGGGCGGCCTGGGCGGGCGAGAAGCGCAAGTCCGGAGGCTGGGGCACGGGCTGGGGCCGCAAGACGAGGTCCGACAAGTCGGCGTCGACCCCCACGAGCCCCCTGCCCAACCAGACGGCGGCGAGCCCACGCTGGTCCAAGTTGCCGTCGGTAGAGGACCCGGACCTGCGGCCCACGACGCAGGCGAGCTTCAGCGAGAGCATTCTCTCGGGCGCCAGCGACTCGCAGGATGACCGGCCCGAGTCCTCGGAATCCTACGCCGCGGCCGTTCTACCAGACAAGGACAACCCCTGGGTAGCCGAGTTAGACAAGCCCGGCACGCGGCCCGCACCGGTAGTCGTGGACGCCAGGGCAGTGGAGGACGGGTTCCAGAGTGAGTCCGTGGTCGGGGTCAAGAGTCCGACAAGCGACGGCGCCGGTGATGCCAAGAGCTAGAACCAGACGGTGGACGGGACGAGCCGTCGAGCCTGAAGGCTGAATTAATGGAGCAAGGACTGCCACACTGCGTCTTGCTAGCGGCAGCGGCGCCACGCGTCAGCAGCGTGCGTCGGTGGTGGATTGTGGAACGTCGCGAGCATTTATGTTGAGTACCAAAAAGCATTTCAAGAGATGAATTGGCGTGGCCGGGTCATGAGGGACACATACATTGATTACACATTGATGCTTCACTGTCATCATTTCCTTCACGAGCAGCTGTTCTTGACTTGTGATTTGTGAAAAGCTCCCTAATTCCCTCGTACTCCCGTCCGACACCCGGCACCAGCTGCCATGCTCCATGTCCCACCCGCATTCCCCTGAAACCCGACATGAGGCCATGGCGAAGGCCTTCCCACCCAGCACGCAAATTTGAACCGAATGCATTGCCCCGCCTAGATAGATGCAGGGCGTGCAGAATAATGAACCAGAGGGGCAAGAGGCCGAGAAAGCAGCCGCCACTGGGAGAATTGTATCTATTTCATACTATCCGCTTCCATCAACCTCCCGCTCGGCTGCAAAAGGGCAAAGTCCCGATATGTCCGGTTCTGCGGGCAACGCCGATGCAAAATACACAACAAAGGTTGGGGATCCGTGTACGGACCTGTTTGGAGGATCAACCATCCGTGGTGCCGAGCCACGAGCCCATGCTGTCCGACCCTAGGCGAGATAACCCAGGTCGTCGTCGTCCATGCGCTCCAGGTATTCCTTGTCGAGAAGTATTTCTATGCACTTCTTGATGTCCCCAACCTTTGGCACGAAGCGTGAGCGAATCTGGTTGATGGTCTCGCTCATGAGCTGCGTGTGCTTCATCCTCTTCCGTGCCTTCATGATGCGCACAATGGCCGACTGTTTCCCCACTGTTAGCGCTAACTTCCTCAAATGTCATAGAGGGATAAAGAGAGGAGGGCCTGTGCATACCTGAAGGACCAGCTTTCGGTCCTCTTCAATCGTCTTGTTTGTCTCGGCCTCTTCCTGCTTGGTCTCCCTGATGCCGCCCAGATTCAGGTTGACTCGAATCTTCTTGCTCTTAAAGTCGTAGTTGAGGCTAAACGTCTTGCCGGGGCCGGGTTTGTCCCCTGCCCCGCCGGGCATGAGGAGCACCTTGGCCTTGAGAATCACAGCCAATGCTTGATCCAGCACTTCGCTGCTGAGCTGCGTTGCGCTGAGCATGTCTTCGTACGTGTAGACATCCTTTTCGTTGAAGAGCAGGAGTATCGCCATCTGATAAATGGACACCTGGAAAGTAAATGGCGTCTTGCTGCTTTTGCAGTAGCCCGTCCTCATCTCGCCCTTGCAGAGGTGCCACAGCCACGTAAGTTTGCGGCCATCGTGCTTGTGCTTGTAGAAGCGGGCAAAGCGTTCAATCTCAGTTGCGATTTCGGCCGGAGGGTGAAAGTGTGTGCTCGGCGGCGTGAGCGGCCAGAACCCAGTCCCGAGTATGGAAAAGGTAGAGTCAACGCCGCTCGTGGATCCCACACTGGAAAGGTGGTCGCTGAATTCTTTGTTAAGGTCCTTGGATATCTGCATGTCCTGGAACATGCGCTGCAGCTTGTTGGTGTATTCGAAGCCGCATGCCTCCTTCAGCTTGCTGATCATGCTCGTCTCGGCGTCGTCAGACGACGAATTGCTATTCACCAGCCGCCTGGCCAGCATGCGCGAGTAAAACTTCTGGAACACATCCTTGTCCTCGATGTATCGGAAGACAGTCATGATTTGAGTGAGCGTCCGCTCCAAATCAGCCTCCTCGATGCTGGTGCTACTCTTGCGTAGGAGCACATCCGTGTACTTGGCCAAGAGTTCCGGCGACTTGCTCGACGCCGACTTGCAAACCTCGTTTCGGTTAACGAATTCCCTGCACGCGTTGTCGAGCGATCGGGTGAACTCGGCCTCGTCGTTGAAGGCCTTCTTGACCAGCATTTGGTACTGGCTGTGGACCTCAAGGAGAGCATCCACATACACCTTTGGCTCCAACTTGTCTCCTTCTGATGACTGGACCTTTTGAACGGCCGCGAGCCCTGCTTTCCGCACGTGGGTCTCGAACCTCGCCCTGAGCGGCTCGAGACCGTCGGGGATTCGTGACAAGAGGTTGTACATTCTCGCCATGTCCTCCTCCCGGTCCGTGTCGAGCAGAACCTGGAACTCCTCGCGCAGCAGCGCCGAGTGATCGGCAATCAGAGCCATGTTGCATGTCCTCTTGAGTGGTACGGCGATGTCATGGTGAAGGTACATGCTGACCCTTTCCTCCTCTTCGGCCAGTCGGGTCTCCGCCTTCTTCATGTACTCGACAACGCTATTCTCGGCCACAAACTGCTTAGATTCGGCCTGGTAGAATTCTTTGGTGGCGGCGAGGAAGGGCCGTTCGAAGTGGTAGCGGTACACGTCGAGAGTAGACTTGGAAGGGTCGGCTTCGTCGAGACCCAGGGACACAAACGAATCCACCACTTGCTTGATCTGGCCATGTTCGATGGTCTCGCCGTTTCTCTGCTTTTCCACAAGTTTCAAAACGGCGTCCATGACCTTGGAAGACACCTGCTCAAACAGAACCTTGCGCCACTGGACCAGGTGCAGCGTGTAGACATCGTAGATGTTTTTTTTTCCCTCGTCAATCTCTCGCTTAACCCAGTGACGATTGAGGTACCGGAAAAGATGGTGGATGTACTTCGCTGCAATGGTGTATCGGTTCCACTCCTTGATGTAGTAGGCGAGGAGGGCCTCCTCGGTGTGTGACTTTGATTCCTCGACAAGCTCTCCCAGGTGTGTCCGCAGGTAGGAGATGAGCTTATTGTACAGCTCCTCGCCGAGGAGGTGCGCTGGGGTAGAGCAGACTGGGTTAGGCCCTGGAAGTCGCGTATACGTCGGCGCGCTAGACTTACCTCCACGGTGGTTGGAGTGCATGGCAGGACCGCCGAGCCCAACAGATTTTTGAGACGTGCAGAAGTTGTGGACGGCTCTGCGCGGCATTAGCATGGCGTCAGCAGTAAAGGGGGGAGGGGGGGTAGGGAAAGACCGCACGTGTAGACTCCCATGTACATTTGCATGTCGATGCCCTGCTCGAGATCGTTCATGATGCGGGTGATGCCGGCCTGAAGATAGTTCCAGCTGCTTCGGTAAGCCAAGGGGACCTCGCAGGCGAAGCATTTCTGAACTCACGTAGCCCCGATATCCTCGCGGTTGGGCACCGGAGGCATCTGACTCGGACTCGCCATTCTCGCCGCCATTGTCTACGCCTGATGGGCAGAGCGCCGTCGCGGGGAGAGATGAGGCGGGGTCGCGCGTGAGGGGCGTCGTGGTCGAGTCGTGGAAAAGCTGCCTCGCGAGGGTTAGCGGCTCGATCGGACAGCTGGCAAACACCCGCCGAAAGGGCGTGTCTGCGGGGCTGTCGGTCGGGAGAGCACAAGTCGCGGGAGGAGCTCGACGCCGGGACGAAGAGGCGGACGCAGCCGGCGGAAGAGGCGATGGCCGACACCGGGGTCGAGGAAATGGGCGCGTGACACACGGATGCAGTGATGACTGCGGCGACAGACGGCACGAGCAAAGTCTCAACTGTCTGCGCCCTCGGTCCTGGGCTGCAAGGGAGAGGAAAAGGGAGAAGGCGAAGCGCGGCGAGGAGAAGAGATGTTGTTGGAGGAGAAGGACTATGGCAAAGGATTCGGGCGTCAGTCCTCAGCGCCGCTTTCCCTTTGTTAGCCTGCTGAGTGGATGAGGCAAGCACGGCAAGGCAGTGATTGCGGGAGGGAGCGCTAGGCCCAAGCCGGCTTAGCGCACGAAGCTGCCATTTGTACGTACGGAGCACAAAGTTAGAATCGATGAGCCAAGAAGCAAGGTAACTTATCCGCTCCGACAATAGGCTACCCGCAAGCCTTCGTACGACTCAAAGATGCGATGCCGTGACAGCAGCCGGAAGAGGCTTTCAAGGCCTGGTGGGAAGCCTCTGCGCCGGAGCGATACAGAGACCTGAGGCTTAAAGCCACAACCAGCTGCCCGTCAGAATTGGCGCTCTCTCGGCCCCTGCTTCGTAACTTGCTTGCAGCAAGAACCCACCATGGGGATTTTGCTGACTACCACGAAAGGTTTGGTCACGACAATGCGCGACTGACGTGCTCGTGCGGAAGACGAAAAGAGCCAGCACACATCTTTTACTGCAGAAAGGTTGCGCCACGGCATCGTATGCGGCTTGCACCTTGGCCGGCTGCAGCCATCAACCGCGCAATCGGCAAGGACTTTGACAAATTCGTCAGGCTGGCGAAAGCGAGCTCCTTCTTCGGAGGATCTGCCCACGCCACTAGACGGTCATCATTCTCTCTCTCACCCTACCTTTCCTCTCAATCCTTTCTGTTACCTGCTCCGATCTCGGGCGGCGTCAAGGTCTCGCGACCATGCGATCGCCGAGGTCATCAAGGGCTGCAAGGCCCCAGAAGCAAATTGGCTGATCTGACCACGGGACAGCTTTCTCTTCATGCCTGGACGTCCCGCTGACGGGCAACAGGTTTGTCATGAGCGCCGTTGAGCCGATGAAATGCTGGATAGTGGGTGAAGTGTACGATATGTAGCATGTAGACACCTGCTAGCTCAGCACGTCCTGTGCTCCCCTGCGGAGACCTGAGCGACCAAAAGTTGCTGGACGGAAAATACACTAAACTAAACTAAACTAAACTATGCGATGCCGTCCCGGACTTTCTCACGAGGGGGCGCCTTAATTCAATGAAGTCGCCTTCTGGGTTATCATACAACATGCCCGAGCTCCTTCGCGGGTAGACTCCGACACAGCATCTGGAATCCCTCAAACGGGTCGCCCCGCGATGCAAGCCGACAACAAAGTTATGTGCGGGTGCCCGACGCTCGGCTCTGACATGCTCCGGCATAACGATGTGAGTTACAAAGAAGCAGACCAGGCCCAGCCCCCCTCGCCCTCCTCCGCCATCATTATTTATCGACGTAAGTGGGTAATTAAGGTATGTACTTGGCCCTGCGGCTGTATCATCGCTGGAGCCGAATGCACCAATGTGAGCTGAATGTATGCGGTAATGAGACGAGGGGATCGCAGTCGTAACATCGTTCAGCATGCAATGCAATGCAGTTTCGTAACCTTTTCCTCTTCGAATCTGCTTGAGAAGGGAGCTCTCCGGTTGCTCGACCCCTGAAGCCTTCGCCAACACAGGCCTCCCTTTGCAAGGCGTCCTCCCGTCCCGTACAAGTTGGCCAAAACGGAAAATACTCTTCCTCAAGCGAGTCCGCTGTCGTTGTCGGCGCCGCCGCCAAGCCGCTCCACGGTGCGAAAGATGTTGACGGTGAAGGTCATGGTCCAGGATATAAGCCCGACAAGCTCAAAGACTCCCAGCGCCGTCGAGAGATGCAGGAGGTTGCTCTCCCTGACGTTGTGAAAGACGAGGCTCTCAAACGCCAGAGCCGTGCTGGCCGACTTGAAGATGACGAAAAAAAGGTCAAGCAGGATCAGTCGTACCTTAGAGAATCCGGAGCGCAGCCCGACCGGCTTGCCCGTATACTCGTCCCAGATCATGTACCCTATGTAGGGGATAGCCACACAGTCAACAGCGACTGCCACGGCCGCCTGAGTTCGCTCCGCGCTGTTCCTATCAATCGAGTCCTCACGTTGGTATATCCGTGTGGCGATGCCGAGGGCGAGTATAGACGTGACCATGACGGCCAATCGGAAGAGCAAAGGAGACAGCGAGTTGCGCATGATGGCGTTCCAGACGCGCTTGTAAAACACCATGGTCCTTCGCCTCCGTGACCCCTTGGAGTCGAGCGGGTGCAACGGCACCTCGGCGTCGCGATCAAACGACGGTTGCAGCTTCTTCAAGACTTCGTAATCGACCACCTCGGACTCCTCGTTGGGCATATGCCCCCACGCCGACGCATGAAGAAAGTCGTTCCAGGCCAGCGCAGGCTGGGATGTCGCAGGGCTGTAGGCAGCGACGATGACGGGCTCGGCGGATCGCAGGTGGTCCCATTTCCTTCCACGCATCGACGCGCGGCCGTACCTCAGAAAGTGAGGGATCTTGGCGCGGACATCTTTTGCCGGTCCCAGCTGGGGGTCATCCCAGGTGACGAATCCGTCCTTGGAGACGCGTCGCTGGAGCTCGTTGGGGGTCGCATTGTGCTGAGGTCGGACGACGCGGGCGGGCGGGTTGAGGAGGCGGAGCTGGGACTCGGGCGCGACGCCATATCTCTCTTCGTAGGAGTCAATCCAGGCTGCACACGACGTCAGCCTCGAAAGAAAGGAGCATCAAAGCAGGGGACCAAGGTGGGGACCGAAAAAGCATCGGTGACGTACGGGGCAAAGATCGTGGAGGCCGCAATCGTAGAGCCGCCTTGTCGGCTGCGCTTTCGACAGACTTTTCGGATTCCGAAGGAGCGTAACGAGCGTCAAGTGTTGACGAGGACGCCATGGCCAGAGGGCCGCTTGCTCGCTTCAGGCTAGGAGAGGCGGCCGCCGGCTGCCCAGACATTTGGGAGCGACCGTTGCGAGGCGCCGAGTCTCAACAGCTTGGCATGGTTCTCGTGGTCGCCAACGCTTCCAGGGGGGGCGCGCGCGGAGAGGGCATGTGTCGACGGAGGAGAGGATCGTGGAGAAGCGGTGCAAATTCGGAGCCCGTTGCTTGCTGATCGCGCGGCGAGCGCGCGTCTGCCGAGTTGGAGGATGCAAACAGGCTGCTTTTAACGACACCTCGGAAGTGGAATGAGCCCAAGAGATGACTTTACTGGTGGGGCGGGGGTATTTCACGTGACAGCAGCATGCTTTGACCAAGTCTTCAAGAGCCTGGGGTACTTGGGACGAGGCGTGAAAGACGGCGCTTCAGCCCGCTCCGACAGTATTTTTAAAGGAAGCAGTACTTTTTGTCATTGATCGGCACTTGGACGAGCTGCTGAGAAGTTTCAGCATCAGTTCAGAGCCAACTGGCTGAGATGAACAGTCCTAGCCCTACCTTAGTAGCCTACCTGAGGTGCTTGCAAACGCTATTCTGAGCCCAAGCAAGTACCAGCCCAGGTGAAGGAGCACGTGGCTTCCTGATGGCTCGATAACCCAGGGTGCTTGTATCTTGACCGTGCGAATCGAGGCTGCTTCACACGGAGCATTCGCTTTCTCGACCTCAGCTTTAGCTCGACGACGGTCAATTCTCTATCTCAGCCTGCCTCGACACTAGCCATTCCTCCGCGGCACGCGACGCTGCCCTTTCACCGTGCATGAGTTACAAAGTAACAGCCCTTATCGTCGTGGTTACTTGCGGCATGGGGCCGGCGAGATGATGGTTCCCCGTCACGTCGACCCATTCACGCCGGCAGATTAACTCATGACCTGACTTTGTGCACGCTTGCGCACCTCAAGAGCTCGACCACCATCGGCACGCTCTGCCTGGACGAGATGCCGCTGAGCTTAAAGGACAGAGGTGGCAGGCTGCAGGCTTTCGCCCGCAAAAACTCGGACAGCGCCGCCAACTACAACGCGAGCGCCCCAAAGAGCGATACTCTGGTCGAGACCGGATCAGACACGCCCCAGGATCCGTCACATGCGCCTACCAGACAGGAACTGGCCGAAGCTGCCAGGCTTTCCCTGCCCGCAAACTACCGAAACGGCGCCTCGCATCAGCAACACAATGGCCAAATCACTAGCCATGCGCGCTTGGCGTCGCCGCCACACGTCTCTCAGACTTCCCCGACTTCACACCCGGCCAGGGGCAGCTCGGGCCATCACCACCACCCAGGTCTCTTCTCCGGCTCCCAGCTCGGCGACAGCTTCATGAACTCGGGCCTCTCGACTCCTCTGAACGAGCCTGAAGAGGGGTCCGAGGGAGAGGCAACCCCCAATGCCAAGGGGCAAAGCAACCGCGGCCCTCAGGCTCACGTTCAAAACAGCAGCAGGGGCTTTCAAAGCGCCCCTCCTCCGGCTGCTTTCCGCATCGGAGAAAACCTCATGATGTCGGTTGTCCCGGGGGCCGATCGCCGCGGCCTGCCACAGATGATGGACGGCTTCCACGACGATGCCGTACTCGCAAACAGGAGGCAGCCGCAAAGCTACAGGCCCCACCATGACCGCTCATCAGCAGCTGCTGCGGTTCAGCCGAAGCTTCCTGTACGCGAGGTAAGGATTAAGAGGCTGCCCGCACCTAGCCGAAATGTCATCCATGAAACGCGTGAGACTCCCAGCCCATCCCCGTCCATTGAGAGTACACACTGGCCGGGGCGGCGGAACCTGGACGATGCCCGACAAAGCGCTCCCGCCCACGACCTGGACGAAGAGCTCGACTCCCTGTCCGCGCATGAGGGGCCCCCTAAGATGGCTGCTGCAGACAAACCCAGAGGCGGCACGCGGCGCTTCAGGGAAGGGAGTCCGGTGCCTGCCAACATTGCGCTGCAGAAGCTGCCCCGGGAACGGAAGCGCCGCCGTGGCAGCCCCGACTACGATGACAGGATGCTGAGCTCAATGTCATTCAGCGATCTCACAGACGAACCCTTTGACCTTGACCCGGGCAAAGCAACAGCCCAGGGTGGACAGGACGCATCAGCCAAGCTCCCCCTAAAGTTAGAGCAATACCGACAGCAGGGGGAAAAGGAGCAGCAGCACATGTTTGCCGCCATGGCGTTGGATGATTGGGAGGCCGCTGGCGACTGGTTCGTCGACCAATTCAGCGGCATTATGACACAACTACGAGATGCCAGACGCAGCAAGCGTCGCATGGTTCAAGGGTTTGAAGACGAGGCTGCTAGACGTGAGGAGGCTGTTCGGCTTCGCTCGGAGACGATTGATCGCAAGCTTGCCAAGATGAGGCAAGATGGACAGCGCGTGGTGGATGACAAGAGTCTGTAGAGAGGGGCTGGAAGCTTGCTTTGCTTAAAAGACATGTACCATGTGCGTTGCGAAGCTGGCGTTTTGGGGCGTACGAGGAGTCCTCGGGAGATGAATCTATACCATGAAGACAGTTTGCCTGGCCCATGACATGCTTTCCAGCCGTGGAGAGATTGCCCTAAATGCGAACGACTTGATTCACCCTTCTGTCACGACCAACCACCAGGCGCAGTTGGCATCCGGGACGGTTTGCAAAGATGCCTCTCCTCAAGCCATCCGTGTAAAGCTCGTAGCCGGGAAAGTAGCCATCGACAAACTTAATGACCTGGTCCGGCGTCATGCCAGCAGTCGGATCTCGCCTCTGGGCTCGGAGGCTGTCTTCCTGCTCCAGGCGCCAGCTGTAGACGTACTCGACATCTTCCGAGTCAATGTGGATGAAGGCGTCAAAGAGGTCCGTCAGAGGGTCGTAGTCCTTGAGGAGTTGGTTGAGGAGAAGCAAGTACTCCAGGCGATGCTTGTGCAGGGTACGGCTCGGGGCGCTCCATCTCCGCTCGACGTCGTCCAAGCTCAGGGGTCGGAATCCGACCAGCCAGCCCTCGAGGATGACGACTTGCACGGGCGGCTGTCCAGGCTCATTGACGGCCTTCCACTCCGACCCGGGCCGGCGGTCTCCCTGACCGTTGAAGGCGCCCTTGTCGTACTGGGGAATTTTCGTGGGCTCTCCGCGCATCAAAGAGGCAAAGACGGATCCTGCGAGAGCAATGTCATGGGTTCCTAGAAGAAGCACCCAGTCAGCGCCGTCCCGCCTACCTACCCTAGACTCCCTGGGTACGCAGGTCCGGTGTTCACCTGGCTCGCCGCGGTGCTGCATGAGCGCATTGCCGGGGTGCTCGCGAGCCAGGGCGGCTTGGTCCTCGTGCGTCAGATAGAAATCGTCTATGCTGCAGGTCAAGGTGCGGATGCCGGCCGCGTCGAGCACAGCGGCTAGCGCAGTGACGAGCGTTGTCTTGCCCACTCCCTGCATGCCGTTGAGGCCAATCATCAAGGGCCCGCGGGACTGATGGGCCTCGAGGCGCTCGCGGATAAAAGGGATGCATATTGGAGCTTTGTCATTGTGCAATTCCGACAGCATTGGGGCACTTGGATGCGCAGGTCAGAATGGCGATGGACTTGGACGTTTCTGAGGCGGGGGTGTATGCAAGTGGCACTGCACCGACAACGACCAGCAAAAGAATGTCCAAACAAATACAGTTACGGGCTGGCTTCGGAACTCACGGGCTTGCAAAGGCAGCAAAAAGCCAGCAATGTCGAGTATACCAAAAAAAAAAGACTATATTGCTACTGGACAGCAAAAAGTGGGGCTTCACCGGGATTCGAACCCGGGGCCTCCTGCAAAGGCGATTCTTAGGAATCGGGGACTCCAGGTTATTTCCCGAACTAGGACTTATTAGCTTACGGTCGGAAGGGGTACTGTATGTCGGTTGAACGTACGCAGGAATCATACCACTAGACCATGAAGCCATGTGAATTGATGAACGGGGACTAGTTGTTAGTCCATATATTCTGCGCAACAGCTCATCACGGTACTGCCATGCATCCGGTCGGAGAGACAGATCTGATGAAGCTCCATCACTGCATCAAGTCGCTCCTTGTCTGCCATTCAAGCCTTTGTTTGTCGGTTGACAAGAAGAAACGCAAACCGCGTCGGTATCGGGAGCGTCGAGCGGTCCAATTTTTGGTTCTTTACTAACCAGCCGCTGCGCACGTAATTCGTATCTACCGTCCCGGTGCTTCTGCTCCCGCGCTGCTGCCGAAGCTCGTCTTCGCTCAACACCGGCGCACGTGGCATCCCTCATCTGAGTCATCCGACGACAAACGACAACCTCCTCCTCCTCCTCCCGCAAACCGTACCTTCTGGCGGCCAGCTTGCGCGACCCAGAGCGACAGACATGCGCGTTCATCCAGCATGAGAATCCATCATGGTCTTCTCGGGCCTGCTCTCCTCCAGTAGCAGCGATAGATCGCCCGCCAGCAGCCGCACCAAGCCAAGGCCCGCGCCGCTGCCGTTGTCCTCGTCGTCCTCGTCGTCAGAGCAGCAGCAGCACCGGCGGCCGGAATTCATACACGACGAGGCCCAGCTGCCCTGCATCCCGCCCGAGCGGCCCGACCTGCGCGACCTCAACAGCAGCCTCGAGGCCCTGGCCGCCGTTTTCCCCGATGTCCAGATCGAGGTCTTCCGTGAGCTGCTGTCCAGCTTCGACGGCGAGTCGCGCCTCGCCCTCGTCGCCGACGCACTGCTCAAGAACCGCGTTGCCTGGGTCAAGGGCAGGTGGAGGACCGTCGCCGACCGGGGCTCCGACCCTGCCACGCCCCTGTCCAGGACAGACGTCTTCCGCAGCCCAGAGTACATCCGGGCCGTTCGCTCACTCGCTTGGCTAGAGTTCAGGGGCCTGTCGCGGTCCACCATCAACGCCGTCCTTGCCGAGTCAAACCACGCCTACCTCGACGCCCGCCGCACCCTCGTCTCGCTCTCGTCAAAGTCCTGGCGCTTCACCATCTCCTCTCTCTTCCTGCGACGGAAGCCCATCGGCACCGGCGAGGCCGAAAACCACCCCCTCGTCGTCTGGCGCTCCACCGGCCACGGCTCCATCTTCCCCGCCGTCCGCAGCACTGGCAGCGCCGAGCTCGACCGCGAGCTGTACGATACCCTCGTGCGTCCCTTGAAAGAGAGGGACAGAGAGGAGAGGGAGGCGGCGGACCGCGGGCTCGCCGTGCGCCTCAACCACGATGAGGCTGAGCGGGCGGGCGCAACCCACGAGTGCACATGCTGCTTCGTCGGCGCCCCCTTTGAGGAGTTTACCAGCTGCAACCAGGCCGGCCACATGATTTGCGTCCGCTGCGTGCGGCACTCCATCAAGGAGGCCCTCTTTGGCCAGGCATGGCTCAGCAGCATCAACACCGACACGGGCACCCTCAAGTGCCTGGCGGTCGAGGGCGACGGGTGCGCCGGCTACGTCCCGTCCGACCATCTACACCGCGCCCTGATGGAGGACAGGGAGGGCGCCGACATGTTGCACAAGCTGGACCAGCGTCTGGCGGAACAAGGTCTCGTGGCGTCGGCGCTGCCCCTGATCCACTGTCCCTTCTGCAGCTACATCGAGGTCGACGACGTCTGCGTGCCGTTGAGCGGCAGGCGGCCCCGGCTGAGGGTCGACAACGCCTACGGACTCGTGCTGCTCGTCTGCTGCGCGGCAATGCTCATCCTCTCCTTCCCCGTCGCCCTGCTCTCCTCGCTTGCGTGCATCCTCGTCAGCTCCAACCAGAGCCTGTGGCGCCGCCTCAGCAGCGAGTGGAACAAGGCGCTCAACCGACACTGCCGGCGGCGGCGGGGCCTGCGCTTCTCGTGCCAGAACCCGCGGTGCAAGCGCGTGTCGTGCCTGTCGTGCCACAAATCGTGGGCCGATATCCATGTGTGCAACGAGTCGTCGCTCGTGGCGCTGCGCACGCAGGTCGAGCAGGCCATGAGCCTGGCCATCAAGCGCGTGTGCCCGCGCTGCAACACGTCGTTTGTCAAGAACGCCGGCTGCAACAAGCTCACCTGCCCCTGCGGCTACAAGATGTGCTACGTCTGCCGCGCCGACCTCGGCGACGAGGGCTACCGCCACTTCTGCGACCACTTCCGCCCGGACGGGGACCCCCGCCCCTGCCGCGACTGCGACCGCTGCAACCTCTGGGAGGCCGAGGACGTCGACCGCGTCCTCGACCAGGCCCGCTCAGAGGCCGAGCGCGCCTGGCGCGAGCGCGAGCACCGCGACCTCTCGGGCGCCGAAAAGGCCTACCTCGAGACGGGCGTGGCCCAGCAACGGGGCCGCGGCGAGCGCTTCCGGGGCCGCGGCGCCGGCGGGCTGACGTTTGCCGATTTGCTGGACTTTGTTGTGGATGCGCTGTATGCCTGAGGGCCGTCCGGCCATGTTTCCTTGGCCCTTTTGTTTTGGTTTACTTTATTCGTGCTATTATTTTCATGGGCAAACAACGCATGGCAAACAACGCATGGCAAACAACGCATGGGTTAAACGTGGGAGCAGGAGCGGGCATGGGAATGGGGGCAAATGGCCCAGGGGTTTAACGGGGACATGTCGAGCATGGCAATCCGAGCGCATACAACTTCCCATTGCGTACAAAGCACAAATCATGAGTAAGAGGAAACAGTGTCATGTATATATATATATATATATATATATATATAGTACAAGCGCGTCTGGACTATCCAACCATTCAATCACTCATTTCCCATCCAGATGGGAGACGAAACCCGCCTCCTTCCTTCTCGTCCTTGTCCAATCCCAATCTCTCTCCTCACAGGCTGCTGCCCGTGTCGCCGCCAGGCATGAGCTCCGCGGCGGCGCCGGCAATGGCGGGCTTCCCCGTCTCCTTGACCTTTGACTGGAAGACGACGCGGTTGCCCTCGCGCCACATCTCGGTGACGAGCGTCTGGCCGGGTATGACGGGGCCGGCGAAGCGGACCTTGATGTTCTTGAAGGGGCCGAAGCTGCAGGCAGGGCAAAGGGGAAAGGAGCTTGTTGTCAGCTGGCGGGCGAGACCAAGCCAAGGCAGGGGGCTTTCACGTACCGGTCATAGACGGCCTTGCCGGCAATTCCAAAGGTGCAGAGGCCGTGCAGGATGGGAGCCTTGAAGCCGCCCATCTTGGCAAATGCAGGATCGATATGGAGGGGGCTGCAGGGTCGTCCGTCAGTAAATCATTGCCATCATCCTCGTCGTCACCAGTACAGCAAGCACGAATGACGTGTTTCGCGTTCTTCCAAGGAACAAGATCAAAGACGTACTTGTAGTCGCCGCTCAGGCGGTAAATAGCCGCCTGATCTTCCTTGGTATGCTCCTCAACCACGGCATCCGGCGCCCGCTGCGGCGGCACATTCGCCGCCGTCGCCGCCCCGCGATCGCGCCCCTTGGCAGGCCCGTCGAAGCCGCCGCAGCCCCGGAGGAAGACGGTCATCTCGTTGTAAAAGACGTCTTCGCCCGTCTCGGCATTGACCGTCGTGATGCCGTTCTTTGCAATGGCGGCGCTGCCCTTGTCCACCACCTCGAGCAGGCGGCCGCGCGAGACCAGGCGCGCCGTCGTTGGGATCGGGAACTTGCGGATCTCGAGGTACTGCTCGCCGTGCAGCAGCATCATGGGCGAGAAGTTGGGCACAATGGCGTTGTAGTCAAACGCCATTTCCGTGCTAAAGGGCGGGATCACGCCGTACGTCGGCAGCACCTGAAAGTCCTCGTTGCCCTCGCTGCAAAGAGGTGCGTCGTCGTCAGCGGCGGAACAGAGGAAGGAAAAGAGAGACCAGGCACGCCGTGCTTCCTCTCGACTCACAAGACGTATTTGAGCTCGGTGCGCTTTGCCCCGACGCCCAGGTTGTACAGGATGGCGTCGCGCTCCTCGTACTTGAACTCGGACGGCGGGCCCTCGGTCTTGATGGCTTTGGCAATAGCGGCGAGGTGCTCGTTGCCAGCCGCGCCAGAGCCTCCCTCCTGGAAGAGCCACGAATCAGCCACCAAAGTCCGCAGCGGTGTCAAGCCAGCCCACATGTGGTCTCGACTTTCAGGTGTTGGAGAAAGGACACAAGGAAGAGCAAAAGGACGAGATGCAAATCACATTGCTGGCACTAGCTAAAATGTACATGGCAGGCGGGAGCCTGTCCTATCCCGCCGTGTCCGCGCCCTCACCGTCTGCCAAGACAGACAGGGCAGGGAACCAAAGAACAAGAACGAGGGGGAGGGAGCATCATACCTGGCTTGAGGACCCTCGCTTGTTCTCCATGTTTGCCATAATCTTCTGCAGTGAGTCCTGTGTCTTCTCCGGGTTGTCGGTGCGGCCGTCGTCAAAGTTGGCAATGTCGCTCCAATGCTTGAGCACCTCCTCGGGCACCAGCTCCACGTCGACGGGGAAGCCGTGGCCGCCGGTGCGCTGCCAGCGGGTGCGGCCGCACCAGCCGCTGCCGACCTCGTAAAGGCCGCCCGTCGGGTCCGGGCACTTGTCGCTGCAGAGGGCGAGGACGAGCGGGGCGATGTAGTCGGGCTTGAAGGCCTGGACCATCTCCTCGGGCATGATGGTGGCCGTCATGGCCGTGCCGGCGTTGGGGGCAATCGTGTTGACGTAGATGCCGTACTTGTAGCCCTCAAGGGCCAGGGCACGCGAGAAGCCGAGGATGCCGCATTTCTGAGGGAGTGGTTGTTAGCATGTCCTTGTCCAGCTCTCCGTCTTCTTTGCGGCTTGACGGTGGACGACTTACCGCGGCGGCGTAGTTGGCCTGACCAAAGTTGCCGTAGATGCCGCTTGTCGACGTCGTGTTGAGCACGCGGCCGTACTTTTGCTTGAGGAAGTAGGGCCAGGCGGCCTTGGTCACCTTGTAGGTGCCGTACAAGTGGACGTTCATGACGGGGTCCCACAGATTGTCGTCCATGTTGGTAAAGGCCTTATCACGAAGGATGCCGGCGTTGTTGACGATGATGTCGATGCGGCCAAAGGCATCAATGGCCGCTTTGACGACGGCGTCACCGTCCTCGGCCGAGGCTTTGACGCCGACAGCCTTGCCGCCCATCTTCTTGATCTCGCCAACGACCGTGTCCGGGTCGGCGAGATCGTTGACGACGACCGAGGCGCCGTGGCGCGCAAAGGCGAGGCAGTAGGCGCGGCCAATGCCGGCGCCGCCGCCTGTGACGAGGGCGACTCTGCCGGAAAAGTCGAGCTTCTCGCCCTGCTCGTTGGGGCCCATCTTCATCGACTCCTCGAGCAGGGTCATGAAGTCGTTGGGGCCCGTAGGATACTGGGGGTCCGAGAAGTCGACGACCTTGTTCCACTTCTTGAGGATGGCACCGGGCGTGTACGAGTCGTCGGCCTTGAGGAGCAGACCGCCGGAACGCTGCCAGCGGAGCTTGGCGGTATGGCCACCACCGACCTCGAAGATGCCGCCCGTCTCGGACGTGTTGCTCTTGTGGACGAGGACGGCGACGAGGGGCACGACCCACTGGGGCCGGAGGTTCTCGAGCACATCGGGGGGCATGACGGTCTCGGTCATGCGGCTGGCGGCTGGGGCCAAGTCAGTCAAGGGCGGCCTTGGGGGGAAGAGGGGTGTCGCCTACCGATGGGGGCAATGACGTTGCAGAGGATGTTGTACTTGGCGCCCTCCTTGGCGAGGGTCTCGGTGAAGCCGACCATGGCGAGTTTTGCGGCCGAGTAGTTTGTCTGGCCGAAGCTGCCGAAGAGGCCGGCGGCCGAGGCGGTGTTGATGACGCGCCCGAACTTTTGCTTGCGGAAATGGGGCCAGGCGGCGCGGGCGCACTTGTAGGCGCCCTTGACATGGACCTTGATGATGAGGTCCCAGTCGGCGTCTTTCATGTTCTTGAAGCTGACGTCGCGCAGGATGCCTGCGTTGTTGAGGAGGATATCGATGCGGCCAAAGGCCTTGATGGCGGCGTCGATGATGAGGTTGCCGCTTTCGACACTGTTGTAGTTGGCGACGGCCTTGCCGCCGGCGGCTTTGATTTCGTCGACGACAACATCGGCGGCCTGAGGAGTCGGTCAGTGAGTGCATGGGTGCTTCGAGCGAGTCTGCCGGCGCACCTTATTGGAGTTGCCCTCGCCCTTGAAGGAGCCGCCGAGGTCGTTGACGACGACGCTGGCGCCGCGCGAGGCGAAGAAGAGGGCGTAGGCTTTGCCGAGGCCGCCGCCGGCGCCGGTGACGACGACGACCTGGCCGTCAAATCTCAGCTGCTCAGCCATTGTGTATGTGAGTGCGAGGATGGACGCAAGGCGGACGGAGCTCTCGGGCCACGCGGACCTGCTGGAGGGAGGTCAGATGTGGAGAGGGCTGACAAGAGAAACCAGTGACGATGGGAGGAGAGAGAGAGAGAGAGAGAGAGAGAGAGAGAGAGAGAGAGGGTGTGTAGATGAACGACGGAGATGAAGGGAGGGAGAGGGTGGATATGGGGAGGAAAAGAGGGAGAAGCGGCGGAGGAGAGGAGGTTAAGGTCATCGGCTCAAGGGCTGCAGCGGCCTCTCGGCAGAAGGGCTACAGCGGCCTCTCGGCAGCTCGACAGGGCGAGCCTCGGCTGATGGTTGGCGTGCAGCGCCGAGGAGTGTGGGGGATGCGCAGGCCAGGCTAGTCCGCTTTGGGCGCAGCCGCTTTCACATGCTCGCCTGGAATCTACAGAGTAAGTGCCATTCTAATTATCTGGTCCTGCTTTTGTGTGCTGTACAGTAAAGTAAGTGGCTTGTACTCTGTGCAGACACCTTGACACAGAATGGCGGGGTCCAGCTCCAGAAGGCCCTCGTGGTGCTGTCTGGCTATAAGCCACTATAAGAACCAAACCCCGCATCCAATCGCTTGCATCAGCGGTCGCACGCCCACTTTATGTGTTTGGTTTGGTGTGCTGGCGCAATGGTAGCGCGCAGTCCTCCTATTGTTGACTCCGACAATTGGAACATATTCTCAAGACTGAGGCTCAGGGTTCGAGTCCCTGGTATACCGCGTGCATTACTTTTTGCCGCGTCGTCTTTGATCCGGTATCATCTTCATTCTGATGCTGCGATTTATTTGCTCAACTTTTTTTTTTAATAACGCCGTGCATTATGGCTGCGTAGAGTCCCGGCCTCCACTGTAGGCAATGCACACGGCCGTCGCATAGTCGCCGTCGTGACTGATGGACACGAGCGCGCTCTCGTCCTCGTCCTCGCCCTCGCCCTCGCCCGCCTTGATCCTCGCCACCGGTGGTCCACTGCTGCTGCTACCGTTGCTGCTGCATCGCCGCCGCTCAATCACAATGTCGTGCCAGCCCAGTCGCCGGTGCTGCTGCGCGTGCGCCTTGATGGCCGCTTCCTTGGCCGCGAATCTGTCCACGATGCCGTCGCGTCAGTTCCCCGCCATCAACCTTGGCTAAACGCGTTGCATCAGTGGAAAGAAGGAGGGGGGGACTCACCGCCCCGCCACAAAGACGGCCATCTTCCACAGCCCCGTCTTCCGAACCGCTCCCCCATCCCCATCCCCGTCTCCGTCTCCGGCGACGAGCCCCCCCTCGGCCGTCAAGCCCGGCAGCCGGTCGTCGGCCGCCGCCAGCTCCTCGGGCGCCAGGATGCGCCGCACGAAGCGCCCCCGCCGCGGGCCCCGGAGGATGGCGTGGATGCGCGCGATGTGGCAAATGTCGGTGCCCACGCTGAGGGCCAGCGGAAATGCCCGCAGCGGCCTCATGGGGCCTTTGGAGCGACCGACGTCCTGAATCCCTCGTCAACGTTTGTCGTTTCGACTCTCTGGCCAGTGTGTCTGGAAGCCGTAGCACGAATCTTTGGAGGCTGAGTGAGTGGTGTTTAGTGCGGCTTATCGATAGGACAGGACGATATAGCTGCACGTTGAGGCTTTGAGCCATGTCATGTAGCTGTAAAGATAATAGATATTCTCGCGTCGGTCATCGCAGCACCATCTTGTGCCATCTTCCCAATCACCTTACTTCTACTATTTATACTCTATACCCCCTATGCAATATCGCCCCCATTAAACCCGTATCCCACTCGAAAGACCATGAAGCCTTGGACATGATATGCCGTCGAGCAAGGGGTCCACACCAACTTGCTCAAAAACCACCCGACTCACGAATACTCGGCCAAAACATATAATAGCATCATGCATATTTCTCTCGCGCTAGTCCATGGCAACAGGCTTTTTGCTTGTCTGTTTGGCGGAAACAAGCTCCCCCCAAGCGCATAAAAGAGCCAGCCACGAAACGTAAAAACACGACGTTGAGCAGAAAAAGACGGCCTTGTGTGAGATTCCTTCCTTTCCCCCTTGCCTCTCTGGCCGGAAAATTAACACTTGCGTTATACTAACCGACAGACGTCGCTTGTTCAAGTGTTGCCCTCCCTACCGAACTGTCCCGAAATCAAAAGGCTTCTCTTGCAATGGCTCGCCTCCAGGCTTTCTTCCTCTTGGCTCTGTGCAAGCAGGTCAGTCGTGATACCTCGAGATTAGGAACGAACAAAACGCTCACGCTGCTCCAAGGCCTTTGCTCTCATGGCCCCGATCCCAGCCTACGTCGCCTTCCTCCCCGGATGCCAGGTCCGAGCTGTCCCCGGTGGCCCTCTGGTAACCCTGACTGGCACCGTCCATGACGTCCAGAAGCGTGCTACACAGTTGAATCCCAACTGGGCTGCCAAGTACACGGGCAACAACTCTACGGACAACCGCATCGAGAGCCACGGGTCTAACAAACGAACCGACTTCTCCGTTACCTGCGATAACCCCCATGGCTGGTTTGGTGCCAACCCGGCATTCATTGATAACGGAATTCGCTATCTCTCGGGTGTCCAGGGCCGTCCAACCAACGAGGCCGGCCCAGGAAACTGCGGCAGAGTCAGCTGCTCACTCGACAGTGCCATCTGGTGGTGTAACCATGCAAGTGCCCGCTGCTCATCATTCGACTCCTTGGGCCGACGCCCCTTAAGCAACTGCTAACCCGTTGACATAGGACTCGAAGCCAAAGACGCTTGATTCGTTTGGGAGCATTGCCGACGGCGCTCGCCATGTTTTGGAGACGTGCCTTCGGGTAAGTAATTGGCGGCTCCAACCACCCGTCGTTGGTCAAGCATACCACCCTGCAAATTGGAGCGTCATTGTGAGAAGGGAAAGCTGTTAATTTGACGGCTGGGTGAGTACACATCAAGCAGGCGGTGGCAGTAGCTCGGCGACCGAGCGTTCGCGAATCAAAGCAAAAGACAAACAGGAGCTGGACAGCGTCCATTCAGCCATCAGGTACAACCGCGTGTAAATCAAATTGCAATGTACCGCTTCATTACGACACAGGCTGCCCAAGCGAGCAGCCATCCCAAGTCCTTCCAGGTTCCGCCAACAAAGCTTGGCAAGCAACCTCGTATCCCGTTCCCTGGCTCCCCTTAGGTCGAAGACAACGCCTTCAATGGGTTTTCCCCTCCAATCAACCAAGTCCGACATAATCTTGCAGTCAAGTTGCCCGCACAGGTGTAGACGAGAGTACTTGCGTTCTTTAGTGCAGCATGATCATGATGGTCCTCTCGCAATCAAAATAGGCCCTCGCCAGTGAGAATGGAAACCGAGATCCATATACATGAGTGGGGGATTTCACACCAGCACGCAATGCCCAAAGACACAAGCGCTGGTTCTTGCGGAACACCTCGTCTCCTTTAGTCGTTGAGCAGTGGAGCGCGCTCCTGGTCGGCGGGCGGGTTGCGCCTCCACTTGAGGTCACGTCCAGCCCAGGTGGGCAGGGCAATGGCGAGGGTCATGACGAAGAGTAGGGCCATGATGACAAAAGCAAAGATCCACTGCAGGGCAATGATCTGGCGCTGGAACTGGGCGACGCCAATGGCGGCAGAGAGGATGCTGAGGGCGAACCCCATGGTATAGTCCTGCGAGAGGTTAATACGAGAATATCATGAGAGAAAGAGACAGGGAGAGCGTACCTTGTAGGCGACGATGAAAAAGGAGCCATAGGCCAGGATAGACCAGATGAAAATGTTGCCAAAGACGCGGGCAACAAGGTTGTGTTGGTGGGGTACCATGATGGCGCCGTTCCAGTAGATGGCGACAAAGGTCCAGGCCAGAGGTCCGGAGACGGCCGGGGCGTGAATGAAGCGCGGGTAGGCGTTGTGGCGGAAATAGAGCGAGGAGAGGTTGATGAAGTTGAGAACGAGGATGAGCTCGGCCCAGTGGAAGTGGGAGCGGACGAAGAGCATGATAAAGGCAAAGTGGAAGAGATTGTTGAGGATGAAGTGGCTGCCGACACTGGCGGCGGCATAGGCACGGTCGGCATTGCTCGAGAAGAGGTGGGCAATATAACCGATTTGCAGGATGAAGAGGCCAATCCTATATATCGGTCAGCGGAGAAGTCGTGAGCTCGGCGAGAGGACGACGGACCAGTAAATGTCTGCGAGGACGTGGTTCATGGTAAAGGCGCTTGGGTAGAGGTAGTTTTGGTCCCAGACGCGGTTGCGGATGTTGAAGCCATCGTGAGGCTCGTGGACGGTGTAATAGACGGAGACGACGACAGAGAGGAGCCAGGAGAGGAGGGTGAGGACCTTGTAGGTGAGGATGGAGCTGGAGGTGTGCGTCTCGCGCTTAATAAAGGGGTTGTCTGATGAATTATTGTTAGTGGTGTGAACATGTGAGAAGCAAAGCCTTGGAGGCGACGTACAATCTTGCCACGCCATCTTGGCCGATGACTTTGCCCTCCGCTAGGGGCGTGGATGTCGGTTGGAGGGAGAGATCAAGGCCGGTGGAAGCCAAAGCAAAAGGAGTAGGTCAAAACAGCTGGGAGCCGGGGCGAGATGATTTTCCTGTCGACGGCGGGCTGTACAGTAGCAGCGGAGAGGGGAAGAGAGGGAGAGGCGGGAGAAAGGAGAGGAGAGGGGAAGGGCATGAGTTTTGAGCGTAGAAAGGCACAGTATCATATATACGTCAGCGTGCGAGGTAGAGAAGAGGTACCTCTGCCAAGGTATCCTGGCGCGGGTGGTTGGTGGCACACAGGGGCCGACGCGGCACCGACGGTACATGTTTTCATGTAGTCATTCCCGGCACAGTACAAGTACCACCACCCACAGCAGCGGCGGGGAAGAGCATGATGAGACAGGCCAACAGGAGAGAAGACGCCACCCTGCACGAGGGTGACGATGATGGTGGTTCAAAGAGGCAAAGAGGGGGTTGAGTGAGAAGAGCAGGGGGGGTGGGCCAGTAAAGACAAGAATAGTGGTGGTGGTGGTGGCCTGGTTCCTTTTGTTTTGGCCCTCTGCCGTCACACGCCGTGGCTGTCTCGTGTGTGGCAGCTTCTACAGTGCATGTGGCTGTCTTGTGTGGCAACTTCTACAGTGCATGTATGTGGCTGTCTTGTGTGGCAGCTTCTGCAGTGCGTTCGCTTAGTGCACCAACCCCCCTCCCCCCTTTCCCCACCCCCCGCGCCAGCACCCGCAACACCCCCTCCGCTTCCCCGCCTCCCGCTAATTAGAGCACGTTGGCGGCCAGAATCCGCGTGTAGGTACAGCACTCTGCCCTATTCCTTATTGGAACATACGCGCCCGCACCTTGAGACAAACAATTCATCAATACCGCCATCCGGAGTAGACAGCATGAGAATGGGCCATGGAAAAAAAAAAGGAGCCATGAACCTTGGCAGGCGCTCTGCGCGGGGAACCACCCGGCAAGGTGCACGCACCGTGCGAGGGCCAGCAGCTGACTGACTGCCCGTGACGCAGCTCCCCTTGGCCCAGCCATCACCGAGGACCATTTCCTCCGCCTTTGACGACGACGACCGTTGCAGACTGCCTACCAACAGTAGGTGTTGTACGTACCAGAAACTTGCCAACGTCATCGCCATAGGTAGGAGTACCTTGGGTAATTAATACTGTACAGCACAGACGCGTTGCAAAACCACCTGACCCTCCTCCCTCCACCATGGAACCTGTATTCGCCCATGCATATGCATACGCGCGCATACATACCTTAGACACTGTAGGTATATACAGTTATTAGTGTGTACTGTACGGTATTTGGTACAGCCCAAGTCAAGCAATCCTCGCTCTCCCTGTAAGTTACAGTAGCCCCCAAGTTGGCAGACCCGGAGATACACATGCACTTGGCAGAGCGTCAACCCGACCAAGTCTCGGCCCTCACTGATCCCTCCTTCTTCCAACGTCCATCGTCGTCAAAGCCATCTTCACACCCATCTTCACACCCACTACGGAACGGACATCCGACTTGGTTGCCACCCTTTCTTCTTCCCCTTTCACCTCAAGTTGCTTAGACTTCACATACTAATTAGCACCTATTGCTTTAAGCCATATGAATCGCCCAGTTATACCAGCCAGCCCCCCCTCTGCAAAGTCTCCCGCACCCGCACGTCTTAAAATCCCATCAATTCAGTCTTCTCAATAACCTTCACCCTACAACTGATGCGAACAAGGCCAGGACTGCTTCGTCCTCGGGGTATCACTGCAGTCCCGTCGTCTCTCCCCGGCCCTCCCTCACCAGACGCCCCATACAAAAGCACGATTAATCAGGCCCAAGAAGGAAAACAAGAGCTGGCATGGCAAAGCCCCATCAAATACTAGCACCGCACTTTGTCACGCCGCTTCACGACTCCGTCACCAGCTGCTCTCCTTGGTCGAGCAGCTCCGTCACCCTGCCCAGGTCCTCAATCAGGCTACGCCCCAGCCCAACCAGCAACAGCTTCTCCGCGTTGGCCGGCAGCCCCAGGTACGTCGGCGGCTCCCGCTCCGGCAGCTGGTGGATCCACGCCGTAAACTCTTGCAGGCTGGTTCCCGACGGGACCAGCAGTCCGCCCTCCGGCCCGTCGACGAGCTTGTGGTCCACTTCGTAGGCCGCCGGCGTCAGCAGCGACGTCACCAGCTGCCCGAGGAGCCTGAAGTCGCCCTCGTCGTCAATCTTGCCGCCGTACGTCTCCGTCACCAGGTAGCGTATCATGTCCCACGGAATGTTCTGCGGCGCAATGTTGGTTCGGTTACCCGCCACGCTTTCCAGCCACGTGTCGACAATAAACGCCGAGCATTCGTACTGCGTCCAAGGTTAGCTTCATGTCCATAGCTTCCCAACACTCCCATCGCCTGACTTACGTCGCTGTCATTGAACTCCCAGAAGCCCTTCCACCCCAGCCTGGGCGCGTACCGCAGCCGCTCCTGGGCCACAGCATGCAGGAACGAGATGAGCAGGTACAGCCTCGCCCTCTCCACAGGACTCTTCGCCGCCCGCGTCGACAGCGACGACATCGAGTCCTTCATGTTGGCCCTCACGCCCGCTGGCTGCTCGTAAATGAGGACGCGGGATGCCCGGATCAGGTTGACCGGGATCTTGGGGCTCGACTCCATGGACAGGAACAGGCGGAAATCTGCTTGCGGGCTGAGTGCCTCCATGCGCTTCTCCAGGCTCTGGAGCCAGGTCGGCGCCAGGTGGACGTTCTTGACCAGGACCCACGAGCCCGTCTGCGCCGCGTTGCTGATGGCCTTGTCGGCGCTCGCCAGGCCCTCATTGGACCCCATGGCAATGTTTGTGCATCTGACACCCATTCTCTCTACCAGGCTGTCGACCTTGTAGCTGGCGTCAAAGCCCGGGCTGGATACGAGCGCGATGGGCAGCGTCGCCGAGACCTGGCTGACCGTCTCCTTTAGGTCCTCGACGTATTCAAACATCTCCCCGCCAAACACTCGACTGACGAATCGCTCCGCCGCGGGCACGAACCGGTCGATGCGGAACAACTTGACCAGGAGTAGAGACACGAGCGCCTCGTCAATTAGCCCGGTGCTATCGTCCCAGACCCTGGGGACGCTGGCCTCGGCCAGCTCTTCCGTCAGGAACTTGTCCCACTCGCTCGCCGGCACGTCGTCAAGCTTCTCCTTGAGTATGCCAATCTTCCTGGCCTGGGCAAAGGCCTCGTCCTTGGCGTCGGGATCCGACGACAAGTCCCTGCCCTCGACTCGGGTATCGAGCACGACGTCAATCAGGGACTTGTCCATCTTGTACGGCGACGCCTGCGCGAGGAGCATTGCCAGCGTGATTCGGTCCTTTTGCAGCAAACCGAGGGCCGTCCGCTTAAACGTGTTGGCAAAGAGGTCCTTGACGATTATGTCCCGGCGCACGTTGTGATTGGTCTCGCTGGCCAGGTTCTTGTTCCCGTGCAGCACCGATTGAAAGATATCGAGAAAGTACTGCAGCGAGAACTGATAGAAGTGGTTGAGGAAGTGCAACTGATCCAGCACGGCAAAGACGGCGCTGCACGAGTTGGCAATGACGCCGTACTGCCGGGTGATTTCCTCCACCTCGGCCATGACGCCCTCCGTGTTGCTCATCTTCGCCGAGATCTCGGCCGCCTCTGTCTTGAGCGTCTCGAGCGTCTCAATCACGTTGTCGTCGTCGAGAATGTTGCCTCGGGACTCGTTGAGAGCCAGCAGGAGCTGCTTCTCCAGCTGACGCAGGTGAACCTTGAACTCGCCCTGGAGCTTGATGAGGTTGGTCCGGCGTTCGTCGACGTCGGGACGCTCCGACTTGAGCACGTCGTTGAGCGACTGCGTCTGAAGACTGCTCTTGGTGACTGTAAAGTTGACAAATGTCGTTCGGCTGCAAATGTCCGGCGCAAACTGCGCAGACGGGTCCCGCGTGGACAGGTAGAGCTTGAACGACGGTGAAAAGTCAATTTCCTGCTTGCCCAGTTGGATCAGGACGCGGCCGCCGGTTCGCTGATACTCCTTGTTCAAGACGTGGTTGAGGATTGGATCCAGGTGCTCAGCGTCTTGGATGAGAATCGGGTTGCCGAACCGCAACGAGCTCTCGAGTTGCTTGGTAAAGTTGTCATCCAAGAAGCTTGTGACCGTGAGTCGGCGGTCTTTGCACTCCTTCTGCAAGAACTCCGTCACTCGCCCGGACGGGTCGATGATGAGCGGGTAGCGGTTGAAGCGCTTGAGAACGATGGCGTTTTCGGTGCACAGGTCGTCCACTGGCAGCGTGTTTTCTTGCCAGCTGAGCCGTTCGTCCGCGCTCGACAGATACTCGGTAACCGGGTTCGGGGACTTGTACTGGATGCCGGAGAGGTGGAGCTGATGGCACCAGTCGTCCATCATGGACTTTCGAAAGGTCTGATCGTAGAGACCGCTGTACGCCAAAAAAGCAGCGGCAACAAGAACATCACCCACGAGCGTACTAATCTGCGTCTCAAACGACTTGCTTCCCTCCTCCCAGCGCGTTCTTTCCGACGACAGGCTGTCGAGCAGGCGTACGCTGCGGTCGACCTTGAACTGGACCTTGGACATCTCGGCCTTGATCGCCTGCGTCTCGCTGACGAGTGCGGCGTATTCGGTCTTGTACGTGTCGATGCTGGACTCGAGCTCTGCAATGTTGTTCTCCACGGCCTTAGCCTCGGCCTTGGTCTGGAGCGCCTGCTCCTCGAGCTGCGTCACTTCCTCTTTGAGCGGGCCAACGCGGTCGAGTATGTCCGAGTAGTTGACCTGGGCAGCCACCCATTGCACGAGGGGCCCGCAGGCCTTGGAGGCCCTGTTGACCTTTTCAAACGTGAACTCGGGGTTTGACAGGAACTCGTTGCGCATCTTGATCCTCAGTGCCCGCGTCATTTGCTTGGCATTGTCGAACATGATGATGCTGGCAATAAAGTCATCCCTGCGGACGACGGCCTGGACCGCTTTCCAGTCGTTTATCCTGTGGCCGAGCAAGGTGCAGACCGCGTCGAGCGCCAGCCTCACGCCCTGCGGCGGGTTGCCCATGGACCGAACTTCGGTCAGGTGCTGTCGTTTGATGTTGCTGACGCTGGCCTTGGCCTCTTCGACGGCCGGCTCCGCCTTGTCGAGGTCCTCCAGCACCACATTCCTCCGCATCGCCACCTCGGCTTCCTGCTTCTCCAGCGCCGCCTGAATCTCCAAGGACGTGTTCTTTCTCTGCTCCGCCTCTCTCTGGTCGGCCACCATACGCTTGAGCTTCTCGTTCGCCTCGTTGTCTTTTTGCTCGAGCTGCGTCTTCTTCTCTGCAAGGCTGGCTCGAAGGTCGCGGACCTTGTCCACTGTGTCCCTCAGTTTCTCGAGACCAACGTTCAAGTGTCGCTGTTGCTCCTCGAGATCTTCGCGCTTCTCATTGTACAGCTTGACGTACTGCCCCACAAAGTCCAAGAAGTGGCGGGGCGTCAGGAAAGTCACTTTTTTCTGCTGCCTGTACAGCTTCTCGTTGTAACGCTGGAGCGAGTAGTGGATGTACACCATCGAGTTGATGACGGCCTCGCGGTGCGTCGGCGGCAGGTTGAGGCCGCGATAGGCGACAGGGATCGTGTCGGGTGCCGCAAAGCTGCTTCGGTCCAGGTCGACGGAGTAGGTGAGTTCGTGTCCGACTTGGAACAAGGCCTGGTCCGACCAGTCGCCGAACCAATTCAGCACGCATCGGTTGAACAAGGCCGGGCTAGTGGCGGCCTTGGAAGACAACCCGCCCTCCGGTGGGTTCATGGTGAATACAACGTGGAGGTTATTGACAATCTGTTGTGTGAACCACTTGTACAGCTCCTCCGGGGAGTCAAGATGCAGGTTTTGCCGTTGCGCGCCCTCTTTGCAGGCAGTCATCAGGGCAGCATAGTCGTCGCCCTCAAAAAGGCCGGGCACCTCGGCGTTGGCGAGCAGCGTGTTCATGCGCTCCAGGAAGCCAGAGTCGAGGACGTTGGCCTCGTCCATGATGAAGCAAATCTTCTCTCCCTTGCAGCCGCAGCGACGGAGAACGTCGCGCAGGTCCTCGTCAAAGTCTTCGCCCGAGTACTTGCCGTGGACCTTGATCTGGAACACCTTGAGGCCGTTCATCCAAGCAACGAATCGAGAAAGCGTCGTCTTGCCGCTGCCACTGACACCAATCAGGATCAGATGGCCCTGGGGCTGTCTGAAGACACGGTCAATGCGGAGCACGTGCTCCAGGACATCGTTAAAGAGAATCAGAGGCACGTCCACCTCCTCTTCACAGAACGTTTTGAGTCTGGCCTTGACGAATTCTCTCAACTGCTCACGGTCGACAGGGACGTAATTCTTGGACAGCCAGTTCGAGAAAAGGATGGGGCCTCCCAGAGCCTTCTCCTCGTCAATGGTGGGGAAGAACTCCAAGGCGATTCGCCGCACTGCCTCGTCGGTCCATGTCCGCTCCTCCTCGGCAACCAGACGATCCTGGAAAAGTCGTAGGGCCTCGTGGGCCCAAATGCGGATCAGGCCCTCGACGGACAGAGCCTCGAGTGGCTTGATCGCTTCATACAGGCCCCGGACCCAGCGGGTAAGCTCGCGAGGACTGTAGACGTAGTGAGGCTGAATCTTGGGGGTAAACCTTTGCTGCGACTCGAGATAGAACTGAACCATTGCGTTTGTGAGCGGCTCGGCGTAGCCACGGAGGGATGGAATGATCTTGAGAACCGCCGAATTAAACGTGCCATATATCTGCTTGAGGGACAGCTCTCCGGGATAGTCAACCATGACGAGAGGCGCGTGGCGGAGAAATCTCGCGCCCAAGGGCGTGCGTCCGGAATCCGTGGGCGGGTTGCAAGCCCCGACGAACTGGATGCGGTCCAGAGTAACCCACGACTTGTCAGATGTGCGCCAGAATCCATTGTGCTCGACGAGCTGCCGCAAAAAGGAAATGGCCCGCTGTGTTCCATAGTGATCAGGAGCCGGCAGGTTGATTTCATCACAAAAGACGACGAGCCAGCGGCCAATCTGCGTGGGCGACAGCATGACACCGTTGAGCGTCTTTTTGTACTCACAGTACTGCTCAAACGTCTTGATCAGGAGGTCTGGCGTGGTCGCGCTGGAAAAGTTGAGGCCCACGACCTCCATGTTCGGGAGCTTACGGAGAGCGCTAAACAGTGTCATTGTTTTACCCGAACCTGGCGGACCGCAAAGTAGGAGTGGCTTGTGCTCGGCCAGCCACGAGTACAGCACATCTTCGTGACGAACAGTGTCTAGTGTGGGAATGACCACGTCCGTCTGGATGATGGAGTGGGTGTTGACCTCGATGCTCGGCACCTGGTTTTGCCAAGGAGTCCATTCGGCCTTGGGCAGGCTCACGTCAAAGTCAATCAGCGAGCTGACGCCATCCAAGGGGGGGGATCCGAAGCTGGCAAGGGCGCATATGTCATCCCCAAAAGCCTTGCGATCCGTCAGAGGACAATCTCCGGTGAGTGCCCAGACCAGAGCGAGCAAAAGCTTCTTGGGCACAAAGGCCTCAACTTGGTCGGGATCCAAGGGGAAGTCAGAGTGCTGGCCGTTGTACTCGATGACGTCTCGAACGGCCTTGTTCAGCAGCGAAAAGAGCGTCGTCAGGACACGGGCGATGGTAAACTCCATGATGTGGTTGTAGCGTTGGGCACGTTCCAAGGCCTGGAAGATGAAGTCATCCGAAGTCAAGTACACTTTCAGCAGCTCGGCAACTTGGTCCTGGACGGCCAGGATCTTGGCTGGAGTTTGTCCCGTCGCAACGCTGTCTTCGTCCAAGTCCTCAAAGGGAACCTTGCTCAGGGTCTCGAGGTAGTTGGCGACCATCATGCTCGGCGTGACGGTGTCCTCGCTAAACCAGACCATGCCGCATCGACTGACGGTGGCGAGGGTTGCGTACTTTAGCGTCTCGACCTCAAACATGATCCGGACATTGGCTGGCAGGTTGAGACGCTCGCCGTTGGGAAGCGTCAGCAGCTTATTGTCATCAAGCACGCTGTTCAAGTTCTCCACCCATTCGGGATCAACGTCGCCATCGAAGACGATCCAATGCCTCTTCGAGTCTTCGCCGCGGAGGTTGTCGACAATCTTCCGAAGAATGCTTGTGAAGAGACCGTCGGTCCACTCGCGGGTGGTAGAGTCGAGGCTACCATACAAGGCCTCCTTGGACATGACTTTGGAGTCAATCACATGGGATACGCCCTCGATGGCCTCGACCTTTTGCAGCGCGTCGAGCAAAAGTCTCCAGGCGGCAGACTTGCCGCTGCCCGAGTTTCCCACCATCATCACACCGTGGTGAATATTCTGGATCTGGTACAGCTGCAGGACCTTGGTCATCCAGGTGTCGGTGACAACTAGGTGGCGCTCGGCGGCGAGGCCGCGGATGGCCTCCTCCAGTGCTTGAAGGTTTGCCGGCACGTATCGAACGCCGGGGAAGCACTGCCCCTCAATGGTCGTCATGATCTCGACATCCGACTTGATCAGCTTGGGAGCGATAGTCTCCCGGATGCTCTGCACAATGATTTCAGGTTCAACGACCTCTTCGGCGCCACCTAGGTTCCCATCGGTAAGGCGAGCACGCTTGAGACCCCCCGAGCTGACCAAGACGCTTTTTAAGGCCCGGAGACCGAAGTCGTAGTGTGCCTGCTTGGAGAGCTCGCTGGAGCACTGGTCAAAGAAGGGGACCGTTTGCTTGGAGAGCTCTTTTGCTTGGTTGAACCCCTGCGAGTAGAGCATGACTTCGGCAATGAGCTCTTTGTCAGGCTTCGACATGGCCACGCTTCGGAAGAGCTTCTTCAGGTTATCGGGCAGGTTGGAGCGGCCGGCATAGCCCGGATTCATGGTGATGAAGATGCCGGTGTTCTCGTTCACGCTCAGCTGGCGGCCAACCAGCTCAATCTGGGACGTGCTCTCCTCTGCGCCCTGCTTGAGGCCAAGCTGAATGTTTTGAATCTGCTGCGAGACGGCCGACAAGATCCTTTCCTCGAGACGATTAAACTCGTCGAAACAGCCCCAAGCACCGACCTGGCAAATTCCGAGGAAAATGCGGCCCATGGCCTGGAAGTCGAAGGTGTCGTCGCAGCAAAAGACGAGAGTGAACCTGCCAAGTTGAACGCCCAGGGCCTTGACCGATTCCGTTTTGCCGGTTCCGGCCGGTCCATAGGGTGAACCTCCAAGGCGCTGGCAGAGGGCCTGCGTGAGGGTGAGGAAGCACCGGTCGGTGAGAGGGGTTCGGACGAGACGTTCCGGAACGCCCAGGTACTCGAAGCCGTAGTTGAGCTTGGCATTGGCCATTCGGACTTGCAGGCGGTCGAGGAAGTTTCCCTCGGGCAAGTAGATGTATCGCATTTGGAGTAGCCAGAGGTAGTGACTGGGAGAGTCAGCGCCGGCGCCGATGAGCTTCCCGATGGCATCGCGCTGATGTACGCATTCCGTGATCATCTGCTCGCACTTTTTCCGCAGAATGACTTCCAAATCACCCAACACGGTGTCTGCAAGGACGCGCAGCACCTCGACCTCCCGCTCGAACAAAGTCTGCAACGACTGGCCACCTGCGGCCAGCGACTTGTCCACAGCCGTCGTCCATACTGCCTGGGTGGCCAAGACGACAATCTGGCTGGGAAACTCCTCCATGAACTGCTTCAGTGCGTCGCCGTCGACCGCTTGAGACTCGAACAGGGGCGTGTACCGATCCACAGCCTCGGCCAGCAATTCCGCGAGCGTGGCCTTCATCCCTCCCTCAAGAAGCGCAAGCCAGTCGTTGATTCTCGGCGTCTTGGCAAGGGAAATTTCCTTCTTCAGAGTCACAACCTCGCCCTCCTTGGAGGTGAAGCCGGAGATGACGGACTCGTCGTCCATCACGAGGCCGCACAGACCAGCAAACATCTTTTTGAAGTGCTTGGCAATGCGCAGAGTGTCGTTGCTGTTGCCAATCATCTCCAGGAGATCCTCGTCGCCAACAAAATAGAAGCGGGGGAAAGAGACCCTCTCCTTTTCCAAGTACTCGCCCAAGGCCTTCTGGATCTTGTTGAGCATTTCTGCCAAGCGCTCAAGCGACTTTTGCGCGTTGGGAATGTTGAGTACGTCCAGGACGTATGGCGTCTTGTTGGCCTTTTTCATGACGGCCAAGAACTCGCTGTTGATGTTCTGGAACCGGCCGGACTCGATGGGAAGTAGGTGCTTGATGTCCGCGTTGCCGGTGAAGACGCCCTCAAGATAGACCCACTGGCGCTGAACGTCGATCCATACGTCAAACAGGACGTGGACGCGGTTCAGCTTGTCCTCCCATGCCACGGCTTCTTCCTCAAACTCCTTGTAGTACGGAGAGTGCTTCATGGCTTGCAGCGAGTTCAGGTTTTCGCTGCATTTGGCAAACAGATCGTCCCAGCCGCGGATGAGGCGACATTTGTTCTGATAGTTGACCATTTCCAGAGCATAGTTCTGCCACGTCTCGCGGACCTGCTTGATGAATTCCTCGAGGGCCATTTCGCCTTGTGCCTGAGCAATGATATCCTTGACAATGGCCTCGGTCGCAACCAGGTTGAGGTCCCATACATCGCCAAGCGTCATGGAGCTGGGGGAGAAGCGCTTCTGGGGCTTTATTTGCTTGTAAATCTTGTGCCAGTGCCGCTCGCGGATGGCATCTGACTTGAGATCTGACAGAATGGGGTTGACCTTGAGGAACCCACGGAGAATGCCCTGGACGTGCTCAAAGGCGGCATACTGTCTCATCCGGCTGGGCATCTCCTTGGTGCTCTTGATGAGGTCGTCCACCTTGGATCGAACCTTGCGCGGCTGAACGGCGGTCCACAATACGTCACGCGTCTCGTTCAAGCTCGCCCAGATGGTCGAGAGATTGGACCAGACGGATTGAAAGTCCCGGACCTCTTCAAGCGTCGCTTCCAAGGAGCTGTCCTGGGAGGCGGGAATGTCCAGGGCCTCCTTGGCCTTGACGACCTGCAAAAAATCATCCTGAAGGCTGGCGATGCGGGTCTCAAAGGAGTTCAAGGTAGCCGAGGCAGCATCGGGTTGAATGGTTCCAGACACTGGCTTCTCTTCGTTCCATTGAGAAATGGTCACTGCAATTCGCTCATTGACCAGCTTGTCCTGGGCGGTTATGTTGGCTCGCATAGCGTCCGACTGCTCTTCCATGATTCTCGACTTCTTCTCGAGAATTTCCTTGAGAGCCTCCCACTGGCTGTCAATTTGTTCGATGTGGAGCCAATCGCTTGGGAAGTGATAGCGCTGCCGCACGAGCGTCGACTGCCCCTGGCGAAACATGTCAATCTCTGGCGCCCAGAGCTTGACGTTGCGCTTGCAGCTCTGCACAGCCGTGATGAACTGGACGGCCTGCGCCGTCGACGACGTGTCAGAGCTCTGGCCCTCGAGGTGCTTGCGTGCCTTTTCGATCTCGGCATGAACATCTCGCATGCGGTTCCCCAGTCGGCTGGCGAACTTGATCAAGATCTCATGCTGCCACTGGTCGTACTTGGCATTGACTTTGGTCTGGACCTGGTCGTAATCGACGGTGATGTGTCCAAACGAGCGGCTGACCTCTTGGGTGTCAAATGTGGTGCGGACCTTGCGAATGTCCTGCAGACACTCGAGCCACCGCGGGAGATGGTCACCAAGCATGTCGTATACCTGCTCCGACTGCAGATCCCAGAGAGACTGGAACTGAAGCCATTTGTCGACGTACGCGCTAACTTCCTGCAGCTTCTTCTCCACGGACACGTACACCCGACGAAGCATGCTCGCACAGTCGGTGGGCAGATCAGTGAAGCGCGGCTCGTCGTTGGCGGACGTGCTGAGGCTCATCTGATATCTCGCAGCCTTGATTTTGCGCAGATTGCAGACAATGCCAAGCCAGTCGTGAAGGTGCAGAAACCAACTCGCTCTTGCGTACTCCAGGGGAGGGTCCAGGTAGATGACCTGGTTTCGCATGGCCAGCTCAAGAACCAGCCGCTTCATCGTCGGCCCGTCAGGCTTGCTCTCCTCCTCAGCAGGCTTCTTGCGCCGCCCGTCATCCAGCATGTCGTCTTCAAAGGCAGCAATCCAAGTCTGGACCGCGCCGTGCAGGCGCTCGAGTAGGATGGCCTGAATTTTCTGGTTCAGCTCCCGGACCCAGAAGTCGAGGTTGACGTATTGCTCAAGGTTCAGCTGGTCGACGGCAGACTGAATGGTGTTGAGGCGTGACTGGAACGCCGAGGCATCGTAGGGGCAGGTGCTGAGCTCTTTGAGCGCCTGCTCCACCGTCGCGTGGATGTGGATCAACGACATGGCCTTGCTCTGGAGCACGGAGACGGCGGCAGCAAAGCCTCGGATGAACATGCCGTGCTTGCTCTCCGTGCTCTTGGACAGGCTGAACTCGGTGCCGCCGGGCAAAATCGGCCGGGCCTGCCTCTGGTCGGCATAGAAGAGTTCGTGCGAGTTGACAAACGACTCCCATCGCAAGGGCACGCCCTCGCCAATCAACCTGTACACCTCGTTGCGGTAGCCGTTGAGCAGGACGGACTCTTCACCCATGCCGGAGACCTGCCGCAGGGTTTGGGACAAGGTCCTGACGCTCTCCATCAGGCTGACGGCGTAGGGGTACACCCGCTTGGCGTCTTTGGACACGGTCGTCACGGCGTGGGGGACGGAGTAGGACTGCCACATGAGATTGCGAGTCTCCTTGAACAAGGTGATGACCTGAGGGTCAAAGTTGACTGCCAGCTCGAGGATGCCGCCTGCAGACCTCACCCGAGCAATGTCAAAGAGCTGGCCGGCGATGGAGATTTTCCGCCGGCTCACATCAGACAGCCACGCCTCGTAGATGCGAGCGGTGTCGAGCTTGTGCTTGAAAAGGTCGCTCTCCTCCTGCAGCTTGTGGCCCTCGGCGTGCAGATGCCAGTCCGGGCCAAGCACCGCTTCGACCTTTCGCATGTACCCATCGAGCTGGAACTCGATCTGACGCGCCCAGATGATGGCGCCGGAAACGGGCGGCAGGTCGCGGAGCTGGGCCATGGCGTGTGTCTCCGAGTGTCCATACTGCTGCTTGAAGCGCTCGTGCAAGCCGTTGATGGCTTGCTTGACGTGGTCCATCAGCTGGTTCTGGTACTCCTGGATGGCGCCGCGGATCTTGGGCCGCACAAACAGGGCGTTGAACTTGGAGAAGACGCGAAACATTTCGTTGGCAGTCTTGGCCGTGGCGAGGCGGTCTCTCAGTCGAGCAATGATGGAGTTTTCCACCCGCGTGGTGCGTTCGTTGTAAAGGTTCTCAGCTCGAACCCACCGCTCCTTGCCCTGGTCAGTGACGTCGAGGAGGTCGACGTTCTGCAGCGATTCCCAGGCCTGCTTCACTTCTTCCACGGCGTCGACATCACCCATTTCTTCCATGACAGCGCCATTGGTGCCGGCGGCGTCGGCCGCGCCCGAGAGGGTGGCCCGGGGTCCCAGCACGTTGACAATGGTCCGCTGGAGCTGTTCGTGGTTGTCACGAAAGGTCCCGACGTATTTGATTCGCGACTCGAGTTCCGAGTGCTTCTTGTTGATCTTGATGGGGATGAACTTTTCGTTTCTGCGGCGAGTGACTTCGCGGGCGACATTGGTGAACTCCTTGAGGTTGTCTTCCCACGTCCTGAAGATGCCGTCGCAGGTGCGCATGAGAGCCTGGAACTGTTTGTAGTCGAGGTTCACGAGCTCGGTGCCGGGCAACAGGCGGTGAAGCACGTCGTCCAAGTCGGCTGAGATGGCCTCCACTAGAGGAAGTGCCCGACGGATGGGATAGGGGCATATCCGCAGCTTCTTGTTCAGGTGGCCAAAGATCTGCGAGATGGCCTCCTGGACCTTGGGCAGCGACGTGGCAGACAGCAGTTCATCCAAAGGAAAGTCGCGCATGAGCTGATTGTACTTTTGCACCTTTTCCATGGCCTCCTTGAGACCAGTGTCGGCGGTGAAGCTGACGGTGGCTTGGAACCGCTTGGCATGCTTGAGGATCTCGAGGGTCAAAAGGACACCTTCGCTCCTCAGCTGCCCCTCGATGCCCTCAAGCGCCAACTCCATGGACAGCCAAAAATTGACCTCTTGGCTCGCCGTGCTGAACTCCTGGTTGGCATTGGAGGAAGGGTCCTTTGTCATTTTGGTGATGCCCTGGATGGACTTGATCCACGTATTCACGTTGGCCTGCAGCCTGTTGAGAAAAGTGCTGTCCTGCAGCAGGTTGGCCGGGATGACATCAATCGACGGCTTGGAGTGGTGTGCCTCGGCGTCGTCGAGAGCGTTTTGAACAATCGAGTGGAACGTCAGGGAGATTTCAGGGATGTCGACATTCTGCTGGAGATGAAGCAGGCTGAGCTCCAGGTCGTTGAGCCTCTTCTTTGTCACGGGGATGCCCGTCTTGGCATCGACGTCGGCCCGGCCCCTCGTGCCGTTGGCCAACTGCTGACTCCTCGTGTTGGCATCAAAGTAAGGGACCAAGGCATGGTGAACCTGGGAGTGGAGGACCTCCCACGGGGACAGAGAGGCGCCCTGTTCCCCAACAGCAGCATTCAGGGACGCGGGGCCGGGTAGATTAGTGATGAAGATCTGAGATGTAAGAGGTCGAGTCGGGTCGATAGGCTGCGGCGTCTTGAGCAAGACAAGAGAAGCCACCGTAGTGGGCGACGAGACGATTTCGGTCGAGAGAGTGTAGGAGAAGGACGAAGGCGCTGCATGAGGTTCAAACACCAATGTCAGCAAAAGTCCAGCAAGTACAAGCAAGGGAACTAACCAGCCGAGTCAGCGCCGTTCTCGACGACGGCTGAGGAAGAGGGCGCAACGTCCTTTTGGATGTAGAGGACATTCTGGGCGTCGTTGGCGAAGCGGGTACAGCGCGAGGCGGTCTCGCCGTAACGGCTCTTGTGCAGCAAGCTACCCGGCTGCTCGAGGTCCTGCCGCGTGGCCCCGAGGGCAATCTGGCAGACGGCAGCCAGATGCTCGACGACGCGTTCGGGCTCGATGGTCGGGAACGAAGGCGTCGCTACGCCGTTGGCCGCTGCCGGGCCCTGCGCAGGCGAGGAAGACACTTCCATGTCGGAAGATGGCGGCGAGATGAAGAAATCACCCACGAAGTGTCATTTCCAACGGGCAGGAGAAGAAGACAAATCGTTTGGCTGGCGAGGGAGCAGGCAAGGACGAGGGCGCGCGGGATGGGATCGGCCGTCCGGATTCAGGGGGTGGGTGGCAGCTGGCTTGATGCTCTGCAGGAGAGGCGAAGGGGCGGGGGAGGAATCGGATGAGTCGTGCCGTCGTGCCGTCGTGCGTCGGTCGTCGTGAGGCCAGATGAAGATTCGTCTGGGCAGCGTCGATGGGGTTTGGCTTTTGTGTAGGAGGACGGACATTCATCAAGCCAGGATCGCGGTGCTAACTTACTTGGTACAGATACAACATGCAGGTGCAGCTGCGGATACAGGTACCGACCGCACAGCTTGCTTGCTTGCTGTCCACTTTGATTCACAGACGCGACACCCCGGGCCCAACCAAGAGCCCCAAAGCCCCACCCCTGTCGCGACACACAACCTGGAAGTTAGGCAAGCTGTCCCGTCAAGTGCTCGATACTTGAAGAGCGTCCGGGTGTTACACGTAAAGTCAGGTACTGAGTACAGCCTTGAAGTCCAAATGAAGGGTAGAGTTCGTCAGCTCAAACATTATGTAAACGACCCCCGACATTCGATTGGCCACACCCACTGCTGGGCACTAAGTACTATACAGTACTAGGTATCCGTGGATAAGTAAGGTAAGTTACCATTTCCCCGGCCCTTCGTCCCGGCAGCCACGCCAAGGCTTGGAAGCGCTGGTATTCAACAGGAAAGTAGGTAGGTTGAGTCCCAGGCCATGTTTTACCTGCTGGCCATATCGAAGGCGTCTCCTTTGGTCTCCTTTGAACCGCCGCCTCCGACATCGCTCCCATTCGAGCGAGCGAGCACTGCCTCCCGTCCGTGGGGGGCGTGGGTTTTGATAACACCAAGTTTAAAGTTCCGTCCGTCGTGCTGCCTCCAAGTCACGCCGCCGTGTGCTGCCAAAGGAGCCAGCTACACGTGGGTCCCTTTTTGTTTGTTTGCTCGAGTCAGAGCTGTGTTGGGTGTATACAAGGCGCACGATTCCACATCTTCCCATAGTCCACGGCGCAGACTGCTTATAGACACTCAAAGTCCCCGCCAAGTCGGGTGCGTACATAGTATATTTCCGACGTGCCGATGTAATATAACTCGAAGCCGTCGAGCAGTCATCGAGGCCAAGAAGAGAAGAACAGCCAAAGAAAAAAGCGTCGATCCAAGCACACCCACCGTCCGCCGACTTCCCCCGGACGCTTCTTACTTTCCGAGGCCCTTGGCACCTCAGGCACCTCAAAGGTACAACATCTGTCTGGCCAAATGCTTGCCACACAACTCCCAACGCCGTCTTCCGTAAATCTGAACCACTCTCTTCTTCTTTTTTTTTGTCCACCGTGCTCATGCCACAGAGTTCTGCACACGACGCGCAACATAGGAGCTCATCCCGCAGGATTTCCTCCCGGCGCCGCGCTGCCGTCGGGACCCGCTAGCCTCTCCCGCTGGACCATAACCCGCTGGTTGCAAATGTCGATGAACATTTCAAACTTTTGGATGAGTGTCTCCTTCTCCTCGAGCTTGGCCTTGAGCTCGTCAATTTCCTTTTGCTTTTCGTCCTCAATCTTCTTCAGGTCCTCGCGCGCCTTGGCCAGTTCTCTCCTCAGGTCAGCTCGAATGCGATCCTCCGACGTCTGCTGAGGCTTCGTATAGATGGCCGGCCGATCCTCTGCCAAACCCGTGGCCACCTTTTGCGGATTTCGATTAATGGCCGCTCGTGCGTTGTAAATGTCTCTCGGGAGCAAGTGGCAGTCTGGGTTCTCGTTTTGAAGAATCTGCAGCGTCTCGGACACGCCAGCACCTACAACATTGTCAGCCGGGATCAAACTGCTGACAACATCTTTGGGCGTTATACCATTCTCCTTGAGCTGTTTCACAGCAGCCACCATCTTGCTGTCCAGCTTGCGGGCGGCCGGGTGGTGCGACGGGCTCTCGCTCGGGCCGTGGTTGTGCTGCAGGTGTGCCGGGTCGGGACGGTAGCGAATTGTCCATTGCGTCCGTTGCTCGATGGCGAAGAAGCCAAAGGGACAGTCGCATTTTCGGGACGACGTCTTGCGCTTGCGGAACTCGGGGCTGACGCGGCTCGGCGGTTTTCCGGCCCGATCGCAGACGAAAAGCACCTTTTTCAGGCCGGGTACCGTCTTCTTCGACCGGCCGATGACAATAGCGTAACCGACCGAGGTGCAGTACCGCAAGACGGCCTTCTGAACAGCCTCCAAGGTCGGATAGCTCCCGCCCTCGGGGGGCGGCGACATCATGTCACCCATGGGCTGCGATGGCACGTACGACGGGTCGTTGAGAAGCTTGGCGTCCAGCCCGCTGGCGTCGTGCTCGGCTTCGTTGTGGCTGTCCATGTCCATGTCGTCGGCAGCCGGGTCGTCTTGCTGCTGCGCGAGCTGCTCGGCCTGCTGTTGCGGCGAGGCCTGGGCCTGCTGACCCTGCTGAACCTGTTGTACTTGCGGCACCTGGGGGACCTGCGACACCTGAGGCGGTTGTTGTGGCTGTGGTTGGGTTTGGGGCATCTGTTGCGGCTGCGGCTGCGGGGTGTGCTGCTGTGGCTGCGGCGCTTGAGGCGGCTGTTGTTGATGCTGGGGGTGCTGCTGGGGGTGCTGGGGATGCTGAGGATGTTGGGGTTGCTGTGGTTGTTGCTGCGGCAGCGGCTGTTGCTGTTGCTGCTGCTGCGGCAGCGGCTGCGGCGTTTTACGATGTTGAGTATGAGGATGGCCCTGGTGCGACTGACGTCCCTGGTGGCCCTGATGGCCCTGGTGAGCTTGGTGTCCCTGATGGGCCTGGTGTGCGGGGTGCCCCGGGTGAGCTTGATGGGCCTGGTGCGTCTGATGGGCCTGGTGTGCCTGTTGCTGCTGCTGGTGTGCCTGTTGCTGGGCGTGGTGTTGATGTTGCTGCTGGTGCGGTTGCTGCTGCTGCTGCTGCTGCTGCTGCTGCTGCTGCTGCTGTTGCTGTTGCTGTTGCTGCTGCTGCTGGTTGGGATGCCCGGGATGAGGCTGGTGGGAGGGATGCGGGTGCTGCGGGTGCTGCGGGTGCTGCGGATGCTGCGGGTGCGAGAGGATGGTGTCGTGTTGAACAGACTGGTTGATGCCGCTGGGGAACATCATGGGGGGCGGATTCGGCTGGGGCTGCATCTGCTGCCTCGGGGGCGCGGCGCGCTGTCGCTGGACGTTGATGGCATTGGAGACGTGATTGTTTGGGGTTCGCGACGACGGGTGACCGTTGGCATTGACGGGCGCCTGAGCGGCGAAGAGATGCTGCGTGTAGGCGCCCTGAGGCGGCTGCTGCTGGGGCGCGTAGGCCTGGGGTTGGTAGGGCGACGCGGCATGGGGGGCGGGCGACTGCTTGTTTGCTTGGTGCTGGTTCGGGTGCGAGGGTGCGAAGCCGGCATTGCGGCGGAGGCCGGCCTGGGAGAAGTTCAAGCCGGCGTGGGCGTTGGACCCGGATGGCCCGAGGCTCGACATTGTTGGCTCGTGAGGGGCCCCGAAGCAGGATGGCGACGAGGAGCGGTTGCGTCGGCTCACGATGCCAGCGCGGAGGCGGGCAGCGGCAACGTGGCCGGAGCGGGAGGGCGAAGCCGGCGTGGAGGAGGAGCCGGGATACGAAAGAGTGACGACAACGAATCTTGTCGTCCGAAGCGAAGGCCGTCCGAGGATCGAAGAGTCTTGTCCGAAGAGTCCCAGGGGAGCGCAGAAAAAAAAACACTGCAAGCACGTACCAAGCACCGCCCGCACACACGAGGCCCGATTTCCTCTCCCCCCTTTCGTGAGCCCGAAAGCTGGGAGGCGGGAGTGCTGGCGGAGGGCGGCGGAAGCAGGCTCCTGTCGTCGTCTTCTTGTCGATTCTCGATTCCCCCGAGTCGAGCAAGCGACTGTCGTTCGACGAGGCCTGCGCGGCTCAAGCAAAACCCTGGACCTGGTTTTTTTGGGGGTGTCGTTAAATGGAGCTGGGCTTGGAGGAGGCGTGGAGTGCGCGCCGGGCAGAGGTGTGGGCAGAAAGAAGGGAGGAGTGGCATGGAGTGGGTTTTCTTTGAGGGGGGGGAGGGGGAGGGAGGGGGAGGAGGGCAGGCCACCTCAGGCACCCTGACCTGGGCTGGCGGCCTACTTACAGTACTGTACCTAGGTAGGTAGCGGAAGGTGCCAGTCACCACAGTGCAGCCCAGGGACCAGAGTTAGCGGTACCTGCTAGAAAGCCCGGCGCTAGGGGCAGCAATCCGCCCGGCGCTAACTCGAGGTACTATCTCCAGCCCCAGCCTCCCCAGCCTCGAGCAACGTCACCAAACATGGAGAGCTTTTTTTCCAACCGCGCTCTCACATGCACCCAATTTTGCATGCACATGTACAGTACGCACAATCGCATGTGAAACTTGATACAGGTACACACTGTACTGTACAGTACAGTTGCTTCGCGTCGCCAATGGGTGCCAACGGGAATGGCCGCTAGCAAAGATTAGTGGCCTATCACGGGGCCTGCATGCCGACGCGGTGGCTTTGAGGCGGCCCCCTTTTTATGCGCTCTTTCGGCGTGCCAATCGATGTGTGCACTAACAATTTCTTGTCTCGCCTGACAAGTACTGTACTTGTCCAACAGGAGTACCTCTCTTAAACTCTCCAAGTGCGGGGGCCGTCTGGCCGGAGAGGCAGTACCCCAGATAGGCACGACTCCCAAGACCTAAGGGCTCCCTCACCTCCCGGTGGGAGGCTTGCATTTACCAAGAGGCACACAGAAACCGGGAGCTAGCTGCCCGCAGTAAAAGACGTTGCAAAATGACATTATCACCGCCTGGTTTATGCTAATAACCGTTTTGGGTGGCACCCAAGCCGACCACGCTCTTTCTCGGCCAGCCGTTTACCACAAGCCCCATCAACGACTCACTTATATCCAACTGACGTTGCTTCCATCGGAATACAAAAACGGACAAGAAAGACAGGACAACAGCCGCCATTTCACATCCCTCATTCCCGCACCTCCTCCCTCGCCATCCATCACCTGTACCGCCACTCCCTGCTTCCCGCCCCTCTCACGTGACTCGCGCACATCTATCGCACTACCCTCCTCTCTGCCACTGGCCGAGAGAGAGATGCACAAGCATAAGGCATCAAGCCAGCGCCCAACGCCTGCACGATACGAGGCCATCCGTCCAATCCGCCTCCATCAGACCAAAGAAGCTAAATGCATGTGCAACAAAACCACATCGGCATCGTCACCGGCACATACGCATATAACATATGACAGGCCCTCCGCCGATCCCGCCCGACGCGCAACACACTCCTCATCGACAGTCACCGAATCTCTCTTTTCCGACCTCTCTTTTTCTCTGTCCTCTGCCATCAGCCATGTTGTGCAACTTGATACTTTGATCCATGACGCAGCATCCTCGCATCAGCCTCCCTCGGCAACCCTGCAAGGACATGCAGTCGTTGCCCCCCTTTGACTCTCCAGATTTTGCCCCCTGTCTCGTTCGAAAAGGGCAGAAGCAAAAAAAAATTGATGGGGGGAGAGTTGGATAAAAATAAACTCGAGCAATACCCGTCGACGCCATGCTCACTCTTTGAGACGGCCGAGGCAAGAAGTCGTCATATATACACCAAAACTCCCAGGCACATACATCTCGAGCCCAACCCGCAACCACGCTTTCAGGAGGCTCCGCGTTTCCTTGCCCCCTTCGTTTACAGTACTTGCCTTGCCACCTAACCACTCGCCCGTCATCCCTTCATTCCATCCTTTTCCGTTTACCGCCCCGTTGATTCCCACCATCCTCCCAGTTGACAAAGTGTTTTTTGTCAATCTGGTGCTGCCTGAGATTGTCCTTTCGGCTTCGGTACTGGCTGTTACAACCGGGGTACGGGCACCGGTATATGGTTGGCGGGCCAGTCCCGTGCTGCAGCTTCTTGTGCTTCGCCATGCTGCCCCCGAACCACCGCGGGTCGCCTCGCGGCCGGTAGCCGCATATCTCACAGCAGCTGACGGCGGCAGCGTTTCTCGATGCTGCTGCTGCTGCGGGAGATGCCGGTGTCGTGGTGCAGCTCGGCCAAGACCCTGTCGTCTGCTCGAGCCCAGCGGTTGACCCCCCCTCGTCTGGGGGAGGCGGGTGGATAGCAATCTCCGGAACGGGAGGCCTCGAGATACCAGCAGCAATGTCGACCATGTCCGTGGGCAAGGCGAAACCGGATCCAGGCATGGAATCAAACGCAGAACTGTGACTGTCCACATCCATCCTCGTTTGCTCGTTGGCGAGGGGTTCCAACAGCCCATCCGCTCTCGAGGCTCCCGAGGTGTCCTGGAGGGCTTCGTCCCCCAGCTCAATCTCTTGGACAATCAACCGCATGAGCAGCCGGATGTCGAGACGGTAAAACCTCCGCCGTGGGTCCACCTCGACCGTATGAGGCGTTTGTCCCTCATAGAGCGTGTCGACCTGCTTTCGCACCGACAGGACGTACTCGTCTATATCAATGGACGGGTGGAGAAGCATCTGCTTTTGCCTGTCAGCCTTGATCAGTGCGCTCAGGGGTCGAGCGACCGAGGAGCGACCTTTCCCGCTTGCACGAGGTGCAGTTCCAAGAGGCGAGGCGTAGCTACCGGGCCCGACCCGAACTCGTCGAGGACATGCTGCATGGCCGACTCGAAGCCGGGGACAGCGTTGTATTGTCGAGCGAGCGACGCGGCGATGTTGTTTGCGGTCATGGAGAAGGGAGAGCCATTGCCGGCTAGCAATCCGCCTTCTCGCAGGTGCTCCATGCACAGCTCAGAAGCTTGGTCTTCTAGCCGCTGCGTTTCGCAAAGCGCAGTCATCTCTAACTCTAAACCAAGCGACGCCTTAGCCACAGGGCGGAGTGTCTGTCCACGGGGTTCTTGCGCTTACCGTCCAGGACGTGCTGAGCAGCCAGCAAGAGGGGATCGCACCGGAATCGGCCCGGGACGTCAGCGCGCTCCTTGCCCTTGGGGCTGAGCGACTTGGATCCCGACCGAGACAAGCTCGCCCGCTGGAGCTCCGCGAAAGCATCATCGGCCATGCTCTCAGGCTTCCAGAGAAGGCCGACGGCCAAGATATAGGACTGCATGTCTTGGTGAGGCAACCAGCAACTATACGCCACGGCCTGGGCGAAGAACTGCATGCTGCGATTAAAGGCGTCTTGTTCGTGGACCATCAAAGAAAACGAGTAGACTACGTGGACAAAGCAGAGCAGCTTGACGGGTGACGTCTCCGGGTGGCCTTCAAAGATGTTTTCCATGGCCTCAAGACCGGCAACGGCAACGGAGCAGGCCGTCATTTGGCAAAACTCCTGGGCCAAGGGGTTCTCGTCGTTCCCGAGCCTGTCTACGGAACTTTCGACATGCACTTGCAGTGTTTTCCGCACTGACTGGGCCAGTAAATTCGCGCTGACATGCTCGTGGCGCGGGGGCTCGGCTTCCAGCGGCGTGGTCTCCAGAGAGAAGTTGGTCACGTCAGTCGACGGTAAGGTCATGCTCGCATCCGCAGACCGCACAACCGAGGTGGCTGTGTCATTAAACGCAAAGTCGGGCTGTCCCAGGTCCAAATCGCCAGAAAACGGATCATCGGACAGGTAATCAAGCATGGGCACGTCGGCAGTGGGCTCTGCGAACGGGTTGTCGGCAGCGAGCTCCGCCATGACGATGTCGGGAGCATGCCTGGCCAGGTTCATTTCCTGGCCCTCGCTCGCCAACCAGTGTCCCGCGTGCTTGGGCTGTGGCCAGAGATCCGCCAGGTTGGTCAGGTCGTCTGCGGGAGACGTCAGCGTCGACTCGAAGCCATGGCCCCTGCTCCAGGCCCCGGACCAAATCGACAATGGCGAGATTTCGTGGCTGGCCGTGCTGGTGGCGCTCGAGGTCGATCGGACGGACGAGCTCGGCGTCAGGTCCTTGCTTCGGCGCGGCCGGCGGACCTGGCGATGATCCAGGCCGTGAGTGTTGACCTGGAGCACGGGTCTCTCGGGCGCCCTGACCGGAGGAGGGTTCGACGGGCCCCTGGATACGATTGGCGGGGGGGTCGGAGATGGCTCCCAATTGATGAGAGATTCGTCAAAGCCAGACCTACTTGGTTCGAAGGGCACCGACGGTTGAGGAGGGGGTGGAGGAGACAGCGGAGGAGGCATGACGGGCTGCTGGATAAGTCGCGGAAGAAAGGCGGCAATGGGGTCTGATTGGCACAGCCCTTGAGCCTCGGCGGCCGGGGAGGCAGCGAGCTCCGGCTCGGGAACAGCGAGCTCCAACGAGTCGGCCTCGAAAATCTCGTTGGCCTGAAGCTCGGCTCCCTCAGGCACCGCAGCCATCACGGACTCATAGCTGGGGGGCATCTGGCCATCGACGTCCGTGTCCACGTCGGCGAGGCCGCGATTTCTCGACTTGTGATGGCCAAGGGAGCCAAAGAAGCTCTTGGCCATTGACATGACTTTTTTCCTCTTTGACGCATGGCCCAGGCAGCAGCGCCTGCACTTGGCGTCGCCGAGTTGCTCAACCCGATCGCAGTCGTAGCACCAGTACTCGCCCGAGGCCATATGGGGGCACGAGTAGAGGTGCTGGAGCATGAGCTCGTGGTCAACGAACTGCTCGCGGCACTGCAGCAGCGGACAACGGCGCTTGTCGGCGAGCGACATGTGGACGCTGGCATTGCGCTTGACGGCGGCCCAGACGACGAAGCTGTGGAGGACGCAGTCGTTGCCGGACGTTTCGCGGGCCCTGCCACGGATCTGTAGGGTCAGCGCTTTCTCTTCTCCCTCTGTCCTCAGCTCGTCGTCTCCTGGCAGGGGTGTGTATGTGTGTGTTTCTTACACGCAAGTGGCCGCCTGCCGCTCGCTGCCCTCGACGAAGCTGGCCGACGCCGAGTCTGACGAGCTGGCTGTCGAGCGCCTGGCCCACGATCGATTGGCGGCCGAGGTGAGGCACCACCGTCGCAGGCTGGACGAGGTGATGCTGGCTTCCTCAAACGAGGTACGCCGGGGGCTGTCCATGGTGATGAATCCGAGTTTCCCCTCTCAGTCAATGGGAACGAGCGAGCAAGGCCAGCAAGAGTGAGAGAGCGCGAACAGGTGCAACCATGGCGGCAGGAAATCAAGGACAGGACACAGCCGGCTCATGGGTAGATGTAGGCCGGTGGACCCCTCTCTCTAGAGCCGCAAGCCAGCCGGAGGCAGCGCAAAGCACCGAGAACGAGGTCCTGCGCGCCCTGGAGGGCATTCGGAGATGCCTGGGTAGTTATGCAGGACAACTGGCCTAGGACTCGGCGTGCGGGGTGAGGAGAGTGTTGGCTGCCGGTACTGCGGGACGCCTTGTCCTCTAGGACTCGGCGTGCCAGCCAACCACATGATGATGTCTGATCTTGCTCGGCGTGGCTGACGGCGGGAGATGGAGGGGGGGGGCCCGGCCTTGCCTCGCCTCGCCGTCTCGCCTCGTCGTGCCCTGCCTGGGTGGTACCTCGCCGTAGTGTCACGGCCTCGACGGGAGGCAGCCCATGGTCATCATCATCAATCAGTCAACTTTTGGTACCAGTAAATAATACCCGGCCCCCTTCTCCCGGCATGGCGTGATGTGCGGCATGAACAAGCCCGTCGTCAGCCAGCCACTCAACCCTGCGGCGCTGCTGGTTCCTTCGACCCGGGCCTCTGCGCTGCAGGTCATTCGATCCGAGCCTCTGCGCTGCAGCGGCAACAGCTCTCAGCTCATGCCAGTACTGGGTAATAGAACTTGGTAGAAACCGGCACAAGACACACAGCAGTCTGCTGACATCTGCCGACAATGCCTTGCTTATCCGCCAAGTCCTACCATCCGAGACCAACGCAAGCCACCCCAGTCTCGAACATCGCGGCAGACGCCTCTTTGCCTTGTACGGGCTACCGCCTACCCATGCTTTCTACCGTCTACGCCCGCCCACCAACCAATGGACCCGACGAGCTCTGCCGAACCTCGCACAAACCGTGCTCCTCACCTAGTACTAAGAGTAGATGATGTACAAGAGAAACATGCTCTGCCCTTCCCGTCATCGGCCCTCTCTCCGTCCACCTCCGGCCCGCTGCTGGCTCCGGCTCGTTTTGGCCACCACGCCCCGGAGCACCTTGAGCTTCTCCTCCGTCACCCGAATCGCCTCCTCCACCTCCTTCTCGTCCATCCGCCCTTCTCTGAGCTTCTCCTCGATGATCCGCGGCTCCGGCGTCTTCTTTCGCGCGTGCGAGCCCTCCGACCCGAGTCGATCCAGCCCGACGCGTTCCTCGAGCCACTCCCACAGCTCGCTCTCCTCTCGTCGCCACATCTCCTCGTACGCCGCGACCCGGTACGGGCTGTAAAAGCCAACGCCTGGGCCATATGTCGCCGAGCTCTTGCTGGGCGCCGACCCGAATCCGAACCACATGGCAACCAGCAAGCCCACCAAAAGCCCGTACATGACGTTGCCTGTCAGCAGCGGGCGCACCACATCGACGCATGGCTCCACCAGCCCCCGCACCGGCTCCAGGAGCCCCCAGTTCTTCATGGCCGTGTGGCTTGGGCCGCCGCTGCTCTCGGAGCCGCCATCGGCCGACTGGAGCGCCTTGCTCCTCTTGAGCTTCTTCTTGATTCTCGGGGGCCCGTTCGGCGTGGTGTTCAGCCGAGACCGCGACGAGACCGAAGCCTTGAGTGCCGCAAACAGGTCCTTGCAGTGCTGCGTTTGGCCGTCACTGACGCCCTTTTCGATCGGTCCTGAATAAGCAAAAAGGTTAGCGCTTATCGTTGACACGAGGACAATCCCCAACCTTTGAGCCAGCTCTTGCCCGTCCATTCGACGGTACAGTTGACCTGCAGACGCGTGGCATTGTTCTCGGCCCACGAGAGGCAGTACTTGGTCTTGACGGAAAACACGTTGCCGCTAGGAACGTCTGGGTTCTGCGTCGAGATGCTCAGGTTGACCGCCTTTTCCAGGTCGAGATTCTCCAGCGTCTCCGCCACGATGCACTTGGTCTGTCTCGGGCCAATTGAGGCGTTGAGGGGCTTGATGTACGTGTAGTTTCGCGTTCGGTTGTCTAGACTCAGGCCCTTCTTATCTTCCATCTGCAAGTCGCTGCACTTCTGGTCTCCCGTCAACCACTTTGTCATCCAGTCGACCGAGCCGGGGCCGAAAACAAGGTTGTACACTTTGCCGAGGGGCGCGGGTATGACGTCGTCACCGACGATTTTCTCGTAGTGAGATGCCGAGTCGCCGCAGTCCGTCGGCGCATGAGTCGCCGGCCCCGGAAAGTCGGCGGCGGTGCTGGGCGGCGACGGGGCTTCCTTGGGCGCGTCGGCCGGGGCGCCGTTCGGGGCCGTCATGCCCGACGCCTTCCTAAGCAGCGGCTTCTCCGACTCGGCGTCAGCGCCCGACAGTTCGGTGGCCTGCGTGTCTGGGACGTGTTCGTTTTCTTCCTCGTCGTAGAAGTCGTCTTCGTCATCGTCGCCGCTGTCATCATCCGACTCGGAGCCAGCCGGCACGTCGTTGTCTGGGGCCGACGGCTCCGCGTCCACCTTTTCCGTCTTGTCACCGCCCGTGCCCTCGAGCCGGACCCCGTTGAGGGTGCTCTTGAGTGTCGGGTGCCCGAGCTTCCAGATATTGACAATGAGGTCGTAGGTGGCGTCTCGGCTGGTAAAGCTGGCAAACGTGTGCTTGGCGTGCAGGGTCGAAATCATGAGCCCGTTCTTGAAGACTAGCGCGGTGCTTCTCTTTTCAACGGACACGATTTCGTCAAAGCCCATGACCAAGGTCGTCGTCCAGCCCAGAATGTTGCTGCTGAAGCAGAGATGGCCTTCGGAGACGTAGAGCCGGCCGTGCGCGAGAATCTCGCGCTGCAGAGCGCAGCTGTAGTCCTCGATGAGATAGTCATCGTCAGGCACGCTCTTGAAGAGATTGTGAAAGTCGCGGTTCCGCCTCTTGCTAGCAATGGCGAAGCCCGTGAGCTTCGGGGCGCCGAAGCCGGCGCTCGGATTCATTACCGAGCTGTTGGCGGCTGCAATGGCGGCCCCGACCGCCGTCCTCGTGCTTCCCGTCGTGGCGGAGCTTCCTCTCTTCCTGTGCGGCCGCATGGCACTCCGGATGCTTGAGGCGCGCTGGACGGGGGATTTGGAGTCCAGCTCGGCCGGGGGGGGCGTCTGATCGCCGAGCGTCGCCTCCACCAGGGATCGCGGCCTGCTCGACGGTTCCTCCTGCAGGGTGTCTATTGCCCGTGCCTGGGACTCGACGGGTGCCGAGTCGGACCTGGTTCTCGCATCGGCGGCCTCGGAGATCTTGGTGCTGGCCGGAGAGGCCATGGAGCCAGCAGGCTCGGCGATTCCGAGCTGGCTAAGGCTCAAGTCGCCCCTTCCGAGAGTGCGGACCGCCAAGTCCTTTTTCGGGTCCATGCCTTGGTCAGGTCGGGGCTCCGAGGCCGGCGGGTCGAGCTCGGGTCCGGCCTGGCTGGGAGCCGACGAGCCCTGCGACCTATTCAGACTGGAACGGCTCTTGTTGCCGGCAACTCCGATTGTGGTGCCGGGGATGTTATTGCTCAGTGTGCTGGCGGCGTTTTGGGCGGCGGAGAGGACGGAGGAAAAGAAGCTAGGGGCGCTTGGCGTCTCCTCGCCGCTCTCGGCGGTGGGTGTGAGCGGGGCGAGGGTGGTGTTGGACAGCTTGCTGGGTATGGTGGCGGACGATCCGGACTTGGACCTCCAGTGTGTGCTCATGCTCTGGGAGGGGCCACTGCCATCGGGGCTGGATCGGGGACTCCCGCCGTTCAACGGCGACGTCTTGAGATTGTCGGACGGAGGGCTTCCAGCGGTGTCGACTCGGTCGACGGGGGTCGGGGGCGTGCTTACGATGACGGGGGCGGGATTTTCGGACGCGGGCGGAGTTCGGGGCGGTCGCGTATCGATGCGTGGCTGCGGCCTGGACCGTCCTTCCGGAGGAGCTACCCTGGCGGGAGGCGGAGGGTCGAGGGTCGAGGAACGGGCAAGGGCGTTTTGGCTCCTTGCGGAGGCGGGCGACGAGTTATGTCTGTCGTCAATGCTGCTGAGATCGCTCTGCGAGCGCGAGGGCGGCTGATAGAGCGGTCGATGGGAGTCGAGGTGGTTGGCTTGGATGACGGGGGACGAGGTTGTCAGGTAGCCAATTTGAGACGGATGGGCGGAGATGGCGGGAGCTGTTGGTGGAGCGGCAGATGCGGGTCGTCGCCTGTCCAGACCGGGGTTAGGGACTCGTCAAAATGACCTTGTCGACGAATTGTGGAGATGGCATGGTGGACGGGCCAGCCAAAGTGAAAGAGGGGAGAGGAATTGCAGACAAGAAGAGGTTGACGAGCGAGCAAAAGGAGGGGGCAGGGAGACGTCAGACGGGCTGGGCTGAGGTCGAGCATCCAGCATGCGCCATGTGCACCGACAAAAGAGAGACACTTACGGGTCTGCAGAGTCGACGGCAGCAGCGCTGGATTCGTGCGAGGCAAAGCTGCCGCCGTCGTCGCCAGCCTCGTCGGCCTCGTCGCGGACCCTCAAGTCGGTCGAGGCAGACGAGGGCCGGCGACTGGCCGCGTCGTCGGCGTCGGCGTCGGCCCCGCGCGCAAGCTTCTGCTTCCTGCTCTTCCGCTTGGCATTGATGGCCTTTGGCAGAAGCTTGCCCAGGCCGTTGCTGTCCATGGCTATCGTCTATGTGTGTATTCTCGTAATGGTCACTTTGCTTCTCGCCTGGAGGAGCAAGGAGGGCGACCGAATGCAAGGGGGACGGGGGCCGCGCCGCGGCAGCAGTTGGGTTGTTGTCGATGCAGTCGTCGACGTCGTCCTGCGCAAGAGGCAGCGAGAGAGAAATGGGCACGGTGAGGGTGACACAAAGGGCGCCCCCGGGAGGTTGCTTGATGATGTGCAGGCAGAAAGAGAGATGCGTGACGTGACTTTGACAGCCTGTACAGGCACCTGCGAGATGGTGACATGGCGATGCCGGTACTCTGACCCGCTTGAGCCGCGCATGCCAATACTTGCCGTTCATGTCCCCCTGTACCCACTCAGCAGCCACTCGCACCCCGGTGAGGCATGCGTTCCTGTACTGTAGTGCCACCTGTAGCAGTAGTAGTAGTAGTAGTAGTATTGATTACCGTCTGGGACATCCCTATAAGGGCAAAAGACGTGCTAGGCTAGGTATAGTACAAGATGGGGATGCTCGTCGGAGACCCGTCGCGCGTTCCTTACTTCTACTCCCCTATCTAGCAATTCTTGGACTCTGTGGCCGCTCGGATTCTCAGGTCCCTTCCCCCGTCAGCGGGTTCCGGGCACGGCGGCGAAGCCGTAATATTAGTCAGTCTTCGGTCAGAGCCGGGTGACTGAGAAAGCCCACAGTGCCACCTGTAGCGAGGCCTCGGCCAGGGCATTTAGAGCGGGGCGGGAGCAAGCCAACTACCTAAAAAGGCGAGGTTGCTGCAACAAACTTCTTCAGCGACCAGAGACCCGACTCTTGACTCGTCCCCCCTTTTGAAACAGCCGCGGCTATAATCGTCGGCGCACCTTCTCGTCAATGGACGTTCTAACCCCCCCCCCCCGCTCCCCCTCTGGAACTCTGTAGAGAGGGCGAGGAGCAGGCCTTTGGACACAAATGCAGGCGTAAACAGCCTACCTAGATACCCTGGTACCCTATACATACTTCGTCCTCGAAGCCATGCAGTCAACACCGTCACCCGCGTCAGTGACGTCACACATCACAGGTATCCGGATCATCTTGATTTACATGCAGAAGGCGTCATGCCTGTGCTCCGTAGAGCCATCTCGATTACCCATCTTCGTCCTATCGGGGCATCTCGCTGGAAACAGTGGACCACAGGTCGCCCGAGCCAACCTGGCCACGGGTCGCCTCCGTACAGCACGGTGTGCTCACCACGCTCAAGACCCCGCTGACCGGCGTCTAAGCCAGCTATGTAATATGGACGATTACAAGTATATACAGTATATGCAATATATGCAAATGCAAATCATGTGCGGCATCAAGCCAACTCCTTTTCCCTTATCCAAACAAACGCCCTCTCAGCCCGGCGCCCAGTTGCTGAAACTGCTCGCCGCCGTTGACCCTCCCAGGCTGTAGGGCACATGGCCCGAACTGCGGTCCATGCTGTTGATGTTCATGAAGCTTGGTCGTACCAGCCTCGAGAGCCTCGTCCTGAGATCCACACTCCGCACGCTCTGCGACTCCGAGTCGACGCTGGCCCTTGGCGACGCCACCAGCGTCTCCCTGTCGGCTTCCACCGCCGCCTTGTCCTCTGCCTCTTCCCACACCTCCTCCTCCTCATCCAGCTCCGCCTCCTTGTACCGCAGCGGGGGCAAGGAGCCGAACTTGTACGCGTTCTTGGTCCCGGCGCTGAGAGCCTGCTCCGCGCGCATCTTGGCCATGTGCCACTGAATCCAGTACATCTGCTCGTGTTCACGCAGGTAACGCCGTCCGTGGAAGCTGTGCAGCACCACTTCTCGCGACAGGAGCCCAAGCCGGCGCCGGTCGTCGCTCCTGTCGTACATGCGCTGCGACAGCCACTCGACGTCCTCGGCCGAGATGTCCTCCGGCAACCCTCCGACCCCGCTCGTCTCGCCGTCCTCCGTGAACCGTGCCCACGGTCCGACCATGCTGAGTAGGCTCAACTGCGCGCGTGCGAGGGCCACGGGGTCGTTGGGGGCCACCACCTCTCCGTATCGCTGCGCCGGGTCGTCCGGGTCCGTCACCACCAGCGCCGTGGCGCCCACCTCGGTCGCGACAATGGGCACGCCTGCCAGCGCCGCCTCGCCAATGGCCAGCGGCAGCCCTTCCGAGATGGACGAGTTGACAAAGAGCCAGGCGTCTTTGAGCACCTCCTTGGGCTTGCCGAAGCCTGCCAGGATCACATTCTCCGACAGGTTGCACTTGACGATGAGCTTGGCCATTTCGAGCGCGTACGATGGCTGACGGTCCTTGGCGCCGTACACGAGCAGCTTGTAGTCGTGGAACCCGTAGCGGTTGACGATAATATCGGCCGCCAGGATAGCCGTCTTGATGCCCTTGATGAACTGCACATTGGACAGCATCACCGCCGTCGGCGTGTCGGTGCGCACCTTGTCGACAGGCATAAACGAGTCCATGTTGCTGATGCCGTTGACAATGGGATCAATCTTGCGCGCAAACTCATTGCTGCTGCAGAGCTTGCCGCTGTCGGTGCCGATTTCAGTTTCCCACATCCTAACGATTCGGTCAGCACACATTCAACATTCAAGCAGAGCAACAAGCCAGCGTGGGGCCAGCACGAGAGCAAGGAAAAAACGTACGGATTAAAGAGCGACGTGCACGGCACGACAATGTCGGCGTGAAAATAGGCCAGGCGACTCGCCAGCCGGATTCCCGCCAGAAGCATCGACTGTACCGGCACGGACAGCTCGCACTGCGCCGGGCTGATGTTGAGGCAGCTCTCCCGCCACAGGATGGCGTGGTCCCAGATGCCAAACGTCACGCCGCGGCGGTACTTGAGCAGCATGCCAAAGAGGCTGCTGATGCCGTGGTGCGTGCTCTGGAAGACGCGGGGGCACTCTTCGGGGATGTTGACGGAGAAGATGAAGAAGTAGGCCAGGTAGATGCCCAGCGCGTCCTTGAAGTCGGCCATGCTGGGCCGTTGCATGTCAAAGTGCTGCGAAGGGTCCGTGATGTTCTCGTCATGGTAGGGGATGAGCCACGCCTCGGCCCATGCATCCTCGACCACCTTGGAGCTCCACGTCTGGTTGTAGTCCTTGTGCTCGTAGTACTTGGACATGGAGAGGAAGACGTTGGTGTACTTGACGAGGTCAGCGCGCGAGTAGCTCTTGGTGCGCGCCCCCTTAACAAAATCCTTGAGTAGGGGAATGAAGACGCCCACCACGTCTCTCTGCATGTCCGTGTCGCGAATCTTGTCGTCGACTTGCGACTGCGTCATGTTTTCCATGAGCCCGTGGTAGGCAGTCTTGCCGTCAAGACCCCACAGCGGCAGCAGCTTGAGGGACTGCACGTTCTTCTCCACCTGGAAGCGCGGGATACCAAAGTCGTTGGCACACTCGGCCAGCACGTGGTTGCGGATCGTGCTGTGGCCGTTGACCAGATCTCGCCTGCAGTTTGACACGCCGCCCGGCGCCTCGGGCCAGCACCCAATGTCGTTGACGATGACGGACAGCCGGTCCTGCGTGTCCTTGTAGGCGTCTTGCGGCCGGTTCGTGACCTCGGTGGCGTCCCTTCCCAATCCCATCGCGTACAGGTCCGCGGTCCTGATGGGGAGTAGGCAGAGCTCCGAGATGTCCGTCTCGATGTCAATGGCCGACACGATCTGGTTAATGTCGTCGTCCAGCGCCTGTTTGGCGTCTTGGAACCTCCCGCGCTCGCGGGCACGCCAGTACTTGCGAAGCAGCGGCTCCCCGCGGATGATGAGCTCGTCCATCCAACAAACGGTAGCGGCGTCGAGACCGCCGTTTAGCCAGCCATTCCACAGCTCGGTTCGGATGCGCCAGGTGGGGACGGAGAGATGGACCTTTCTCTTCCACAGGTGCAAGGGACTCCAACGCGACGCCATGGATAGCCCATTGCCTGCGTACTGCCTCATGCGCTTCACCTGGAGTGGCCTGTGGTGAATGAGCACGTCGTCCCAGTCAAATGACAGGTTCTTGGGCTTCTGGAGCAGAAAATCTTGCTCAAAGGCTAGTCTGGGCTCCTCGGCGACGGCGGTCCTGTGATTATTGTCTCCTTCCAGAATCGTCGTGCTGACGGGGTCGCGGCGGTGGCGATACTCGAACTCGGTGACGAATCTCTTACCGTTGATGACCCTGACGATGCGGTAGACCTTGTCCGACGGGATCCAGTCATAGTCGCCAGCGCCGGTCTTGGGGGGCGGGCCCCAGAAGACGGACAGTAGGTCGCTGGACCCCGATTTGCTGACAGGCATGAAATCCGCTGCGAGAATGTTGGCGTTGCCCTTGGGGGTCGCCTTGTAGTGGTAGCAGAAGTTGAGCATCGACGAGTCGCCCAGGGTCAGGATCCCGTGCTTGATGCGCCCGTGGCAGTCATAGATGCCAATGGTCCTGTACTTGTCGCCCACAGCCTCCTTCGACTGCGGCCTGCGCTGCCAAACTCGAGCGCCGTAGTTGTAGGTCGCCATGGTGCCGTCTCCGTCTTCGCGGCTGGTCAGGCGAAGGTGCTCATCGTACCTGGCTTTGAAGGCCGGCTTCTTACCCTGCGGAAGGGTTTGCGGGAGCCCGTCAAATGCCTCGACAGTCATGTGGGCTTGCTCGTCCTCGCCGCTGGTCGCGAAGGCGGTGACAGACTTGCGGGCCTGGTCCATAACGATGGCGTTTCCCGTGATTTTGCGCCGCTCACCCTTATGCGCAAGCCGGATAATGTTGACGAGGGTGGGCCGGTGATATACAAGCAGTGCATAAATCAACGAGTCCTTCAGCTTTCGGCACGCCTTCCACACGAGCAAGGTAGGAAGGAGGATCAGACGGCCGCAAAACACATTGCGCAGGCTATACCAGAGCTCTCTCTCGACGTTGGCCCCTCCGCCCGAGATGACGGCTATCCATTTCACGATGGAAAGGGGAACCGCGGTGAAAGCCCGGACCAAGGGCTGCAGAACGTTGCCTGGTCCCCGCCGACCGTGGACTCGAACGGGCTTCAACTCGGCAGCGGGTTCGAAGGTGTTGGGACCATCACCATCGGAGAAGAAGACGGTTGACATATACCTCTCTGTGCAATTGTGAAAGATGTTGAGAGAGAGATACAGATGGAAATCGACAGTCTGTATGTCGATGCGCTCCTGCGACGTCCACTCCCAGAGCTCTTCGGAGAAGACAATGGGCTGCCCCGTGATGCGAGAAATGATGGCTTCTCTGCCGCTCTGGGGGATGGATTGCCAATCAGACTCAACATCCACGTTCCAGCAGAGATGGCGCATGAGCTCGGGGTTGGATTTGCGGATCACACGCTTCAGATCGCTCGCATCCCCGGACGCCAGCTCGACCTCGATTCGCTTGGAGACGGTGGTTGTCTCGTGGATGAAGTGCTCGGCCTGTACCGCTTGAGCGTGCGACCGCATAAGGTCGACTCGGGTCACATGGTAGAGCACGGCCTCGGCAGACACAGTGGCAAGCAGCGAATGCCATGAAGGCGAGCGAAGCTCCGTCTTGCCAAACAAGCCGACCTTGATGACGAGGACTTCGCCATCGATCTGACTCAAAGAGCAAATGTCGCCCAGACCAGACGAGGAAAAGCTCTCACGGTCGACGGCCAAAACCCGGACGCGGCGCGCGTTCCACATGGCGATGGCGGTGTCGAGAAGCTCCTCTGACCATGGGGCTTCCTTGGCCATGGCGTTTTGGTGAGCAAGACTTTTGTGTAGAAGCTGGCCGATCCTCTGCGCGATCAAGGAGCCATCCTCATGCATCGCCGTGACCCCGTTGGCCTTGCGAGACTTGAACAGGGGCATCTTCGACTCGGCATCGGCATCTGCCCTGAGCATCGGCTGGGCCCAGATCTCTCGATCCTGGTTGGTCTTGCCGGCACTGCGGGTAAGCTTCGTGGTGCTGGGCGTGGAGAAATCGCGCCAGGCCCAGGCAAAAGTCCCGAAGGCCGCCAACACGGCTGCGCAGTTTTGGGATAGAACATCCGAGTAGAGCCAGCCGGCCGTCGCGGGGACCGCGTGGAGGACACATCCCAGCACAAAGCCGACAATGGCAGAAGAAAAGATGATGACGATGTGCGCGTGAACGTTTGTCGTAAAGCAGCGGTTGAACTGGAAGACGATGACACATGTGTAGCCGAGGACGTAGAGGTAGTACAGCGTCATCGTCTCGGAGCTCTCGACAAAGACCCAGAGGAGGAGGGTAGTGGCGCCGAAGACGGCGAGAATCTTCAGGAAAAGCTCAGCCAGGGCGCTCATGAGCGTCCTGCGGCGCATCCTTTCCCAGTCCTTGGCGACTGTTTGCGCGTGGTAGAAGTCGGCAAGCGGTTCCTTGGACGAGGTGAAGCGGAGGCTCCAATACTTTTGCAAGACAACGTCCAGGATCATGACGGAGAAGCTGAAGTACAGGATACAGAAGCAGATGCCGTAGCGGGCGCGGGAGTCAGTGTAGAGGCTGGCATGGGGAAGCCGGGCACCCATGATGACGCTCACCCAGCGGTCCATGAGGGCGACGAGGAACAGGCCCAAGTTCTGTCCAATGTCGTAGCGGGCCATGCGGAAGAGAATGAAGACATTGTGTTCTTTGAGGCCTCGCGACAGCTGCTGCTGCTGCTTCTTGGCATCGCTGAGCTGGGTGAACCAGCCGCTACTGAAGGTGGGCGGAAGGCTGCCGTCTGGCACGGCCTTTTTGAACAGCCAGCCGACGTAGGGCATGCCCTTGGCCACACGACCGACAAGGGCGTCGACCATGAGACCCGAGGTGACGGCGTCTCGCGTCCGGCGGCTATAGGACGAGACGGCCTCTCGAAAGGCATCCTGAGCATCTTTGCCGCGGACCTGCGACGTTTCCCCGGAATCTGGGCCTGACTCGTTCTTGGCCACGAACCATTCGAGAACGTCCTTGTCGGAGAAGTCAGGGATATTACTCATCCAGCAGGACCACTCGTGACACAGCTTACGGTGCTGGTAAATGAGGGCGAGAAGGAAAGTGTAGATGATTGGGAGATATATCTTAATGTCGTGGCCGTTGACAAAGGAGGAGATGAGGGGCGACAGCAGGAGTAGGGGGATGTTGCGCCAGACGACGGTGCGGCCAGATGTCATAGGGCTATCTTGCTGATGCATGGTCGCAAGGATGCCAAGCAGGTTGAGGTAGGTGGTGATGCCAAGGAGGAAGGCGACGAAGATGAAGCCCACGGCGACAGAGTAGACGAGGGAGAAGACGACGAGACCGCAGGCGGCTACGGCGAGGGCCAGGACAAAGCCGCCCGAGAGGCGCTGGACGTGAAAGTGAACCATGTTGTCGTAGGCATAGTGGGCGAGGTAGTAGTTGCCGGTGCTACCGACCCAGCCAACGATACCGGCAGAGAGGAGGAGGGATATAAGCAGGGCGTAGACGGCGGCGCGGAGGTGGTCCGGCTGCATAAATGCAGTCATGAACATGCCACGGCCGATAAAGGTGAGCATCACGACATCGAGAATGGCAGGGAGGCAAAAGATGGACATGGCGCCAAACTCGGCGAAGCGCGTCTTCCACTTGTCGAGCTTCTCGAACATGGTCGTCTGACCCCCAAGCGTGGCTCGCCACTTGTTGCGCTTGGCGACGCTTTCGGTCTGCGGGCTCGACTCGAGGCTCGAGTACATGGTCATGATCTCGTTGGTCCGGTCGCCGGTGTTTGGCACCCGCCCCTCGAGGAAGAGCCGGTAGCGGTCGTAGATTATCTCGCCCAGGTCGCGCGGCAGGATGCCAAAGTAACCCTCGCACTGCGAACCCAGGACCCAGAGCTCCGAGAAGACGGCTGCTTGGTCGGGCTGGAGGAAGAGCGGGCAGCGGTCGGTAGCCTCGTTGTAGACATCCTCAAACGCCGCTCTGCGCAGCACACCGAAGAAGACGAGGGCGAAGAGATCGGTGTCGACGTCAACGTGGCTGTGTGGGCTTGAAGACTCGATGTCAAAGGCTTGGACGAGGGCGCCGGTGAATGCGTTGAGGGGCTCCTTGTCCCCGTAGAAGAGAGCGTCGCGAACGGCTTCGTCGACCAGGCGGTAGAGCTCCATGATATTCTCAAGAGGGGGCAGCTTGTGGGCGCCGAGCCGTACCAGACTTTCGAGCCGGACGGCAAGGGCGTCGCGCATGGTCATGGAGCCATCGAGGAGCTTACGGCCATATGTCCGCATCCGCAACGTCGTCGACGTCTGGTCAACGAGCAGGAAGCGGCACAGTTCGACCATGGGCTTCCTCAGAGGCCCGTCAAGCCGCGCCACCTGGATCTGCTGGAGCAGCTGGAGCGTTTCCGCCCGCGTTGCCCTTTCGATGCCAGCCTTGATGCTCATGGGCAGACCGCTGAGGGCAGCGGCACTGCCGGTGCCAGTCTCGAGCAGGGCTTCCGAGTGGTACCGCAGGTCGCGGGGCAGGCCGTGGTGCGCCAGCCAGGTGTGAAGAACGGTGGCTGCATCATCTGGCGCCTTTTGCGAGATGAATATGTCGACACAGAGCCTTTTATCAGGGTCTCGAGTCTTGGAAACGCCCCAGAAGGAGGCATCTCCGTCGGGCAGTCGGAAGCCGGTGTCCAGGCCCCTGTAGACACGAATATGCTGCGACTCGAGGCCATTGACGAGGTCCTGGACCAAAGGGCCACAACCATCCAATGCGGCGAGCGACCGCAGAGAGCCGAGAAGCTTGAAGGAAGCTACACTGTTGACATCGTGCAGCATGTCGAGCTCCTTGAGGTGCTGCTGAGTCTCGACGATGGCGACGTAGTCTTCGTGGGACGGCTCGGAGCAAATGGAGTAGCAGCCGTATGGCGAGAGGGTATTGCCGTCGCGTGACGTGTTCCAGAAGTCGTCACGGCTCGGGGCAAACGAGACGTACTCGGGCGGATCACAGTACGCCGGCTTCTCCGACTGCAGCTTACTGAGCGCGAGTGGCAACGGCTCGTGACGCAGAAGCTTGGGGGCGCCGGGGATGATGGAGCCGAGCTGCTTGGCTTCGAGCGGTGCCATTGGCGGCGGTGCTGCTTTGCCATCGGGGATCCAGGTTTTACGCTGCTCCGCGGTCCAGCAGCTTTGCAACTACACTCAGGGGTCAGCCACCAAGACAGCAATAGGAAGGGAATTTGACAGCCTCGTTCACCTTTGTCACGTCCGGGCGCTTCAGATACTCAAAGGCGCTCAATGTGCGACTTGCCGGGACCGAGGGCACTTGCGGGTCCGAGCCCGAGTCCGAAGAGGCGTGCTCGACGACGGCGCCGAAATGGTCGGCGAGCTTGACGGCTCGGCGGACGATGGACGGATGCGGCCGTTGCCTCCAGAGCTCGAGAAAGCCAAGGAAGAAGTCGGGCCTGGTCTCGCGCTCCTTGGCGCACTTGGCCGTGATGTCACGGAGCCCCTTGGCCTGAAAGTAATCTCTGCGCTGGCCGTCTGGGAGGATGACGGCATTTTCGACGACGATGCCCGCGGCGTGCTCGAGGCTGATGGAGTCGAGGATGCGCGAGCCATCGTGGTGGAACAGGAGCAGGGCCGAGACTTGACTCGAAGACAGTCTATGCAACAGCTTCTCGACTTGCTTCGGCTTAGTGGAAGACGAGGCGCGAAGGGCGAGGCCGGCGAGGTTCCCGTCCACGCACATGGACACCAGAACCGCCGTGGTCCGCTCCAGCTGGGCATCTCGGAGGGCCTCGGGGCCGAGGTCATCAAGGTTGACGCAGGCCAGGGGCCTCTTTGGCGGGAGTACGGTGCCAATAGTCCAGCGGGTGGATTTCCGCGCGCCGACGTCGTCCTGGTCGGCGCCGGGCGGAGAGAAGTCGAGGGGGAGGACGGTCAAATGGTAGGGCTCGTGATGCGGTTGCAAAGAGCCATCCGAGTCCGATTCATACGGGAGAGAAGTGCTCGTGTCGCAAGTTAGGGGAGCAGTAGTCCCATGGCCATCCAGGTCTTTGAACTGGCCCCCTTTGTTGCTTGAACTGTTGCCCGGTGAGCGTGCTGCGATGGAAAGGGGAGGAAGCTCAATATCTGCAAGAGCGAACATACCGTGAAGCCCCGGCAAGCTGTTTGAGCCTGCTGCTCCGCAGTAGCAGGAAGAGCCATAGCAGGAGAGGCAGGGCAAGGGCAGCTGTGCCGAGGACGAAGTTGACGACCTGGTAAGGGGACTGAAAGCGGCGGTCTGCTGGGACGATGTTGTTGCAGTAGACATCAAAGGTTGACGAGCCGCACTCCTCGATGGTGGGATCAAAGGAGTCGGGCTGAAAGAAGGAAGTCATGCTAGCGAGAGACTAGAGACGGACGACGGCCTCTGGCGACATGAAGACGAGACGCACGAAGGCGAGGGGGGGGGGATGGGATCAAGGGTTGCCCATGAGATTGAGTGTGTGTGTAGGCGGCACCTCTATCCTTCTGGGCTGGAAGGCATCTATGGGCAGCCTTGGGCTGTTGATGAGTACTAAGAGAAACGACGACGAGAGTCAAGTCCAGAGGTGCAAGGTAATGCTGCTAGACGGCCACTATAATGCGTCCCCGGAGGGCCCCTGGAGGAGCGCTGGAGGCAAAGCCACTGTGGGTGCTTCTAGTCGAGGCGCTACCAGCTCCGTAACCCACGGGCTCTCGGCGGGGCATTCCAGTGAGGCACCATGACCTTTCTTTCTTGTCCCCGCCGCACAGCACAGCAACGACGCAAAGCTCGTCGGCAGGCCGCACCCTCGTATGTCGATAACAAAGCCGGCGTGGCGTCGCCTCGACTCCAGTCGCTACCGCCTGATGCAGTGTCCAAGGGTTGGCGGTTCCACCCGTGCACGCTCCAACCGAGGCGAGAAAGAGACTGGGGAAACGTCTCCACGCCGCCAAGCTCTGCCGACAAAGACGATGCGCGAATCTCCGGGGTAAAGTTCAACCCAAGTTTGAGTTGCCGCAAGCAGGCCTAAAAACGGAGCTCATGATGGAGGCAGCTGGAGTAGGGGAGACGGCGTCTGGGTCGTGTTTCAGGTCCAAGCGGGAGCGCCATCGCGGCGGAACTCTCTCCCCGTCTCCACGAAGGCCGCATGGCTAACCAGCTTTGCGCAGATACGGTAGCTAGCCGCAGCCGGCCGAACCTTGTCTTCGAGGCTTGGGTTCAGCCTTGAACGGACAAGTAGACGACAGATGGCACCTGAGATGGAGGAGGTGTCGTTGGTCTGCCCAAGGCCAAGCGCCGTTCAACTCCGACTCCACTCCCTCAAGCCCCGGTCCCTGCTGACGATACGCCCGCTGGCTACGGTTCCTGTCCCCTGCCTGCGGGGCCCACGTGGACGGCAATGGCCATGGAATCCATCCGTCCCTTTGCCCTGCATTCTCGGGCCTCTCTCCGACGGCGGGCCCACGGGCAAGGCCTGCGCCGCCGTTCCTCGGCTGCCGGCGTCCAAGGCAAAAGAGCAAGCGGAATTGAAGCAACGGGCCGAATCAGCTCTCCAAGCATTGTCCTTTGACTGCTTTGAGGCCCCTGCCAAGACAACAGCTGGAGCCAGGTCCCGACTTGTGCGGAGCGCTCCAGCGGCTTCTATCTTTGGCCCGTCCACCATTCATCAATATCCCATGTCAACAAAGGGAATGACGTCGGCTCCTCCTGTTCGGTGATCAACGGCCACGACGTCAAATCGTCAACTTTCGACTCCTGTATTCCGCCGTTGCCCCAGCTCAACAGCTTCGTCTTCGTCTAGGCGCGTCCTCAATCAGGCTTGTTCTCATCTGTCTATACGAACTGCGGACAGCATCGCGACATGACATTGCATCTATTGGAGCGTTCCACTTTTGCCTAGTTAAGCCGTTAATGCTTTCAACACGAGCTTTCTCGCGCCCACCCGTGGCGGTTTCAATTGGCCTGAGCGGCTGGGCTCGGGTGCGCACGAACATCGACGGTCAACTATGGGGGAGGGCTTGAATTCATCTCCAGTCCATACGGGGACTGGCAAGAGGCCTCTCGTAACCCGTACTCGTCCTGCCGCCAGTCTTCGCCCTGCGGCTCACGCCCATCGATGTACTCACAACTCGAGACACACCCTCGTTTCACCGCACGCTCCAGGTTGATACGGGTGCTGCGAGGAAAGCTCATGCCACCACGCCAGCCGAGGTTAAGTGGCCGGTGCGCAAAGCAGAAGACAGAGATCCGGGATGCCTCAGCGGAGCCATTGCCTCTTGCACGGCTGTCTATGCCAACTTGTCGGCTCGCAACGCGGCAAGTCTGTCACGTCGGGAGCGTTCTCTCTCTCCCCGTCAACCTCCTAGCAATCGGGTTCCGTTGAGTCTTTGCGGTTCCCGTATGCTCATTAGTCCTAGCAAGCTCACGGCCCACGTCTATGCAGTGGTGGGTTCCATTGTCTCCGCTCGATGCCTCTCTCCATCTACACACTCCGGCTTTATAGAGCAGTCTCCCTTCCCACGTCTTCGACGAGAAATCCCATCTTGGACTCATGGCTTCTCGCTCGTTCTGATATAGCCAAATATCTTTTTCGTATCCCTCGTTTGCGTCTTTATTCCTCCGTATCTCTTATTCGTTCCTCTCTCGACGGTCCGATCCTACTTGCATACCCTGCCTTTCATCACAATCCCTTGCTCTGCGATCATGCCTGCCCACTCCTGCACGGGATCCCAGGCATCATCGGCCCAGGGAACGCCTCCGAGATCGCCCCAAAGCTCCCGTCCCACCACGCCCACCTCGGGATCCGAGGACGGCGAGGGTTTCTTGGGACTGGATGCGAGCAGCCGCAATGCCAACCGAAAATTCATCCTCGTTATCGGCGGCCTGGGGTTTATCGGATCCCACACCTCTCTAGAGCTGCTCAAGGCAGGACACAGCGTGGTCATTGTCGATAACCTGAGCAACAGCTTCGAGTCTGTCTTCTCCCGCATCCAGATGCTGGCCGCCCACCACTACCGGGAAAAGGGCGGCGACATGCCGGCCCTTCACCTGCACAAGATTGACTACCAGAGCAAGGCCATGCAGTTTCTCCTCGACATGTACTCCATCTCCGAGGGCTTCAAGCCGCAGCAGCACCCCGGCGCCCCTGACCACCAACAGCCTGCGCCGGAGAGACAGTCACGGATCAGGGGCGTCATCCACTTCGCCGCCTACAAGTCCGTCTCCGAGTCCATTTCCCGGCCAATCCAGTACTACCGCAACAACGTATGCGGGCTCGTGGACCTAGTCGAGTTGCTGGGCGAATACAACATTCGCACCTTTGTCTTCTCCTCGTCGGCCACCGTGTATGGTTCCAAGGCGGATCAGGGACGGCCGCTGCGAGAGGAGGATCTGGTCCACCATACCGAAGAGTACGTGGACGGCGAGGGCCGCAAGACGGTGGCCGAGCCCAAAGTGGTCGGGTTGCAGAGCCCCTACGCTCGGTCCAAGTACTTTTGCGAGGCCATCCTGGCCGACATTGCACGCTCGGATTCGGCCTGGCACATAGTCTGCCTACGCTACTTCAACCCCGTCGGCTGTGACTCCTCGGGCCTGTTGGGCGAGGACCCCAAGGGCATCCCCACCAATCTCTTTCCCGTCATCACCCAGGTCCTGACGGGCTCCCTCGGAGAGCTCAGCATCTTCGGCTCCGACTGGGACACGCGTGACGGGACGCCGGTACGCGACTTTGTGCACGTGTCCGACGTGGCGCGCGGACACATTGCCGCGCTGGCCTCGGACGTCGACGCGCCCTTCCGCACCTACAACCTGGGGTCCGGCACGGGCACGACGGTCGTTGAGGCGGTGCAGAGCCTCGAAGCCGCGGCGCGCCGGCCGATTCCCGTGAGCCGCGTCGGGCGCCGGGACGGCGACGTGGGCTTCTGCGTCGCATCCAACGGGCGGGCGGCGCGGGAGCTTGGCTGGACGGCACGCGAGAGCATCCCCAAGTGCGCCGAGGATCTGTGGAGGTTCGTGTCCAAGGCCCAAGCCGAGGCGACGTGAGAGAGCTCCTTGGTCCTCTTCTCACATGGTGGCGCAATCGGATTACGATATCTACGTTTGGCGAGGCGCAAAACGAGCACGGCCGTTGGCCGAGGCATGGGCCTTGGCGGTTTTTGGGAGACTGAGCTGTGTGGCGTTTGCTATTGGGGCAAAAGGGGCAGAAAAGAGCAGTATAATGCAAAATATGTACAACACATACCCTAATACGACATGCTGGACTTGGCTGGATGCCTTTTCCTTCCCTTTGCCACCACAGCAATAGGTGGTAGATGCTATCCTGCATAGATGTGAGTTACACTTGGAAAGACCGCATTCTCCCGATATCATCTCAATCAGAGAGTTGGATTGTAGCTGTAGGTAGGAGTCGAGGCTGAGCGTCCAGTATGGCGAACTCCCCTTCTTCCACCCATGCGAGCCCGCGCTCGTCCTGCCTTTCATCTGACAGCTAGGCCGCTGTTTCTTGGAAGCGGAAATAGAGCGGCACAGCCACATGGACGAGCGGCGATCTGCCCTTTGTCAATCTAGGATGAAACAGGACAAGGGCTTTGCCGCCTCACCGGGTGGGCTAGCCTGGGTCGTCGAATTCCTTTGACGCCATCCTCGCGCACGGTTGCCGGATGTGGAAGTTTAAATGCGATATTCTTGCAAGTTCGTATTTCTGTAGATCATTGTCAACCACGCCAGAGATGGGGATGCGGGAGGAGATGAGGAGCAGCACCTACCTCTCCAAGCTGGACATGTCTTAAATTCAAAATGGTAGATCAACAAGAATCACGTCACGCCTTGACCCTAGGTTCGTCGAGGCCGGGCCATCCTGGGATCAAGCCAACGCCCCGGAACCTGGTTTCGGGCATGGGCAATCCATTGGCTTAAAAATAAGAAGAAGACAATGAACTCGGTACCGACAAACCGGAAGAAGCGCGTGTTGGGTGCTGTACCGAGGGACCAACAAAGGCCGCTATCGTCTGTATGCAAGGGCCCGAGACATGAATTGCCTTTCTTTGGCCCGACATGGCCACCCTTTATTTTGACATTCAATTGCCGTTATCCAAGAGGCTGCGAGCCCGTATTCCTCGGCGCAAGTCGCTTCGCACAGGCGCCGTGGTCGAAAGCCCCCGAGCTTGGACTCGGGGGCCCCCTTTTCCGAGACTGCGCCATACCGGCTTTGTATAACTAATTCGTCCGGTTTGGCAAGCCTCCCCTGCTTCACCATATCTCGCTCTCGCTATCACTTTCTCGCTCGCGCTTCGTCTGGGAGTCGTCGAAAACAGTGCGTGATTCTCGTCCATCGAGGCCCCGTTCACGTTGCGCTTAACCCCCCCCCCCTTCTCCCCCTTTTCCACTTCCACTACCGGCAATCAAGCCAGCGGAGATTAAGCCCATCTCTCCAATGAAAACACCATTTGTACTCATTCCGCTGTACATATACCCATTGGAACGGGCATGGGAGCCGCTCCTGGAAGCGGCGCGGGCACACCGCGAGGTGCACTTTGTGGCCATCATCAACCCGGATAACGGGCCCGGGCGCGGCCGGCTGCCCGACGGGAGCTACACGGCGGCGCTGAGCCGGCTGGCCGAAGAGCCCAACATCAGCACGCTGGGCTATGTGTACTGCAGCTACGGCCAGCGCGCCGTCGAGGCCATCCAGGCCGACATGGACATCTACCGCGGGTGGTGCCGGCAGGGCCAGCTGGCCGTTGGCGGCGTCTTTTTCGACGAGACGCCGTCGGACCCGGCGTATGTCGAGTACATGGCGACGCTGGCGCACTACGCCAAGGAAACGTGGAGGCGGGACATGGGAGATGGGGAAGGCCACGGCGGCAGGGAGGCGACGGTCGTGTACAACCCGGGGGTCGTCGTCGGGCCGGGCTTCTTCTTTCGGGGCGCTGACTACGTCGTCGTCTTCGAGGCCTCCGAGGATCAGTGGAACCGGCTGCGCAAGCTGGGCCAGGACCTGCGACGCATGGACGACCGCACGCGGCCCAAGGCCGTTGCCATCATTCACTCGAGCCGCGGCGGCAGCAGTGGCTCCGGGGCCAGAAAGGTACTCAAGCAGACGCGGTCCCTTGGCCTGACGGGCGTCTACGTGACGGACCAACAGGAAGGGGGGTATACGAGATGGCCCGCCGCATGGATGAAGTTTGCAAAGGCCGTATCGCAATGCTGAGGCGGCCTGAGGAAGACGGAGAAGGTGTTTCAGGCCCGGGGGGGTGCTGAGGGGGGCAAGGGTTCAGCTGAGCTCAGACCGATGTTTCTGTAAACACTTTTCAAATAGCGCACCGGGTGGAAGAGCTGGGGAGAGTGTGGCAATGTGGCCAAGGATCTCATATTGCATCATAGTTTGCCGCCCAAGGGCCGTCTTGTAACTGCTGTATACGACGTATATACTGCCTCCCCCTTTTCACTTACATAAACGTGCTCATGCAGGAGTGCTGGAAAGCACGAGGTAAAACCGTGGCAGCGTTCTTGGGGAATTGACTCTTCTTATTATGACTTTTTGTGAGAACTTGTTGTGAGAACTTGTTACAGGACTGAAGGCTACCACTAAATAAAGCCGAGGGTAAATTAGAGGAGCAAAAAGGCGAGGTGAAAGAATACGATATGAATAGGACATAACCTTCAGCTGCTGGTCTTTGTGGTAAACGTGCTACCGCCGCAGTACTCAACCCAGCCATCCAAATCCATCTTCTTGATGACGGTGCTGAAGCCGTCCGAGTCGGCGGCCTTGCCGGCGCGGGAGCAAATGTCGCCCTCTGCCTTTGTGGCGTCTTTGGGGTACTCGATGTGGAAGACGGGCTTGCCTGCCTTGATAAAGGGGGCGAACGTTGCGCACTCGCCATACTGCACGCACTGCTCGTTGACGGAGAAGGCGACGGCGTCGAGCACGTCGTCGATGATGGAGGCGGCGTTTTTGAGACCCGTCGACATGTTGTACGAGGCGGCCTCGCGCGAGAGGAAGCGCACAAAGTCGGCGGCGCCCTGGGCGGTGAGGTTGAGGCCGTTGTCGTTTTGCTGGGCAGGTGTCAGCTGTGTCTGTCGCTTCTACACGCACTGAAGCATATAGGCGTATGTGTGTATGTGTGTATGTGTGTGACACAAGGGGTGTAAAAACTCACGTAGCCGTCCACGTTATCCGGGTCAATCGCATCGCAGCCCTTGTTGGCGGCAACTTTGATGCGATCCTTCATGATATCCCTCACACCCGGACTCGACACGTTGACCCAGCGCTCGCCTTTCCAGCCGTCGAGGCCCTTACCAAGGTCCGCGTCGGCAAAGCGGTCCTTGTCATCGCGCCAGTCCTCACGCGACCCGGCACTGAAGTAGCACACAACCTTGACACCCGCAGCCCGCAGCGCAGCGACAGTGTTAGCGTCATTGTCAAAGACGTCAATGTCGAGGATCTTGACGTCGGGCGGCATGACGGCGGCGGCGGCCGACTTGGGCGAGCCATCGGCCTCGACGGCCTTTTTGAGCACAATCTGCCACGGCTCGCCCACGCCGGGCTTCCACACGCTGGTGCGGTTGGGCGCAATGCCGCCGTCGGAGCCTTCATCGTCGCCGCCGCCGCGTCCTCGCGTCAGGCCGACACCGAGACCGATGGCAAGGCCGATGACGATGAGGACGGTGGTGGCGGCGAGGGCGATGATGGCCTTGGTGTGCTGCTGCATCCAGAGAGGGCGCCTGCAGCCCTTTTCTGTCTCGGCTCCATCGCCGAGCCTTGGTTTTTCCAACATCGAATGGATGTAGTTGTGGTGGTGGACTTGGGGATGGCTAAGTGACGGGTTGCTCGGGTGCAAAAAGGGACGGGGAGTCCCAACACCGGGATTAATGCCGACGTTACATAAGCAGATGGATCAAGCAGAAAGAAAAAGGAGAGACCCGGAGAGAGTGAAAATGGAAGCAAAAGCAGACAAGAGTGACGACGATATTTGGGCGCGAAGACGAAATTCTTGGTGTTGCTGTTGGTTCCGGCCTCCCTCTCCGCCCTTTGTTCTTCACTGAGCCCCCCTGCCCTATCAATAGACGGGCTCTGCTCCAACCAGAATAGCCCGAGCGGTCCAGGGGTGTGCAGGAACAGGCTCTCACGTGCATTGCTTGCTGGCTCCCCCCCTGGAACTAATAACGATCAATGTCTCTGTACAGGGCGCTCGAGTGCGGTCTGGACCACGGCCAACGAGGTGGCTCCTCGGTTGAAAGCATGGACGCCACGTGCAGAGTCCACAACGCCACACGGCACTTGACTTTTCCTGTGGGCTTGGGGAGGGTCGCGGTTGACGGTGAGCCGCAAAGAATGAGGTGGCGTTGATGCTGTAGATAAGTTTCCGAGGTACGTACCGAGCATGTACAGATGTTCTTGATATAAAGTTCTCGTTTAGGTACGTTACAGCCACGTTGGCGTTTCTCCACAGCCCCACCCACACGCCCGGACAGACGATCGTCTAGCTTGGCTCGGCCGGAGCCCGCCCCGCACCACCGAGGACCCACTTAGCCGGCCGGGCTCAGCCCCGGGGACGCCGGGGCCACCCCTCCTGACAGGCTGGGCCCTCTTGTGCTCCGAGAACAACGGCCCCGGCCAACGCCCAGGAACAAAGGCGCTGGCTCTGCACGGACCGCAGCACGCGCCAAGCCCATTCCGCGCCAAATAGAACGGATAGGAAATAAAGGCAAGATCCCGACCCCTCGAGTCCATCTCGCCAAGCGTGGGGCGCCGCCATGCTGTGCACAGTCCCCTCCGCATCTCCTCCCCCTTATCCCTCCACGAACCAGGAGAGCATGAAGACAGAGAGCCCTGTGTGCCGTACCCGACCCACTGCCCATCACAGGGCCCCGGTCTGCTCTCTGCGCGCTCCCAGGCTGCCAGAAAAGTAACTTTCTTCGATAGGGGACCACCGGCCCAGCTAGCACATTCCCGAGCTACTCCGTTCTGCTCCTCCTCCTGCGCCTTGCTTGCTTCAGGTCTGTCCAGAAAGGGACACGATGGATGACTGTGCGGGAGGGCCAGCTATAGTTCCAATGCGGGGAAGAGCATGGTGAAGAGCGGCAAGGCTAGCCCAGAGCTCTCTCTCCCCCCTGTCCCCTGGCGGGCCGACGCGATGGCATCCCCGCGCACCAATGGCAAAGCTCCAGCATTGGCCCAAAATAGCTCCGCGCAAAGGGCGACCTAGAGACTCATCAGCTATGCCCGAGCCTGCTCACGTCCCCTTCCCTAGCATGTACGCGGCTGTTGGTTTACTCCCATCTGAGAGCCCGTACATCCAGGCTTCCGTCTGGATAAATAAAGCTCAGCGTCGCCACCCATTACAATGAGTGCCCATCACGGCTTGCCTTCTGTCTCTGCTCCCGTCAACCCGCAGACGCCTCCGTCTTTGCGTCTAGCACTCACTCTCGTTTGCCATTCCGCGCGCCACTTCATGCCTGTTGGCTCTCCTTTCGTTTATTCTCTCGTCAAACACACCCCTCGCTTGTGTCCTTGACGTTGTAGTCACTATGCTCAGTCGAGCTATCCCCGGCCATCTGGCCAGAGCCTTTACCCTCATCGGGGCGCTGACCGGCCTCGCTGCCGCCGCCAACTCCGTCGACAGCACCGTCCTCATCGTCGCTCGCAACGACGGCGATGTGGCCAAGGCCAGCTTCGGTCTCGACGGCTACGGCATCCCCTGGGACAAGGCTCTCATCTCTCAGGGCGGAACCAATCTGCCTGCCCTGAACTCGTCCGGCACCGAAGGCCGCTATGGCGGTATCGTCGTCATTGGAAGCGTCTCCTACGACATGGGCGGCGGGCGCTTCGCCAGTGCCCTTACGGACCAGCAGTGGAACGACTTATATGCCTATCAGGCGGCCTTTAGGGTGCGCATGGTCCGTCTCGATGAGTTTCCTGGACCTGCCTTTGGTAAGCAATACCGCAACTGTTCAGTGCCGAGACCAAGGCCGATTAGTCGGGACATGCTCGCTGACTCTGCTTCATAGGTGCCAGTACCGTCATCGCAAATACTGGCTGCTGCGATAACAGCCAGGAACAGCTTATTAGCATTACCAACACCGATGCATTTCCCGGTGCCAATCTCAAGGCGTAAGTGCTTCCTTGCTTCGCTCCGCCTCCCCAAAGCAAGTTGGTCAGTTGCTGACGCCACCAACACAGCAATGCCGGGGTGAGCACAAAGGGACTCTTCCACTACCCGGCCAACATCACGGAGCCGGGAAACACGACCGAAGTTGCCGGCTTCGAGCCAGCCGGGTCCTTTACGTCCAAGTCGACGGCCGCCGTCATCAACAACTTCAACGGGCGCGAGCAGATGGTCTGGTTCATCAGCTGGGCGCCCGAGTGGTCGGCCACGTCCAACTTCCTGCAGCACGCATACATCCACTGGATGACGCGCAGTCTGTTTGTTGGCAAGCGCAAGGTGCACCTCAGCACCCAGGTCGACGACGTTCACCTCGACACGGATTTGTACCGGCCGGTCAACACGACGTTCCGGCTGCGGACAGGCGACCTCGAGGCCCACGTCGACTGGCAGAAGAAGCTCAACGCCCGGCTGCCCGCCGGGTCCAACTTTTGGCTCGAGCTGGGCCACAACGGCAACGGCGACATCATCAAGGCCGTCGAGAAGCCCACGGCCGCGGCCCAGTGCAGACCCGCGCGCGCCGTCGACTACGAGTCGCCACCCGACATGCCGCCGGGCCAGCTCGAGTGGAAGAAGCCGCCGGGGACGGGCGTGGATCTGTGGCCGGCCGATTTCACCAAGTACGGCTGGAGCGAGGCGTGCGCCAAGCTCGACGACCTGGCCGCGTGGTTTCTCAACACGGCCAACGTCAACGCCTTTGCGCACGTGTCGCACACGTTCTCGCACGAGGAGCTGAACAACGCCACGTACCACGACGCGTCGCGCGAAATCTTCTTCAACCAGGCGTGGCTGAAGCAGCTGCGCATCGACCAGGCGCAGCGCTTCTCGGCGCAGGGCATCATCCCGCCGGCCATCACGGGCCTGCACAACGCCGACGCCATCCAGGCGTGGACCGACAACGGCATCAAGTTTGTCGTGGGCGATAACACGCGGCCGGTGCTGCGCAACCCACAGAGCCAGTTCTGGGCGCTGCCGAGCAACGTGGAGAGCAACGGGCGCGAGGGCATCCTCATCATGCCGCGCTTCGCCACCACCATCTACTACAACTGCGACAAGCCCGACTGCACGCTGCAGGAGTGGAAGGACACGTCGGCCGGGCACGGCGAGTTCAAGGACCTGCTCGACGACGCGCGGTCGACCAACACGCGGTACCTGCTGGGGCTGCAGGCCGATCCGTACATGTTCCACCAGGCCAACATGCGGCAGACGGACATGGAGAGCAGCACCGTCGGCAGCGAGACGGGCAAGATGTCGCTCATCATGACCTGGGTCGAGACGATTGCGCAGGAGATGTACCGGCTGACCAACTGGCCCATGACGTCGCTCAAGCACGACGACCTGGCCGGCTACTTTACCAGCCGCATGACGCTCGACGGGTGCAAGCCCAAGGCCAGCTACGCCTACTCTGGCGACGGGCGCTCCATCGAGTCCGTCACCGTCACGGCCTCAGGGAACTCGTGCAGCGTGCCTGTGCCCGTCACCATCCCGGGGGGCGTTGCGTCGGCCGATGGCGGATCGCCGCGGACGGACAAGGTCGGCAGCGAGCCGCCAATCGTGTGGGTGACGCTGTCCGGGTCGCCGGTGACGCTGCGCCTGGGCTCGCCGGTCAAGGTCTGAGGGTATCAGGATCCAACGATGAAGGATGGGAACGGATGCTTTGGTCAAGTTTTTTTTCTTCATTGGCAACGGTCTGGAGTCACCGTATGTAATAATCGAGACGGTTGCTTGCACAAAAAGGGGCGCCAATGGCACGTCTTGTACGGGGCACTATCCGGGGTTTTTATTCTATTACTTATTATTTTATGCACAACTTAACTTTTTGCCCCATAGCCTCAAGTCTGGAGCGAGGAAATAGGGCGTAAAGATAAAGAGTCCTTTCCTTCCTTGAAGATGTCTTTCTACAAGCTTGTCTTTCTGGACTAACCTCGTGCTAGTTCTCAATCGTTCTAGGTTCTAGCACTATCATGATAAACCGGGGCCTCTGCTCTGAAAACAGGCCGGAAGCGTTCATTCCGACTGCAGTTCTGCTGCGACTGCCTTTGCCCAAAGCCTACTAGTAATGACCGGCCCTTGTTGTTCTGCTCGCGTATGAACGGCTCGCGCTGGGCCCAAGGGACCGGCTGGTTGCTTGCATTCGCTGAATGCGCGGCTATCCAGTCTCTTTCGCCTCCAGCATCAACACCATTCATATTGATGTATAGTCGCCCAGAGCTACGAAGCAACGACTCAATTCCAGGGCCTTCTCGGCTGCCCAACCATCCCATGATAGACGGCCGAGACGGGCGGCAACAGTATGGCCGAGTGCCGGGGCACGTTGACGGCCGCCCTCGGGTAAGGCACCGAACCCTTTCATTACAGGCTTAAAGCCTCCAGTTCTTGACAAAGCCATCATGTTACTAACAGTCCTTGCAAAAGCGGGCTGGTCCTCTCGTGCTTTATCCTGTCCAACAGATACTATACCAGCGCTGCTTTTGGTTTGTCAACTGCTTCTCTCGACGCCTCACCAGGCTAACCCGCCACTCCCTAGAGCGTCCACTTCATCTCAGTCTTGTTACTCTGCTGTTGACAAGCGGTGCTTTTCAGCTGTTGCGTCGAACCAGACCACCAAGTGAACCGCCATCATCTCTCGCCAAGGGGCCTCCGCCGCTCACTTCAGTGGCCACTTGGACCAGTTCGGAGCGCGTGTCAGACCCGATCCCAGCCACAAACGGCCTCCTTGGCCGTGTTCGACGTTCGTCTCCCCAGCTAACCATCTTCGTTGGCTGCGTTGTCACGCGTTGTCTGCTTTTCGGGCTGGTCACCCGGACATCGCAATGTGCTTGGCCCGGAATCGAGGCCCTGCTGCCCCTTTTCTCACTCCTCCGCGGGCTCATCTATCCAACCAATGCGAAGCCCGCTGACCTAGGAGCAACCAATCCCGGGAAGCCTTGTCGGCCTGCTCGGTCGCCTCCGGCAATCACGTACGCCTTATTATCCCTAGGCTGGGCGGTCTCTACCATACTGGCTTTGTCTTACTCACGAATCGAAACTGGAACCATTTGCCCAGCCGGGTGGCCGTGGGCGCGGCTCACAAAATGTGCCCAGTTCGGCATCTGCGCTCTCGACGCCGCCGCTCTTAGCTACGGGGCCCAGCTTCGCAACCGCGACGTTGAATCTGGACACGACAGCTCAGGAAAAGTCGCCACGAGCTTGGTCGCTGCAGTCGGGTGCCTTTTCTTCCTTTGTTCCCCGTTCTGGATCGCACGGCAAGGTCTCTGCCTGACGTTCAGCCTCGGCTCACTCGACCTTCGCGACCTCGTGGTTGACTCGCTGCTTGCCTCCATCGTCTTAGTATCCGGCTTTTTACTTTTGGCAGACTTCCATCCAACAAGCATTGCCCTATTAGTCTCTGAGACGAGCCTATTTGGCTACTGGTGTCTAAACTTCAACTTCCCATCTGGGCACACGCCACCGTATCCGTCTTTGGACGACTCTTCCGCCATGTCATTCCTGGCTGCCGTCCTTGCTGCGCTGTTGTGGTGTCTCGCCGCCTCTCCGAGCCACGCTCCACGAACTCGTGTCTCCCGGCTGCACCGTTGGCTGCTGATCTCGCACGCTGGATTGGTCGTCTACACCCTGGCCAATTGGAAACTGCTATCAGCTCCATCATCCGACCCATCTATATCCCAAGCCATCGAAGCTCTCGTGGCATCTGCTCGCAGTGACAGAGCAGCTTGGGCCTCTCAGGCTGCCTCGAGCACGACTCTATCAGAGGCAGTGGCAGAGTACAAGAGGCGTCATGGGATGCCGCCGCCTCCAAACTTTGACAAGTGGTACGAGTATGCTGTCAAGAGTAAATCATCCATCATCGACGATTTCGGGCAGATTTATAACGACATACTTCCGTTCTGGGGCGTCGAACCCTCGAAAATCCGGGAGAGCACAGCGCGGCTTATGTCGTACGGTCATATCGAGATGGGAGGCTTGAGCATCCAAAATGGCACCATTCACCAGTCTCCTCACATTCCAGGGACACACCGCTGGATGACAAACATGGTTGAAAAGATGATTGAGCCTTTTGCCCAGTGGCTCCCTGACATGGTGCTTGCCATAAACTTGGCAGATGAATGTCGGGTTTCCGTCCCGTTTCAAGACATGGAAGCTCTCAAAGCCACCGCTCAAAGCACCATGTCACGCGTTGGCGGGAACAACAAGACTGCCAAGGCCAAGCAGGCGACCTGTGGACCAGACGGAGAGCACGGGTGGTCGTTTGATTTTCCCGAGTCAACGCCATGCAATCGCAAGGGTGCAATCAGCCCACGGCCAGCCACACCAGATTTAGTTGATTATCACGGAAGACAGGTATACTACGACTGGATAGCTTCCACATGCCCGCCAGGCTCTGCCGCACGGAGCAGCCGCTGGTGGGACTGGAGCTCGGTCTGCTCAGCCTGTCTGGCGCCGCACTCTCTCATGACGCGCGAAGGAGCCATCGTGGCAAACAATACGCTGGCCCACGATCTCTGCCACCAGCCTGATGTCGCCAAACTAGATGGTTTCATTTCGTCTCCCACCGTGCTCATGGGCAGCAACAGACTGCTGCCGGTCTTTAGCCAATCTCGAGTCGGCGGCTTCTCTGACATTCTGATTCCTTCGCCGTGGGACTTTGAAGACAGGAGCGCATACGTCGATGAAGAGGACGTGCTCTGGTCTAACAAGACCAACGGGTTATATTGGCGCGGCTCGAGCACCGACGGCTTTGCGGCGCGGGGTCGTTGGGCTGGGTTTCTGAGAGCGAGGTTCGTTCACGAGGCATACCAAAGGGCAAAGGGAATGGACAATACGGGTTCGCAGGATCAGCTGCGCATCAATGTCTCTTTTGTCGGAGACATACCGAGGTGCAATTATGTCGACTGCGTGGAGGAGCTGCATACTTTCAGGCAATGGACCACCGTGACCACGGACAGGAGAGAGGCTGCCCCTCAGGAGTCTCCCGCAACCGGGTTGCCCTCGCCATTACCCTTCAAAGAGAGCTGGCACTTCCGACACCTCATGGACATGGACGGAGCCGGGTTCAGCGGGCGATTCCTAGGCTTCCTGCGAAGCCACAGCCTAGTCTACCGCGCTGCCCTGTTCAAAACGTGGTACGACGAACGCCTATTCGGCTGGCACGACTACGTGCCGGTGGATGTGCGACTGGGCTCGGGCTTCTGGAGTGCGCTCTATTACCTTGCTGGTGTCTCTGAGACGACGTCATCCGGCAAGCTAGGCGCCGACACGGCACGGAGGATGGCAGAGCAGGGGAGAGAGTCGGCGTCGAGCGTCTTGAGGCGAGAGGACATGCACGTCTACATGTTTCGGCTGTTGTTGGAATGGGGAAGGGCGACGGCCGATGATAGAGAGGCGTTGGCGTACAGATAAGACTAAAGGATAAAAGGCAGAGAAGAGGTTTCTCGGGCAGGTCCTAGGTATAAAGAAGCGTTAATAGAAGCCTTTATTAAAGTCTATATAAAATAGAATATATAAGAGTCTTTAACTATTATAAGTTATAAGCTTAAGCTACGGCCTAAGCTATATAGTTACGTATAGAGGGCCGGATCCTATATATATATATAGGCTAGCCGTATATAGAAGAGCTCTATATAGCTTATTAATATTATCTTATAGATAGCACTTATATATATACCTCTACCTACTCTATAATAGTATAAGCTATTAACTAATAGATCTAATAGATATCTCCTTAAAAAGGGTGCCGCTTCCTTAAGGGAGTACTACGCTATCCCTTAGGCGGATAGGAAGTATCGTAGCTATCCTAGAAGCGATTAAAAGCGCGATAGCTAGTAAGAAGAACGAGGTTCTCGCTATATTAAAGGAGCTATCTACGAGACTAGCGTTAAACCCTATAACCTCTATAACGCTAGTAATAGTAGCGGTACTACTAACGTAAAAGCTACTTCTTTAGCTAACTTTAGGTAGTAAGTTTAAGTCCTTTTACTTCTTCCTTTACTAGCTATAGATAAAGTTTATAATAAATAAGAAATAAGGCCTAAATAGCTATTATAATATAGTATAGTATTTACTCCTTTATATACTACTAGAGCTCTAGATATAGCGGATTTCTAGATTCTAAGATAAGGGTGGCCTTAAGGGTAAACGCGACTTATAAGACTTTTTTTAATACCTTATATATATATTTAATAATATATAAGAGTAGGAGAAAGTATAGGATAGGCTATAGACCCTTAAGTAAAGGGATAGGTAAACCTTTAATAAATTCCTTCTTAACTTTAAAGAGATACTCTTATAAGTAGCGGGAACTATAATATAAGAAAATAGTATGAATCTTATATAGTTATAAAACTTAATTACGCTAGCTTTATAAGAGCTACTTATCTTTATAATTATACTTACTAACTATAGCGAGTATATAAGTTAGTTAATAAAGGTAGTATAAAGCTATAAGTAAACGCTATATTTCTAAAAGCTTTATAAGTATATACTATATAATAGTAATAGGATTACTACCTTTTTATAAGAAAAATAGCTAAATATCGATATTAATAAAGATACCTTAATATTAGCTACTTATATAAACTAAGCTAAATATAGTAGGAAGTTATTATTAAATATCCCTTATACTATTCTTACTTTAAGTAGTAAGTAAAGTAAGTAATAAGTAAGGAAATTAAGAAAAAGAAGGCTAATAGCCGCTACTTATATTATAGCGCGTTTATATACTTTATATTAAAGTACTCTTTCCTTTTAGCTAAGCGGCTTATAGCGGTTTAAGTAGTAAAGATAAAACCGCTCCTTACCTTAAATAATTATAAGAATATACCCTTATATTCCTATTTTACTATTATAAAGAAATAACAGGCATAGGGAGGCTCTATAAAATAATCTAGTAAAAAGAGGCTCTATAATATAGTCTAAGGGAATAACCCTTAAAGACAAAGACCTCTACTAGACATCTATACCTTCCTTAAGGAAAAGCGGGTTAAGATAAGCCTATCTTAATAAAATAAAATATATATAAAATACATAAGTCAATTACGAGCAGAACGGATACCCTATTGCCTATTTTGGCCTAGCGGTTCCGAATATATCCGCGATACGAGAATAGGTAGGGCATAGAACATTCTAGTTAAATCTACTACTTATGCTAGAACCCACAGTCTTACGTTAACCATCACGTCACAATCAGACCACCTACTAAGTTAGGAAGACATGCGATAGATAGAGCTTTTTAAGCACTATAGAATATGCTAAAAAGCTAACTAATTGGTCTACTAGTAGGCGAGCAATAGTCTATAAAAGACGAAGGATTTCCCTAGGAGTAGTAGATAGAATAAGTAAGTTCGCAAGCATCCTTTATAACGCTATTCTTTTAATATATTATTTAGCCCCTTATATGCTCGTTATAAATTCCGGACGAAATCCTACCCTATACTCCTTCGACCGATCCTTCCGCTTACGTTATCGATTACCCGATTCTACGCTTATTGCTTATACCTTCTAATAGGTTATAAGCCCGGCTTCTCTATAAGTCGGGTAATAACTTCGAAAAATCTTCGAAATTCTAATACGACCTCGAATTATCTAAAATAGGCTCTAGGGATAAGTTCGGATTTACTAAACTTAAGGGTAGTTCTAACTATACCTTCTAGGCTATTCGAATATAGGCTCTTTTAGTTAAGGAGAAGCTTTCTACTACTATATAGTAAGAAAATTACTTAAATATAGAAGAAGCACTTATTTTAATTTTTCTTTATATCGAAGATAGTCCTTTAACCTAAATAAAGCATATAATAAATACTAAAGAGGCGTAGGATAGGTTAAAAAACCTATATATATCGCGAAGCGTAGCTTAATTTTATAGTTCTCGGAGATATCCCTTAGCACGAGGGACCTAGGAAGCTAAAAAACAGGTTTTAAGGAAGGAGATAAAAGGAGGTGCAGAGAGGAGGGTAGGGGTAAGAGGGGAAGCAGAAGTAGCGATAGCTTCCTATAGAGGTAGCGAGAGATAAGACGGATATGCCGGCAACGGCTAGAAAGGAGGGGAAAAACCGGCAAAAAGCTTAGTAGTCGAAAGGACATTAGTAGCTTCTTTAAGTAGGATCTTCTTTATTAATTAAGATGCTAAATAGATATAAAGAGGGGCGTTAGATAGAGGAAAGAAGGACAATTAAGGCAATATAACAATTACTCCTCTACTTTTATTGCTGCCCCCGTAAGAATCAAATCTCTCTGCCCTGCCTATCCGACCCCTTACTTCTAATTTTACCTTCGTGGATTTTTATGCACTTCTCGTATCTCTCTTCGCGAGAGTTATAAGCCCGGGAGGAATAGAATTCCTATACCTTCCGGCTACTATAAAAGGCACCTTTCTTATATCCCTTATAGCTTCCTTTTACCCCTCTTACTAGAAAAGCCGATTTTTAACCGACTTTTCTACCCTTCCTCGTAATAATATCGAAAAACGACTCTACTATCCCTACGGTCCGTAGGACGATTCTTATAGAGCCCTAAGATTAGGATAAGTAGGTAAAGGAGCTATAGGCTCGTATAGATAGAACTATCTATAATTTAGTCTTTTCTAATAAGTAGGACCCTCTTAAGCCCCCTCTTCGTCCTAGGGCTACGGACTTTATAGAGGGAGCTTCCCTCTTCTCTAAGCTAACCTCCGTATAATAAAGAGCTTTTTCTACTACCTTAGGTAACTACGAGAGTTACTATAAGGAATACCTTTACGAGACGAAGCTACTAACTACTATACGTATAGTAATAACGGAATCTATTAGTGCCGTAAAGCTAATTACTCTTTAAGAGGAAGAGACTCCTAGGCAGTGGCTTTTAAAGCTCGAGACCTCGATAGCTCCCTCGAGGGGCTATATAACTAACCGTATTAAGAAGACCTATACGGTATATCTAGGAGCCTTCTCTACTAGAAACCTACTAGCTTCGTTATAGCTAGCTACGTAGGAAGAAATCCTTAAGGAAGCTAACTAATACTTCCTTATAGAAGCTCTTTCCGGCTAGTAGCTACGGGATATATCTCTACTAATAAAGCCTATTAGTAACGGTTACTCGACTATCTTTTAAGAGGCTAGCCGGGAACTAAATAAAGAGGCTGCTAGAGTATAATAGTAAGTAGTCTTATTCTTTCGTAGCTAGCACTCGACCTAGACGGCTCGACCTACTGCCCCTATAGCTGCTGCAGCCCCTATTGCTACGGCTCCCGCTGCTGCTGCTGCGGCTATTGCTCCTTTGGCTCCTCCTCCCTTAAGAGCCTTAACGCCGTCGTTAACTGCAGCTACGGCCCCGGCCCCGGCTCCGTATCTTGCTCCGGGCCCGGCCCCGGTCCCGTTAGTTAGACCGGCCCGACTAGTCCCCTAATAGACCTTTTAGTCCGTTAGTCGAAAAATTAGGGAACTAGTCGAAATCGAACCTCTTCGTTAAAATTAGCAATAAGGGGTAAAAAGGGGGGGTTTTTAAGCAGACCTTCCGGATCGGGATAAGGATTCCTTAAAGAAATAGAAGACTAGACGACGAAACGGCTGCCTAGTATATAAATCCCTAGGTCATCGATTATTATAATACTAGTAGGTCTTCGAGGAAAACCGACCTAAAGGATTTAACCCTTTAAAGAGGCTATAAGAAACGATATAATAGTCTCTTAAGGAGGACCCCTCGTTATAGAAGAAGATAGACGAGATTCGGGTTACTAAGAAATAGCAACTAACGCCGCTGCCCTTATTCGAGCCGTAAATTTAAGGAAAAATCGTTAGTATAGTAAATCCGGTATTTATCTTCCCTATAGATTAGTAAGACTAACCGTTAGGACCCTCCGACTATCCCCTACGAAAATCAGCTATCCTTAACTCTAGTGCTTCCCTCGATATCTATAATATACTCTTACGATTCCGGTCCTTTAAGAAGGCATAGAGGGAATATCTTATTGCCGGGGAATTAACCGTACGGATAGAGGGGTATAGAAGGGTGAATTTTGCGATAAAATTACCTAATAGATCTATACGAATTCTTCGATAAAAAAGGGTAGCTTTTTACCCTCGATTTTTAACGAGCCTAATTTCCTTCCGCCTTTTTTTTCGAAAGGAAGGGATCTTCTAAGATATAACGTCTAAGCCTATAAGGCTAGTCTAGAAGAATTAGACTATCGGGCTTATCGAGGAAAAATTCGATTAATTTATTCTCGAATTTCGACCTATTCTTAGGAAGGAACCTCTCGAGAAGTTAGCTTTCCCTACTAGGAGGAATAGGTCTACTATAAAGGACCCTCTTCTAGCAGCCTAAGGAGATAGCATTCTTTAGTACGCACGACTTAGTTACCCGGGCCCCCTAGCTTTATATAAGCTAGGCTAATAATAGGGCGTACGAATAAGGGGCCTAAAGACCGT